ATCATCACCTCGTCCTCGGACCAAAAGCTCGATCTGGCAAAGGCCATTGGGGGCTCGGATGCTGTTGATACTATCAACTACCGAGACCATCCTCAGTGGGAGGAGGACGCACTTCGTTTTACCAACGGACGAGGTGTTGATGTTGTTGTCGACAACGTTGGGCCTTCCTCGATTGCCCAAAGCCTCTCCTCTCTTGCCAGAAGAGGGACTGTTTCCTTGGTCGGGTTCTTGGGAGGATTTGATGTAGATCGCTTCCCCGATACAGTCACCCCTACTTTGCTGAAGAGCGCTACTATTAGGTAACTTGCCCCTGTCACCCATGATCATAGAAGTACTAACCGCATTGTTCTTCTAGAGGGATCAGTGTTGGCTCCAAAATTGACCATCAAACCTTGTGCGACTTCCTGTCAGAGAAGGATATTGGTCTAAGACCCATCATGGATAGTGTGACGTTTTCTTTTGAAGAATCGCAGGCGGCGTTTGATCACCTTTGGGATGCGAATCATATGGGCAAAGTTGTGATCAAACTGTGAAGGATTTTAGCCTTACCTTCGAGAGAACATAGGAATTGGACCCTTTTTAGAAAGATTCTTCAATTTTGTTTTGTGAAAACATGAGATCTCAATACTTACAAAACTGGTCCCCAGCCGACTAGTATTATACCAAGACCAACCGTATCAATTGGAAGTTTCCGAGGTTATGCTGTTAATAAAATGTTGATTTATATCGGCCGACAGATTGGAATCCCTGCTCCTGTTGTGGAGTAACGCAGTGACCCTTTTGCTCGCGATAGCAAGTGATTTTCTCGCCATCGGGTGATGATGGCACGCAATCCGACCAACATCCCCCTCATATTCAAACATAATTCGCAACTTCCACTCACGTTGACGTTCGAATAGACTTGTTTCCAACCCTTTTAGCTGTTTTTATCCTAGTTTTCCCGTATAACGCAATTGCGAACATGGACGACGTGAGAAGCACCCACCACATGGCAACTGATTATTTCGCAATGTCCCGAAGAATTTCAATTGGCTGCAGATTCGACAAGAAAATTCTGGGCATTCAAGATATGATGGAATCTACAGACTTTAAATATTCCTCGGCCCTGCACATTTGACCTTGGCTTTTCTCAGCATAGCCAAGCATCATGTCTAACACGATAGATACGGCCAAGCTGGCGCTGATCTCCCAAGGAGCGGCCTATGGCCTGCTTATTGGGCTTGGCGTTGTCTTTTGTGGTGTTATTCTCATCGCAGTCAAGGTTCAAAAAGCGTATCTGGCGGAGGATTCTGGAAAATCTGAAATGTTCATGGTCGCCAATCGATCTGTTGGCACGGGTTTAACTGCATCTGCGGTTTTCTCGTCATGGATGTGGATTAATGAGACAGTTTTGGCGGCTGCGATGTGCTATAGATATGGACTTGCAGTTCCTTTGGTATGTCGCTCTGGATTTTGGATCCTGCGTTCACGACTGACAAATGTTTAGTGGTGGGGATCTGGCCTTTGTTTCCAGATCGCGTTGATGGCCGCACTTGGCGTAATGGCCAAGATCCGAGTGCCATATGCTCATACCTCCCTTGAGATCGTGCGTATGCGATATGGCAAGATCGGACATCTTGTGTTTGTCGTGCTCAATCTTGTGAACAACGTTTTTGGTTGCGCTTCCATGATCATGACCGGATCCCAGTTGATCTACGGGGTATCTGGAATGCACTTCGTCGCAGCTACTATCCTCATCCCACTTGGAGGTGAGTTTGCCCTGATATCGAAACTTGCCATCAAATACTAAACGCGCTACAGTGGTCCTCTATACAGCAGTGGGTGGTCTGAAGGCTACCTTCCTGACAGACTTCTTACACACGGCGATTGCATTGATCCTCATCATTTACTTTACGATTGCCGTTCTGACCAACAAAGAGGTCGGTGGACTGGGCGGCCTGTATGATAAGGTCGTAGCGACAGCTGGAGAGAATTATATCCCCGGGAACTATGAGGGCTCTCTACTCACATTTAAGTCCAAGAACGCCATTATCTGGGGATTGATTCTCAAGTTCGGAAACCTGGCCCTCGTTGTCATGGTAAGTAGCTCCTAATTCCATGCCAAAGCACACCCGAGGCTGACATTTATCAATCAGGATACCGCGTTCTGGCAAAAATCATTCGCAACCGAAGTGCAGGCCACAGTGCCAGGATATAATATTGCTGCGCTGGCCGTGTTTGGTATTCCATGGGGCCTCGGAACAGTCCTTGGATTAACTGCCCGAGCAATCCACAACACTCCAATCTTCCCGACATACCCTGGTGCTCTCACTTCCACGGAAGTCAGCATGGGAATGGTTATGCCATACACGATCAAGGCACTGATTGGAGACAAAGGCATAATCGGGTTCTTCTTCCTGCTGTTCATGGCCCTGACCAGCACGATCTCGTCGTCCATGATCGCTGTCAGCAGTATCCTCTCATATGATCTCTACAAGACCTACCTCAATCCGAAGGTAACAGATAAACAGCTTGTCCGGGTCAGTCATTTGACTGTGGTAATCCACGGCGTCTTTATCACCGGGATTTCGATCGCGATGAACTATGGAGGCGCGAACATGACCTGGATCAATTATTTGCGACCGATCATCTCATGCCCTGGAATCCTACCGCTTATTTTCACTTTGTTCTGGTCTCGTCAAACCAGATTGGCTGCAATTGTCTCTCCTGTTCTTGGCTTTTTCACTGGTCTTGCCGTCTGGCTCGCAACAGCCAAGTCAATGTATGGTGCTGTTGATATCGCCGCCACTTCAAATAACTACCCTGCCCTCTACGCCGCTATCGCATCTTTCTTCTCGCCGGCCCTGTACTCAGTTATTTTGTCGCTTTACCGACCTTCCACATTTGACTGGAGGGAATTCCTGCGCATTGAGCTTGCAGATGAGGCTCAAATCCATGCGGCGTCAGACACAAGCACGCTGAATGAAAGCAGCGAGGAGGAGCAGACAGACGAAAAGCGTGTCACTGGGTCTGTGAAACCGGTTGCCCATGGACCTTCGGAGGCCAACGCTGACCCCGAACATATTGGCGCCAGCGAGAAGAATGCTCCGTCGGCTATTTCATCGCCTGGCTCACTTGAGATTAGCTTGGACAATATCCAACATCCATTCGACGACGCAACTCTGAAAGAGCTATATCGATGGCTGAAAATCGCCTGCTATATGTTTGTGGCTATTGTGTTGGTCACATTTGTTGCTTGGCCACTTCCTCTCTACCGTGACTATATTTTCACAAAACCATTCTTTTCGGGGTGGGTAACGGTGTCAATCATCTGGCAATTCGGCGCATTTGGCGCTGTTGTCATTTATCCACTGTATGATGGACGCCGCGAAATTGCCACTGGCGCTAGAGGTATTTGGACCTCCTCGTTAGAGTACTTCGGCAAGAGACGAGCAGCCTAGTATTATGGCAGAGCCGCGGTTGGACACAAGTTCTATAGATAGCTTTAGATAATAGAGTTGATCGGAGTTTTTATGACTCGAAGAATAAATTATGCACTGCAACATAACAGTCGGGGACCAAATCGGGATGACCCGCCATACCTCGTAATTTGCCTACTGTAGGAATTTTCCCCAGAGCCACCTTAGCCTGTTAAATTTTTGTTTGCTAAATATCCTCAGCGAACCGTTTTTTCCTTTTCTTGTTCTCACGCAGCTGCTACATTTCACCAGTCTCACCGACACCAAGTGATCATTCTTCGTCTCGCTGACTTCATTTACAACCTTGAGATCGATCGACCCCACAATGTCTGCTCAGTCTCAAAACATTTACGATAACCCAGAGTTTTTCTCTGCCTACGGAGACCTTCCCCGATCCAAACATGGGATTTCGGCTGCGCCAGAATGGCCCGTTATTTGGAATATGATCTTGAACGACGCACCCTCCACCACTGACAATACAAACGACAACCTCAACGGCAAAGAAATCCTCGATCTAGGATGTGGGTATGGCTGGTTCACTCGATGGGCCCGAGACAACGGCGCTGCATCTATCAAAGCAGTCGACATTTCTCAGAAAATGATCCACCGCGCTAAAGAGTTCGAGGTGGAGGCTGCTCTTACCAAACTGAATCGAGGTGATTCAGTCTCCGATACGAAAGTCACATTTGAAATCAGCGATCTAGAGAGTATCACCCTCAGCAGCGAATCAGAGGAGGGACAGTATGACCTAGTTCACAGCTCTCTCACCTTTCACTACATTGAAGATCTGGGACGGTTATTTCGCGAGATCTACGCCTCCTTGAGAAAGACGTCTGCAAATGGACAAAGAGGGAAACTGGTGTTCTCTGTTGAACATCCCATCTGTACCGCACCCATTCACCCAGGGCCAGACTGGAGAGTGATCCAGGATGCATCGAAAGACCATAAAGTTTGGCCGTTGAACTCCTATGGTGAGGAGGGATTGCGCTTAACAAATTGGCTTGGTATAGAGGGGGTCAGGAAGTACCACCGGACTGTCGAGACATATGTGACGCTATTGTTGGAGAGTGGGTTCGCATTGACAGCACTCAAGGACTGGTCACCATCAAAAGAGGATGTGGCAGAAGAGCCGGCGTGGGAAATCGAAAGGCATCGTCCGTATTTCTTGCTTATTTCTGCCGAAGTTAGAGGATAGACTCGGTGACAGTTTACAGGCCGCAAACACAATCTTGAAATGGCAACAACTTACATGAGTGACACTTCAACTAGTAATTGTGTTGATGTATATGCGTCATAGTCCCGTAAACCACAAGAGGATGATGAATTCCGTCTCCAAGCTGAATCGGTTTGGTTATGGATAGCCGAAAGATACACAGAGGCTGGACCACTTGACTTGTTATAGATGTTCTCTGATTGATACAAGACTTCCGGTCAAGAATGGCAAAGACTAGGTGTTGGATATAAATTTACGCCCATCGGTGGATAGGCGGGTTATGAAATTGATGTACGAAAGGTTTGATATTTGCAATTAAACAATGAATCTCAGAATTTGGATGGATCTTGTAACCGCGGAATCAACTGTAGTGCATTAACGTAGTTGATACGATCCCGCAACTCTTGACTCATCTCATACTTCTCCAGGTCTTCCAAAAATGCAGGATATGCCGTAATGGGTGCGTATGGGAAGTCACTCTATGCGAAGTTGTCAGTAGTTTGCTAATTACACAAATGTACCTCATCGGAATGGACACTGACTCCATATAGTATATGATCATGCGGAATCATCTTAAGCGCGAGGTCAAGCACGCCCGGAGAAGACGACAACGCTAAATCAAAATGAAAGCTGCGGAAATCTTCCATAACCTGCGCATGCGTGGTTCCCATGCGATGAGCGGCTACAAAGTCTGGCGCTTTACGCATAGGCGTCGCAACACGCGTAATCAGGTATGGTAAGGCGCCGCCGGCGTGTGACAGAATAACCTTAGTATCTGGGAATTTGCGACGTGTACCCTGGATGATCATATCCATAGCAGAGCGTGTTGTCTCATGTGGGTAGTCGATAGCAGGCTGTGGCAGTAGCGGGTTCACAGGATTCGTGTCGACTGGGTGGGTCGGATGCACGAAAACAACACATTTACGGCGATTAAGCTCTGCCCATATCGGCTCCAGCAAGGGATGCCCAAGATACGTATTACCCGACCCATACCGGGTGAAGAGTGTGACGCAATCCGCATGTAACGTATCGAGAGCGTAGGCAATCTCAGTGAGCGCGGCTTCTGTGTCGAGGAGACTGGGAAGCGACGCAAAAAAGCCAAAGCGTGAGGGCTCCTCCTCTCGCAGCTTGGCTCCATAATCGTTAAGTCTTCGTGCTAGATCAAAGGAGGCTGATCCTTCCAGGATGCAGGGGCCCGGAGCCGTCACAGAGAGTATCGCAGTTTTCACGCCCAGCCTTTTCATGAGTAATTTGGACTGCATCGGAGTCCATGTTGGAGTAGGCCGCCCACTGGAGCCTGCATACTATTTACCAATTGCTAGAAAATAAAGTCTCTACCGCCTCGAATTGGCTTAGGAGCCCATTAATTAGTAGCCCATTAATCACTTGATGCGGAAGAGCTTCGAGCCATATCGGCAAGCCCGAGTTACGAAGGCAGCAGTGGCTTCAGTTGAGGCGCAGGGCCATGCGGCTACGCTAGTCCCGATTCAGTATGCAGTAGGTACTGCGAAAAATTAGAAGTGGGTCTTTCCTTGCAGCCAGCTACAGCGGCCATATTGGCCTGGGTCTTAATGAATGTGACTGGTTAAAATTCGAACTTGATATGAGTGCTGTATCATCGGAACTAATATTACTTCACATAGTCAAATGTCAAATACTCATTTATATGTGCTGTCCATCTACAAAAGCATTGGGGATGCCCAGTAGATAGACCGGCTATGTTTCGGTGGCCGCAACAGTTGTCTATAGGCGAGGCGCTGAACCTAATTGGGCTAGGAGTGCGACGAGACAACAGGGGCCCGGATGCTATTGGTCCCCATCTACTAAACCTACAGGAGTAAGCAGCCTTGCAAAAAAGATGCAGATCCACAATCTTATATTTTCACGGGGCGTGTGGCTCTGACCTTGGATTTGACCGCACAGCCTTAAGAAGCTTAGGAGTCCTATTTGGGATATGAATGCGAGCTGACGGACATAGGTAGTTAAATAGCAGCCCAATGCCCATGAATTGAATATCATACAAGACCAAAGCAGTTGAATCAAAGTCTATAATCGTCACTCATCTCTTCATCGGCCATCATGATCGACTATCGGCATGGGATTTCAATCCTAGACATCATCGTTTACATTCCAACCTTCTTCCTCGCCCTTTGGATGGCATTTCACCATGGATTCAAAAAGAGTTCCGGCTGGTACTTCTTTGTTGTTTTCTCTCTTGCACGCATTATTGGTGCAGCATGCTATCTGGCCACACTAAGTGCGCCTTCCAATATCAGTCTTTATATTACATGGGCTGTCTGCACGTCGCTTGGGATATCACCATTGATCCTAGCCTGCATAGGTCTTTTATCGCGAGCGTGAGTAGCGTTCGACTTATTTAATTACTTGGCAGTGACTGATTGTCTTTCTAGAAACGACTCCATAATGCGAAAGACAGCCAAGCCTCTCTCCCCCCTGCTCTTCCGAGCCGTCAGTCTTCTTTCGCTAGTTGCCTTGGTTGTGAGCATCGTCGGAACTACCGAAAATAGCGATATCACTCACGGCCTGGTAAATACCAAGACACAGGTTGCTCTGATTCTCTTTTTGATCACCTGGTTTGGGGCGTGCATCCTACTCCTCCTCGTTGCAAATCGTTCCCATAGCATCGAAGACGGAGAACATCGCCTACTCCTCGCAGTTGGAATCTCACTTCCTTTGATCCTCGTTCGACTGATCTACTCATTTATCTACTCTTTCGGACACAAATCTGACTTCAGCATGCTTTCGGGAAATGTCACGGTTCAGCTGGTGATGTCTGTTTTGGAAGAGATTGTTATTGTTCTCGTGTGTCTAGGAATTGGTCTCACACTCCAAGTGCGACCAAGTCCGGAGTACTCACACCAGCCTAGCGTTTCCGATCGACAGAGTGACGCGATTGAAATGGAAAGTGGTGGCTATCAGGAAAATCAATCTCGCAGGAGGCAAACCCCACGGCCCAAGCGTCGAGGTGGTCCTCTGACCAAACTGGTGATGTTCATCGTGGATGAGATTAACGACAGGAGGAAGTGACGGAATGGTTGAATGGTTTTGTATTAGAAGATGGAGGCCCGGTTTCAAATAAGCGGAGTGATGTTGTTGGATATTAAGATATATTTTTTGGGCCATAGAGCAGGAGCTTAATAGATACATTGATTTTGAAATATGTATTTAATATTCTTATTTGTAGGGTTCTTAAAGTCAGTTGTTTTCCCTTTTGCTATTGGTGAGATCGAGCACGCTACCAAGTCTTACAACGATATATTGAACATCCCAAAGAACCCCTCCATTATTCTTATTTTTTTTAACTTAGTAACGTTTACTTCTTAAGAGGTATATAGCATATCTCCAATAAATTCCGTTGGAAAATGTTCCTTTTTTCATAGTTAAATCCATGACGTCAGGACTGAGCTTCGCTCCAGGCAGAAGCGGCAAAGGGCGAAAAAAAGTAGCCTGCACCAAACAAGAAGATCCTTATCCTGCGATACATCAGACGTTGAATCTGCCAATGGATATCTCAACTCAACTCCCGTGGGGATCCTTCCAATCATACTGCTGAAGGCATCGCCCTGATGGATCCCAGCACAGGGTCTCCCCTGTTCATTGCCCAAGAGGCGCTGTGCTACTACCCGATCAGCACAATATACAACTCATGTCCCCGGTACCTTTTCTATGCTCTCATTCTGGCAAGCTGTGTAACCCGATGGACTGGATGGCTGGCGGACGTGTTTCTGGGCGCTGCAGCGACATATGCAGGGACGGCAGCCATCCAAGCCTTCATTCTCGTTTCCAGTCAACAAAAGCCACAGGAACCTAGTCTCATCACTATTCCGTTTATATCCTCAAACACAAGTCTCAGGAAGGACTTTTCTCAACTGGTCACGGAAACGGACCATCTCACGCTTGCACCTGCCTCTTTGGAGTTGGATGCCGATGCCGTTCTTGCTATTGTCGTTACTGGTTACCTGGTGTTCCTACCCCTCCAAAGCTGGTCGCGAGTCTTGACTCATGATCGAGCGCGCAACCTTCTGTTTTATCTCTGGAATATCCTCATGCTGGCGGGCTCGATCTGTGCTCTGGTCTATGCCGCGAAAGTACCAAATACTCCGCGGCAGTACATGTTTTGCTATCCCGACATCCCACCGTATAGTGACACCTCAAGTGACGGTTGGCAGGACTCCTGGAGGACTTCGACTTGGAATAACAGTGTGTGGGAGACATTCTCGAACGTCTCACGCTTTGGCCAAATTGGGGATATCTGCTATAACCCCTGCTTCAATACTAGCCAGATTCTACGACAACAAAGCTCCTTGCACTCAGCTACTGTAACAGAAGATGACTCCGCAGCGCCATCATCCCATGGATTCTGGAACAAAATCCTTTACTCGAAGCGGTACATCTACAGTCTCATCATCCTATGTCTCGTTCTCAACTGCCTACTGCTGGTCTTCAGGTTTCTCCCATACAAATCGCGAATCCCCTCTTCTCAGATCGTAGTTATCTGCAAAAGTCGACGGAAAATTTGGAACGACTTCAAAGAAGATGTTCGCAATGGAGTGAAACGCCCAGTAAACGAGAAACCCGGAAATGAAGAGGGCGGGACTGCAACACCTGTCGCCAAGCAACCCTCACACTTGCGACGACTGCGGCCTTTCCTCACCTGGCAGTTTCTTAAGGCGTTTTTGCATGTTTCAGTTGACGCTGGGATTCTTTTCGGCATTTTCTTCAGTATGATTATTAGCCCATTCACTATCGTCGCATTCGTCGTGTGGGTTGAGTGGACTCTATACAACGACGGCCCATCACAGGAGAGTCCACAACAGGTTGGACAGTGGGCGTACCTGGTTTCGATTGCGCTTCTCGTCATCTCCGCTGGGATTTTAACACTAAAGTATCGACTCGCCTCATCCACGGAGTTGGACAATGAGATCGATGCTCTGCGAAAGCACTTGAGTGATCTGGAGGAGAAGAGAGAGGCCCGATCATAGTCAGGGGAAATTTGAGGCCAGTTGACTGGGAGATGATCAATGAAATTAGACTTACCAAAAACACCCAATAGATACCTTCCACTGCGATGCTTTGCTTCGGTGGAAGCGGCTCTGCTTCAGCCTTCAGTTGGCCAATAATTGGGATTTTAAGTGAAATCTCCTTTGCCGTGGGACAGGACAACTTGACAGGACAACTTTCTTTGTTTACTCTGGCAGCCCTCCCATATTCGCCGGGATAGCTTACCGTAATTGGGTATTACTTCGAATGGATTGAAGCAGCTTGGTCCCCCAAGCCAGCCCCCTTTTGGCACCAACTACGCGTTGCTTTTGTCTTTGGCCGATTCTACTGATCTCTTTCAAAATTTGCGAACGCCAAAATGATAAAAGTAATATTATTACAGACAGAGCTAAATTATGTTGGTTGATTGATTGACTATCCCAGATACCGAAAGCATGGGCGCAAGGCTTTCGAGCTTTTGCATCCGATACTGCAGTTGCCAACGCAGATAGTGGCGTGAGTTGAGATATAACCCGCAGGAACGCGAGACTTTCACATGATAGAACTTCTGACGTATCAGCAGCAGAGGATCTAATGAAAGAAACCCATGTTGCATCTAAGCGATGGCCAAACCTTGATAGCCGATCACTTGGCAAATGTGCGGGGGTGGGCCTCGTCCCCAAATAGGAAAAGAGACATGAAGCTAACCCTGCAACTGTTACGAATCAAGGTCAATGCTTCCTTCTTTTCATGAAAATGGGACATTCGATTCGAGGAGAGGCTTCCAAACACGGCTGGGATTTCCTTATCGACTGTTATTGCATCACGTCCCGATTGTGTTACATTTTACAATAATCCTCGGCACTGACCGTTCCCCGCCCTAGGGGTTGCATATGGGGTTCTTTATCTACTGATATTTTGTTGTATCGTGTGCGGGTTTTCATTTTGTCTTTACCCCTGAGTGCAGACTGAAGATGGCCACACAGAACAAACCCAGCTTAGAATGTGTGGAAGACATCTCTCGTGTTAGCACAAGCGAGAACAAGTCGTACATTCCACTATGGCAATCTATCAAGAAATGGCCAAGGATCGTGGGATATTGTCTCGCCCTAAGTTCGGCGATTCTGCTCTACGGATATGACCTCGTTATCGTGGGAACGGTGGCCGCGATGCCTCAATTTCAGTATCCCTCCCAACCCTTGGTTTGACACAGCCAGGACCTTGCTCACACACAGCAGGCTCATTTTCGGACAGGAGCTCAACGGCAAATACATAATACCGTCTATGTGGCTCTCCCTTTGGAACGTATCGAGTTGCATTGGCATGATGATTGGTTCCATTCTCGGTGGCTATTATCAAGATCGCCGCGGTCGTCGCTTGACCCTTGCGATAGGTAGCTTCCTTTCTGCAATTGCCATTGCGATATGCTATATTTCCGATCTACCCGATAGCATCGAATCGCGTCGAGGGGTTTTCTTCGCGGGTAAACTCTTTCAAGGGATCTGCATTGGGATTCTTCTGTGCGTTACGCAGACATATATGTCTGAAGTTCTCCCAGTGGTCCTGAGAGGACCTATTATTGCATTTTATCCGATCTTTACACTTCTTGGACAACTAGTCGGGTCTATCGTGGTCTACACTTCGCTCAAGCACAAAGGCCCCGAATCCTATCGTATCTGCTTTGCGTCGCAGTGGCCATTTTCAGCTGTGCCCTTTGTACTGGCGGCCATTTTACCAGAGAGTCCGACTTGGCTTTTGAGGAAAGGAAGAACGGAGGCAGCTTTGAAAGCACAGAAGAAACTTAACACGGCAAGAATTGACTCGCAGGCTGTTATTGAAGAGTTACAGGCCTCTATTTTAGCCGAACAGGAGGAGAAGAACACGCACAGATACATTGACTGCTTCAGAGGAGTCAATATACGGAGGACCTTGATTGTTGCTTTCGCAAGTCTGCTGCCGCAGATGTTTGGATTGCAGTTACTGGCAAACGCCTCCTATTTCATGCAGATCGTGGGCATGAGTTCGACAAATAGTCTAATCTTTTTGATTTTGGGCATTGGACTAGGTTTGATTGCGAATGTGATCAGCCTATGGACTTTGAATGCTTTTGGTAGAAGGTCTCTCATATTGGGAACTCTGGGTGCTGCCATGGTACTATGGCTAGCGATGGGAATTGCAGGATGCTTCAGCGGTACCGTGATGATCTGGTAGGAATCCGCCATCAATGTTTGGAAAGTTAGTCTAACTTAATAACAGGTACACATCTATCACCATGATGGTGGTGACCATGGTCTCTGGTCTTGGAACGTGGCCTGCAGCGCATGTTGTCGCATCGGAGACTTCGTCGCTACAACTCCGAGCCAAAGCCCAAGGTATTGGATGGTTTACCTCGGGTGTTGGCACAGGGGTATTCGCTATCATCTTGCCATATATCTACAACGCAGATGAAGGAAACCTGCGCGCCAAGACCGGATTCGTTATGGCTGGATTTGCTGCGGTCGGAATCATCATTTCGTGGCTCGCTGTCCCGGAGATGAAAGGTCGGACCCCTATGGAGATTGATCGTATGTTTGCTTTGAAACTACCGACTCGGGCGTTCAAGCTTTGGAATAGCGATGTTTCTGTTGCGAAAGAGACTGAAGAGTCTAGTCGGCCGCCTCAAACATGATCCTTCTACATATGTGGGTGCCTTCGTCGTTGATATTGATCTCACCTGCTCTTCTTGCCCGCGTTAAGTTAATATAGCTGCTACGAATGCTTTATCTTCAATACTGTAACGCTTTCCACCTCCCAGTTTTGTATCTCCGTCCATCCACTGTACCTAAAGTGGAGCTCCTAGCTCCAGCTTGATCTATCACCGGTCGCTAATTACCCTCCGACTAACAAGACAACACGAACTTTCCCAAGATTCCTGTACATTACGGAGTATTTAGTCATTGTGTGTGTGACACGATAGGAGGTAATGGAAGCCCATGTGCAACTACATTTCTGCAGATCATGTAGTTATATAATTAAGCGTGCATAATGCATTGGACATCTAGAAACTTGCAATGTGTCGGGCCCCAAAGCGCGGATCTGATACGGCGTTCTTAGGAAGCGGGGCGACAGCCGTATGACTAATCTGCGATTGATTCCCCAAAGCTGACTCTTTTCTACACTACTCTCGGTTTAACGCATATTATTCACTGCAATTCTCCTTTCCTATGATAAATGGCTGATACTCCGGTAAGGAAGAGCTCGGCGAGACCCGCGACGAGAAACTCACTATCTTGTGCACAATGCCGCTATAAGCATCTGCGTTGCGACGGCTGCAAACCAATATGCTCACGCTGTGAGACGGAGACAAAACAGTGCATTTATCCTCCTTCGCGACGGCGTGGGAACCCAAAAGCAAAGCAGCCGACATATACGCTTGAAAATCCAGTCCATGAGAGCTCTGTTGAGTCGTCGTTGGACAGTCATTTTCAAACATCTAATCCCTCTTCATCATCTTCGATTGCTGCTACCGGGGAAACTGAAGCATATTTCAATTTGAACTCTCAATATTTGGGCCTATACTATGAGTCATTTCACGAGGCACACCCTTGCGTCCTGCCACTGCATGTGTTGAAGCAACGACTCACTGATCCGGCAATCCAGCCCCTTCTTCGGGTGTTGTGCTATGTTGGGTCAATTTTTGACAGTTCAGGCCCGTCTGAATTGTGGTACCAGCGTGCCCAAGAAGCAGTGAGTGAAATTCGCATGGCAACTCGGTCTCTCACTGCATTTGATGTTCAAGCTGTACTTCTCTATTCTATCGTCGTTTATTGGTGCAATGAGCCAGACCGAGGCGTCGAGCTACTTGATGAAGCGATCCGCATGGCAGTATCCATCGGAATGAATAGGAAGGAATTCTCTCAGACCTATGGGCATGGCGACTCGTTCCTTGAGGAAAGCTTGCGACGAACTTGGTGGGTGATCTACATCACCGACGCCCACATCGCCGGCAGCACACACACATATCCATTCCGAACCAGTAGCATTGATATAACTACAGACCTTCCCTGCGAGGAAGATGAATATGAAAGTGGAGTAAGTGAACCCCTCCACATGTTTATCTCTATTTGCTACTTAAATGTTAAGGACAAACAACTTGTGCCGTTGGATGCATTACCTCTGCCTTGCCAGCTCTCTAACTGACAGTTGTATCAGAACATCCCACCGCCAAGATCAATAGAGGATTATGAGAACCGTGAATTTTGCACCGAGGAAGACACTGAATTTTCGTCCTATGCAGAGCTCATTGGTCTGACATGGGGAGTTGATCGGGCTTTATCGCCGGGGAGTACGACAGACCCTCAACTCTACATTGCCATGGCTTCCGCCTCTGACACCAGCATCCGAGCTTGGTACAGCCTTCTTTCTCCATCGAAGAGAGAGCCCATTCGGCCTGATGGATCCATTGATGAAGTGATGTTCAAGGCATTATTCATCATGCACACGTCAGTTACCTATTGCTTCACCTTTACATTACATTTCTGACATTTGCCTAGGTACAACATTGAGATTCACCGACCGCTGTCCGCATTAACGCACAGCGCAATTGAGTCTGTCTCGCGCTGTGCTCCCAGGGCGCCATCAGAGCAACTGAAATGCAACAACGCAAAAGAAAAAGACCTTCACACCCTCAAATGCACGAAGGCTATAGACAGCATCGACGAACTGTTGACTCTGCCAACCAACATGAAATCACACTCTCCGTTCATAATTTGCATGATTGCCAATGTGACCATCGCACATCTATCAGCTTGTCGATTTATCTACCATGGCCAGAGATTATCCCAGAGCCGCGAGAAGATTCGTTTGGCGATGGGCACTTTGAAACGTCTTAGTGAGCACTGGGTTTTGGGCAAGCGGACATACCGTGAAATCGGGATCATTGCTCGAGAGCTATTATCACTGGCGAAAAATACCCCTGTTGGTTTGGGGGGCGTTGGCTTATCTTTGCCAGATCCACCATCTATTGGTATTCCTGCTTCAGATATGCTACCGGACGGAAATTTCGACTTTTGTTCCTTTTTTGATTCGGCTACATCTGGACTCAGTGAGCCTAGCTTGCAATTCATTTTGTGACGGCTGTTACCAATATATAACATATCCCTTCTCCTTCTCTAAATTGTCCTAAATCGATCGTCTATTTAGTACGGCGACTGGAGTTTGACGGGGCTAAAATGTCCTTCAATTATTGCAGACTAACGAATCGCCACGTAGATAAAAGCACATGCAATCACCAAAATATCTGTGCGCCAAGTTCCATTTTGAGGGTGATGAACAATCTTCACATCTCATCCAACTCGGGCTCCCGGTCTGGCTCGTCGGCAGGCTTGGCTGGTCGTTTCTTCCCCACTGGTATCTTCCCCCGAACGCTGTCGTATATCTCTTCCATCGTCTATCAATCAAATGGTCAATGTCGAAAGATACAGGATGCATGGGAATATACTAACGGGATGGTATGATTCCTCCACGCCTGGATTTTTGTTTCTCCGCTTGAGGATTTCTTCTTTCAAAGGAGAGTCCTCGAAGTCATCCGGGAATGAGGCACCGACGTTCACCGCTAATGAAGTATGTCAGATGTTGTGCAACCAACAGGTTGAATCAATACAGCAACCATACGCTCATCGTTCCCCTTAGGCTGAGACTCAGCCTTCCCATGCACCGAGGCTCTTGTAAGTCTAGGGAGATAGGAAGCGGAAGATCTGGCAAAATATCGTTTGATAAGAGCGTATTCCATCGTGCTTGAAAGGTGTACTTGTGCAACTACTGATTCTTGACGTTCCGTTAAGACTTCTTTAAAAAAGACAGCTCAGGCGATATCCATGGCTATAATTACGATGATGATGTCAGTCCCGTTACCTTCTGGATTCTGAACTCGTATATCACCGAATAAGTCGAGAGCCATTCACCAAACAAATAATGATGACGTCAGCGGTGTTCTCATTCGTGACCAGGTTGGATGGGTGGCAGATGATTATATTCGACCAGCCAATTAGAAAGAAAGAAACCGCATATATTAAGGACAGGATAGGAAATGATAAGAATACAAAGTCAGGTAAACTACAGATACTGAGCGGGAACTTGAGGCCAAGCATCTATGCCATCCAACAACACAAGGCCCATACCCGAAGAGAGGTGTGTCTCCATATGGCAATGCAAAAGGAATGGGCCCGGGTTCACAACCTGGTACCGAATAGCGATCCAGGCTTCCCCGTTCGGCGCGGTCACAAATGTATCCCGATACACAGGCGTGTTGAAGAAGCTGTCCGGGCTGCTGTTTCGTGCTTCCGCGATAGATCCCCACGCAAACTTCCCCATTCCACTCCCAATCAAAAATGCCTTGTTTGAGTGCTTGTGCATCGGGTGCGGTGGCTGAAGTTTGGTTGGCTCTGGGATGGCAAGCTGGAACACAATATCTACCCAGGTGCCATTCCGCGTCTCAATCTTGAGGGAAGAATCCAAGCCAGGTGCTTGTGGGTTGAGAATAACTGGCTCCATTTGGTTCAGATTGGCTGGTAAAAATGATGTTCCGTCCAAAGTCCATTCCCAGGATGATTTGATCCGTCCGAGGGTTAGGAGATGGAAATCATCGGCGTAATCCGCAGGTAGGATAGGAGGGTATGGCGGCAGGGTTGTTGTGTCAAGCGGGATCACAGCAGCTGTGGTGTTGCTGCCACCATAGTCGATGTATGGCGTCGATTCCCGCTTGTTTTGCTCGCCACCCTTGTAGGAGAGTGTAGCAAAGCCAGAGATGACCTGGTTATTGTGACCAGCGACACGGATGGTGTAGCTGCCAGCTTCCTTGTCCAATTTGACCATGGCGGAGTAACGCTCTCCATTGTAAATGGAGACCTGATGGGCAAGTTGCGGCTCAATGTAGCGTCCATCAACCTCGTATATGTACATCGGGTGCTCATCGATGGAGAAGATGAGAGATTTGAGACTTGCTGCACTGATGAAGTTGAAACTGGCCCATTTAGCTTCAGGTGCCACTTCAAAGACGGAGGTTGGACCATCGCTAGGTGTACATCCGGAGTTCATCCCCTCAGGAAGTAACTCTGGGTGGTGCTCCCAATCACCTTGGAGGGCCCGCAGGAATGGATCGCATCTAGCTAATATTAAACTCTCTGCAGTCGGTCTAGCAAGGTAAAGACTCACCCTTTGTCCGTCAAACTCTCATTTACGACCGCTCTGACCGGGGCGGGCTGGAGGTTTGTCAAATATTCAGGGTCTTTGCAGTATATGGAGCCTGCACCATCGATGAGAATGCTATCTGAGCAACTGGTCTTGTAAGCATCGCGCTCTTTCTCTCATACTTGGAGCCTTACAAGATATCATAGCCCGTTTTTTTCAGGACATCCATGTATTCATCGGATGGGAGATGGTCCCAGTCAGACAGCATTACCAACTGGGCATCATGCGCAGCATTGGTCATGGCTGCAATATCGGCGGGGTCGTCCGAGATCATTGCAAATGGTGACTCTCGGTTGGCAGACGGGCTGGTTCTTTGATTAGAACTGCAATGAAGAAATGCTGCTGCATACGCACCGAATACGAATGGCACCATAGAGACCATCCATCATTCTATCCTTGTCATGAGCATGGTACCAGTATGTACCATACGTCGTCGCTTGCCACTGGTACCGATACTTTCCACCGGGCTTGATGGCCCATTGAGATAGACCTGATACTCCGTCCGCCCATGGGGTGTTGGTTTGCCTGGTGTAGTTTAGTATTCTCCAGTTCTCTGGTAGGTTTCTTGCCGAAGGAGGCCTTACTCAATGCCATGGAAATGGACAGATGTATTGAATGGCAAGTTGTTGGTCACATCTATCTATTTCTCTCAGCATGTGAGATAAACAGAGCACTATCAGACTCACTATGATTTCATCTCCTTCATCCAAAATCAACGGCGGACCTGGAAACCGATCATTCACGAAGATCATCTCCCTCTCCACCCCGTTCGGTGCGCCCCTCTGCCATGTAAGGTCGAGATTATAATGAACTTGGGCTGCCTCAATCAGGGCAGCGGCGCCCATCAAGGTCAGGAACAGCGACTTCGTTTGTGTCATTTTCTGTAAGCTAGATGGGTTTGAACCCAATATTGACGCAAAATAAATTCTCCGCCAGAGTTGCGTCTCGAAAATCCCTGCCAGCCGGCCTTATAATCAGACCGTGTTGAACTCCTTCATAGTTGCCAAGCCCACATTCCTCCCCTCAGCATAACAGCGGGCCCTTGCATTGAACATTGTTGCCAACCACGAGAACTTGATCTCTGATTTGAGTCTGGATCATAACACTGATCTCATTCGTTGAATGTGTGTCTCAGTCGATATACCCGCGGGTATTACTGAGGCCAGGTAAAAACGTCGTTTAAAGGTGGAATGACTGTTATATCAGCCGTGGTAGTTCGCGATGTCACTGCAATAGGTCGAGGTCATCAAATTTTGGAGAAGAAGGGTGAGTCAGGATTTTGATTGCTTTTGTGCTGAAAGTAACGAAGGCGTAGCAAAGAAGGATCTGGCCGGTGTCCCTATTTGTTTCGCCGGGTTAATTTATCGTCTGGAATGTGGTGCAAGGGAGGACCAGAACACAAAGCGCCAGAATGGCAGGAGTAGTTTTTCATCATTTAACGTCATATGTGGCTTCACTTTTGTCGCTCTCACTGCTAAGAACTGCTGATGATGGTGGCTGAATCGTCTATGTGCAAAGATAGCACACTAACCTGTTTAGGAATGGCGCCCAAGGAGGACATAAACATTGCGTTTTGGCGGCCCGAACCCTTCCAACAGTACTTTGTTATGGAGAATAGTAGAGTATTAATTGATTTCCTTTCACAAAAGCATGATGCAGCTCGAAAAATATTCATATTTTCTTACTACCTAACTATTTGGATACATAGTCGTGGCACGCATTCACTGTGTCACCCTCATCACGTATAGGAACTATAAAGTATAGTTTCGTCACGGCTGGGGAGTCAATGTTCATGCCACAGGTCTATACTCCTCATCAATCTGGATGAGAGCAGCGATCCCATCCCTCTCAAAGGCATCGGTATCCGTCACCATGGTAGCGATCAGGGTTGCCGGCTCAGTTTTGCTGGCGTTATCGCTGATGCGATGATGGCATCCAGGCGCCTCGAACCAGCTTCCTCCCTTGGGAAACGTCTTCATTGGATCGTTGTTCATCTTGTTTAGGAGGAAGCCCTCCAGAACATAGGCTCCCACGTTGGCGCCGCCGTGTCGGTGAGGAGGGGTAGAGCCATGGGGAGGGAATTCGACGCGTAGGCTGACGATGGACTTGTTTGGGATGCCTACGAGTCGATAGGAGTAGACGATCTCGATAGCTGGCATGGGACGGCTAAGCCAATATCAGCTTGTCCTTCAATTTGTCAGCTTGCTTGGTCCTCCAATCTCACCTAGGGTCGTAGGTAGGTTCCTGCATTTTCAAAGAGGTTTTGGGTGGTTTTCAAACGTTGAGATATAAATGTTCTTGCTGTTCTGTGCTGAATTGAACTGTTCAAATCTAGACTTGGTGGAAGTCTTTAGAGATATATATAGTTGAACAGTCGCCTAACACAATGTAGTACAAGTGAACTTGTAGCCACTTCTTGATTAGCTTGTCTGGAACAGATAATTCCGTATAGCCTACAATGTGTCAAAGTTTCGGATGTCTTTTGTTGGGAACATTACTGAGACATGATGATGTTACGATGCCATAGTTCACCCGATGCAGATAGGCTATCAATAGGCTATCAACTGACAGCCTACGTACCTTCGGCCCGAGCCATCTACGACACCTACCCAGGGCCCCAAAAGTTCGCAAAACTATACAAAAAAATAATCTAATACTGCAAGTGAATGTTACGTTCTGCGCCCAAAAACAACTTGGCGTTCTTAGCGGGTATAGCCCAAGTGGTGGTGTCACTCCCGTTCCGGGGTTTTCTGCCTATTGCTGCAGCGGTAGCACTGACTTAAGATACTTCTACTGCTCTTTATACATTCTACAAATCTGTACCAAGCCAATCCCCAGAAAACTTTGAATTCCGTAAGAACCCGATCACAACGCATCAATTCAAGAATTATAATTTCACACCGCCACAATGACCGACCTTCTAATTCAGTCTGTGATATTTGTGAAATGCCCAGGAAAAGCGCAAGTCGTGAACGACTTATCTATTCCTTCACCTAATATCGGTCAACTCCTAGTCCGGACACATGCTGTCGCCATAAACCCATGCGATTGGATGACCCTGGATACCTTTGCGAGACCAGGCTCCGGAACGGGATACGATTTCTCTGGCGAAGTCGTCCAGATTGGAGGAGTTCATGCTCGGTGGTCCGTAGGGGACCATGTAGCTGGATTTTTGCATGGTTGTAAGCCTCACTTAATTTCTCATAGGCCAGAATAACTGCAGTACCAAATTCTTCCTCAGGTCATGCGGCAAACTAAAGCATTGGGGCTTTTCGCCAATATTTGAATTTAGACGCAGAACTTGTCGTACGCTTGCAACTCAAATCCCATTTGAGGATGCGTCAACACTCGGCATGGGCATCCACTGCGGCACAGGCTTCGTATCAAGTTTTGGCACTCCCTTTACCAAAGGTAGATCCGACATCAACAAGTCAGACGATTTTGATATATGGGGGAAGCACTGCAACAGGGAGTCTTGCGATTCGATTTGCGAAACTGTAGATATCGGATCTTCGGATTGTGACCTACGCTAACGACTTATTCTTAGAGCTGGGCTTCGAGTGTCACAACATTCTCTAGTCAGAATATAGCATGGATTCAATCACTTAGACCTGATGAGATAGTCGACTACAAAAGCACAGATGCCGTCCAGCAATTTCATTACTTGGTGCGCGAACCAGAGTTATCATTGATCTTGGATTGTGTGGCTGACCAAGATATTGACAAGTTTTGCTACAAATGCTTCACCCCACAGAACGCAACTACTCAATCGTCGGAATACGTCTATTCTTCATTAATGCCAGTAACAAATGCCCCCACTATGGCAGATCCTTTACCTGTTTCTACGATACGGAGCACATGGAACTTCGTGTATACTTGCTTTGGGCGACGATTCACTCGCATGGGCAAGACTTTGGAGCATTCTGTTGAGATAAAGCATACATGACTGCTTTCTACTGCCAATTCGAGACGCTACCCGCGAATATCAAGGTGCGCCCTATGCCTCACGAGATCATGGCAGGTGGATTGCAAGGTGTGTTGGAAGGTATTTCTCTCAGCTGGGAAAGTTCGTGCGAAGAAGGTGGTTTATCCCATTTCACAAGACGTTCGGTCGTTCGACTGTACTAAGCAATTCTGGATTTGATGCGTTAACTTATTCGTTTGATTTTCGCATATAGAACTACTGCCAAGGAGCTAATACAACACCCGTTATTATTCTAAGACCAAGGTTAGACGCCAGAATCATTCTGCGTCACATCATCACCGTCCACATAGCTCTTCCAGTAAGTGGAATTCATCTGAGCGTAGTCAGTCTCGATCTATGATTCACGCTCGAGTATCTGGACAGCAAATCCTTCAGAGGTGTGCCAGGCGATGTGGCAGTGCATAAGCCACGCCTATAGAAAAAAGAAATTAGCAAAGTTTATTCAAACTTTCTTAACGGTAGACTTACACCAGGATTGTTAGTCTTGATTGCAATGACCAAGTAGCCACTAGCTGGCATCATTGCGACATCTCGTCGCGGCGCATCCACCAGCGTGAGACTGTTGGGATTTGAGGAGTCAAATTCGCCATAACCGGAGCCCAGGACCCAAAAGTCGTGACCGTGCAGATGCATCGGGTGGTCTTGGGCGAAAGGAGAATGGAAAGCCATGTGCCCGTAGCATGGTAATAATTGAGCAACGGATATGTGTTTGGGCATACTAGTTATTTGGTCTACGCTTTCTTAAAGAAATAAATGATTGTTTCTCGAAATGGCTCCTAGAATTGAAATAATTGCTTGATCGGTACAAGGCATGTTATAATAATTAGGCAGATATGGTATTTCATACGCAGTACACCACACACGCTCGAAGCCCACAATCGAAAAACCTAGACTTAGATAATAGAGCGCACAACCCGCAAAGGAGCAGCCTTGAACCACTCTCCCCAGGTGGCATATTCGACTTTCGGTGGAAGGTCAACATCCAGTGCACCATCACGTATGCCACTAACAATATCTATCTTATCGACAGAGAGGAACCATCCACCACGGTCCAGCTTCGGGTCTTTGTTTAGCTTGGTGTAGATCAACCAAACTACAAACAGGAAGATGACAAGAGGTGCAGCGAGATAGTTCTCAAAGAATCCCTGTGCATCTTTTGGGGCAACAGAAACGTAAAACTCGGCAACGAGACACAAAATGTTAAGCGACAGACCGATCCAACTTCCAATAACGCCAAATGGAGCCGCATATGCGAGTTCCCTTGCCGTGTGTCCATTGGCCTTCCAGGCGGAGCGGAAGCGGATGTGTGCGAGACAGATACTTCCCCAGATGAAGAAGTTTGAGATACCAGACAAGGCAAGAAGCCAGTTAAAGATGGTACTTCCGGTTGATGCCTCGTTAATGAAAGCGAGGAATCCAAAGGCGATCTGTAGAAGAATGCAGTAGAGAGGGCGCCCTCCCTTGTCAATGTATGCCATGAATTTTGGCGCCATGCCCCGTGCAGCTAGAGCTTGGAGAGTCCGACTTGATCCATAGGTTGCAGAGTTGGCGACACTGATGACTGAAATAGTGATAATCGCATTCATGACAGAGGGCAGACCAGAGATACCAGCATTCTTGATTGAGACGACAAAAGGCGAGGCCTTGGTGTTGGCGCCCGAGGCTCCGAGCAGCCATTCGGCGTTTGAAGGCACAATCAAGCCAATAACGAATGTTCCGAGGACATAGAAGATCATAATACGCCAGAAGACCTGTTTCGTCGCTTTGGGGATGGACTTGGCTGGGTTTGCGGCCTCGGCAGCAGCGAGACCAGCCATCTCTGTTCCACCGAAGGCAAACGCAGCTGTAACAAAGACTGAGCAAAAGCCCTTGAAGTCCGTGAACGCGCCTGGGTCACGCCAGTATTTGGCTCCGATATAGCCTCCCTTTGGTGCACCGCCGCAGTCGATAACGATTCCGAGGATAATGAATCCGATCACTGCAATGATTTTGATCATTCCAAGGACGAATTCAACTGTAAATTGTAGTTAATATCGGTTGCATCCAGGGAGTCATGACTTGTCTTACCTTCTCCATAACCTCGAACGCCGAATATTTGGATGGAAGAGAGCACAACCAGGAACACTGCTATCCATATACCAACATTTAAGTCGTCTCGCCAATACTGAATGGTTAAACTAGCAGCCGTGAGTTCGAAGGGAAGAATAATAAGCCATCCGATAGCATAATCCCAGCCAACCGCGAAGCCCCTATTATGATAGTAAGATCGATCGTTAGCCTCTGTGATTGTGAGTGGATGCTTGGAGTACCAACCAGGCTGGACTAATGAACTGGACACAGTATGTGAAGAAAGCACCGTTGACAGGGTATAGCACGGCCAATTCTCCCAGTGCTTGAACTGTGAGAAGAAGCATTCCTCCAACAATCAAATAACAAAGCAGCTGATTGGGTTTTGTCAGTGACTATCGTGCGTAAGAATTGTGGTCAACATACCAAAGAGCCAGGCCCGCCCGTTCGCAATGCACTCCCGGTACTAACGAACAGACCAGCACCAATAGCACCACCTAGTCAATTAAGTCACCATTTGAACTCAGATACATTAGACTATCACATACCGACGGCAATCATCTGCATGTGACGATTCTTGAGATTTCTCTTCAAAGGATTGATCTCGCCGACCGGCTTATCTTCATCGGCTGAAGGGAGACTGTCGGCTTGGTCAACGGCCACAGCTGCTTTCTTCTCGATATCCATCTCTGTGGCAGTCATATTGGCTGAACTTATGGCACTTGCCTGTTACAGACAAAAACGGCTGAGGTAGGAAAGCCACTGGGGAGGGGGGAGGCTGACAATATATACATATTCGACAGCACAGGGACGTGAATGCCATGATAGACATGATACCATTACAGCAGCTCGTGGCGTTCGCCCCCGATCCCATACAGCAAGGAGAAGATAAGACTCCCAAGAAATTAACCAATCACAGTGGGTGCCAAGAGATATTGTTTAAGCTTAGCTTAGACGCCACTTTTGAGGATAGAGTATTTACCCCCGTGTAGACTTGCGTATTATTGGATATACCTCTGCGCTTCCGTTTATACTTCGGACGGGTCCTCTGCTTTAGGGACCTGGGCCGGACGATACGTGCTAAAATAAACAAAATATAGCGATAATAGTCCGGCCCTAGATAAGAACTGCACACTCCGGACCTCCCGGTTTAAGTGGACCACAAGGGAGCAGGGTTAATATGTATGACCTGGGGTCTTGAGTTCCAATTGTGCCGTGTATTTGAACATCCATCCCGTTATCTACCGAAAGAGCTCATAGTTCCAATGACACTCGGTCCCCTAGCGGAACATAGCACTCCAAGCAGAGTATCAGCAGTGCCCATGTCGTGAATTTAGTGGTTACCACAATCATAGGAGCCGCGAGGCGTCTTCTGGAAGGAATTTCGCTTCTTACGAGCCAAGCTGAATCCTAATGCTGGAAATCCTAATGGTGGACTGTGCGGTGATAACATGGTGTGATCTTATCACGGACCAATGCTATCCCTGAAACGATCAAATTTCCTCAGCCAGGGTTACAGAAGTATATTTTCCAAAACCCAGGGGCGCTAGACTGGGAATTTGCCACTTTTCCAAGGAAATATAAGCCGATGCATTGAGAGAGGGAAGCACGGGATCACTTCTGGCTACCCGCCTCGGTACGCCCACTCAATAGAGACATAAATAAAGTTCACCAATGAGATACGGGATGAAGGTCCACTAAATCCGAATAAATATTAGCGTCAGGAATATGGTGCGCACTTACGCTAACGGAGAGGATTATAATGATATTAACTATTTTCCTGCGGACCTAGGCTCTTCATCTCTTTAGGATGCAATCTATGTTTTCCTTTCCTTTGCTAGTTGTACTATCACCAGGGAAAAATGGGACCGAAATGCTGTGATTGCTAGTGAAGCTGTGGAGCTGGTCTGGCTTTGAGGGGTTTTAGTTACATTGCGGCAGCTAGAAGCGTCTACTTCAACTCTGTTTTGTTTAGTCTCTCATTCATTAAAAAAAAAGCACGTGCTCATACCTAGACATATTATAGAAAAGTTGTGCTGTCCTCGTGGATAGAGGAGAGATAGAAATACGCCCTTACTAACTCTCTATATTAGTATACTATACATCCGTTACTTGGTGGATTATATCGTAACCTTCTTGGCATTATGTGATCGTATCAAATTTTGCACCAAGCATCCGTCTATATAATGTCGGTAACGTAGTCTATCTGAGCAACAGTACGAAAAAGGTCAAAGCTCGCTTGTAGTGTCCGAAATAATCCGCTGACTATCTGCGAGGCAAACTTCATGTACAATGACGAGCCATGAAACCCACCTGCCTGAAATTAGGCTCCTACAATTAATAACTCTACTAAGAAGCACTCCGGAGAAACTGGAGTTAGGCGTTGCAAGAGATCGACAGGAACCAAAATACTCTATGATTAGTTCAGCTCGGCGGCGGAACTAGGTCTCGTTTCGGTCACTATTACATGAAGACCAACTTTACGCTGGTTGATGACTATTTGGCAATAGGTATTTCCCTCATTTTGCGCATCCTTTCATATTAAGCTCCAATTTCTCTCATGTGTGCGGTAGAAGATCAGGCTACGCGACTGAGCCGTAGCTGTAAGATAACATGGGAAGTTGAACTGGCGCGCTGCATCATGAATGACGAGTATTATCGCAGTCTTGCATATGATTTGTATCTATAATTAGACAGTTCTTGGCTACAACTGACCTACCAAGGTAGCATGGTGGGTGATTCCAGATGATACGGTATGCGCGGGCATTCCACTCGCCTGGGTGGTTCTCTGGGTTTGCCTATGTTATTGGAGCTTTGAAAGTTGATCTTCAAATTGAGCCCCCATCAGTCATCGAGTATAAAATTTGGAATGGCCAGGTTAAAGCCCGTGAATCTGCATCTCAGCGTGAGGGAATTCAGCCGTGGCCCATTTGAGGGTACAGAAGGGCACACGCCCGGGGGTCGGTTTGGTCAGGTGGGATCTCCGGTAGCTCTCCAAGCATTCGTTGAAGTGCCTTGGAATGTTGGAAAGATTGACTTTGTTGAGTGGGATGTTTATGGAAATACAAAGGTTTATCCCAATGGACTTCGGGAGCACCCAGCACAATGGTCAATCTAAATGTCACTCACACTTAAATGAAGCCTATGTATCCATCCCAAGCATCAGAGTTGCATCTAATCGATTCGGAGAGATAAGTCCTATTCCCTGGCATACAACCTAGGCCGTGGAGGGTCGTTGTTAAAGGATAAAGACATTGTCTCGGGGTCCTAGCTAAGCCGTAAATTTTGCCCACCTCCAGAGCAAGGCTTTTCTAAGGGTAATTTTAGGCAGAGAAATAGATTTTAGATTACAGCAAGAGAGCAGTAGACATGAAGTGCATTCACAAACATCAACCCCTATCCGTCTGTAGAAACTTCGAGTTCTTGCTTTATTTCCCACTAGCCAGGACTTGCCCAACTTGCTCGGCGATGTTGTAATTTGTAACCTTGCGAATCTGGCTGGTCATGAGGGCAGGGAAGAATCCTAGCAAATATTGTTAGCATGGTTCACAGAGTACTTCGAGAGTTCAATCTCACCCATAAGCTTCATGAAGGTGTACATCGAATATTCCTGGAACAATCCCATGTGACGCTTTGTGTTTTGGGTTTTTTGGGCAAATTCCAAGATATTTCTTACACGTGGCTGTCGCAAAGAGGTATATTGTTGTGCGGCTGCTCGAATGGCCTCTTTCTGGCTCTCTGGCGACATCTGAGTATCATTTTCACCACCCCTGTGGAGATAATGAGCCAAAAATAGAACGAAGGCTTCGACATCCTCCAATGCCTGCGAAGAGCCCTGTCCTGAGCTTGGTGGTAGTGCATGTGCTGCATCGCCAACGAGAACTACCCCATCTCGCTCCCATGTTGGAAGTGCAGGAGAAGTCCACGTTGGATACATGTTCTCCACGTGAAGTGATTGAATGATCTTTTGAACAACAGGGTCCTTCCAGTTCGCGTGTCGCTCACGAAGCTGCCGAGTAACATCCGTCATGTCTAGGGTTTTGCGGTCTGGGCATTCTTCGATCTCGTAGGTAGACCACCAAGCGAGTGATTCCCCGGGCTCAGAAACGTGATATGGCGAGTCGCGATTAACAGCAGTCTTTGCGCTCTCAGAGTAGAAATAACCGAAGAAACCATTGCCACCGAAGATGAAGTTCATCGATCCTTTTTCGACAAGTCCTTTGACATCGGCCGCAGGAATGAATCCACCGACACCAACGAGACCCCTTCGGCAAAGGTGAGCAATGACTTTACTCTAAAGCCCGTTGGAAAGAGGGGAATAAGAAGGGCTCACTTACTCGTAATGGGGAGGATATGGGTCTTCTTTGGCATGTGGGAAGAGGGCCCGCTTGGCGGTACTCTGGACACCGTCTGCACCGATGACCAGATCAGCTTCCACTGAGGGAGTGCCGTCGGCAAAGTAAATAACATTTCTCCCTTCGGGGCTGGCAACCACTTCCGATATTCTTTTGTTGATAATGTGCTCGTCTGGAATCCTTGATCGCAGCGCCTGCCAGAAGAAATGACGGCTAGTCGCCACCATGTACATATGTTCAGGATTGTCAACGTCGTTATCCGATGGAGCAGTTTCCATTGTGACAAGTCGCCATCCATTTTTATTTTTCATATTGGAGGTGGCTGTGACATATCCACCGCGAACAACGTCCTTCAACAAATTCTCATCAAGGCGCCTGAGAACATTCAGTCCGTTGGGGCCAACGGCGAGTCCACCTCCAACGAGAAGGGTCGAAGAATGTGTGTATTCGTCTTTTCTTTGATCCGCTGTCACATCCAAGTTTGTGCTGTATGCCTCATAGATAATGATCTCATGCGCTTCATCAGACCCAGAAGGGTTTAGAAGATGCTTTCGCAACTCCAGATATGCTGCACATCCAGCGATGCCAGCTCCGATGATAATAATCTTCATGGTTATAGCGCAGGTAGTAATACGGGTTCGAAATAGAAGAAGGCAATCGAAATTCAAGAGCAGTTCGAAGGCAAGGTCTTATAACACCGAATAGAGTTCAAGCATTATGCGGGTCCGCAAAGCTAGCCTGATTTGGCCTAGAGCAATAATTAAATTATGGGTCCACGGGTCTGGATCACGGGACTTGCAAGCTTGCTCCATTAGTGCAACAATAGATCTCGATAATGTCAATTTGATGGATCTCGGATCTTTTTAGATGTTGCCACATGGTGATCAAATATGTAGGATGCAACATGCGCAAATAATTCTTTGGATCTTGCTGAAGAGCATTTTGGTTCGTTGTCGTCGCTTTTTTCATAAGCATTTGGTGTCGGATGTATATCTTCCTGGATGGGAGGATTCCAAATGCTCATAATCCTTAAAGGAAATCCCAACATTAGCGATCCACGACCAGAAGATGGGCCGGGAACTGCTGCAATGAATTCTTTGGCTGATAAGATTGACTGCGCATGTCGCTGGATGCGTTCCTCGTATAGATAGGCACATGTTGATGACAGGAAAAGAAGCCGAAGGGCTATCAGATTTGCCGAGTCATACACCGAGCCCAGAGCAGCTGTAGGCATATCTGTGTGATAGAGCAGGGGGAAATGACTGGGGTCGTATGGGTCCTCATTTGTATGCTTTTTGTTGGCGTTCATCCATTCGTCTGCAGGTGCTTCAACTGGACTCAGCATGGAGATACATTGCGACCACCATTTGTAGAGTTGGAATATGATGTCCAGTACCATGGTGTTGAGCCTTCCCCGCAACCAATCATCCGTATTGGTTGTTGCTGTTATAATCTTGTCTGCGACTGAAAGGCACGGGAGTAATCGGAATAGGATATCGATAAGCTCGTCAAATGCAGTTTTTGGATGTATCTGAAAAGGTATATTTGTCCATTCAGGTAACGCAAAGGCGTGCTGCTCATTGCGATATATTGAGGCAACAAACTTTTTCAGTTAGCAACCCGTCGCAAAGGCGGAAGGAACGTTAAACCCACTGTTAGAAGTCTGAGATGACGAAAAAGCTGGTGCAAAAACCCGTTGCGGCAACTTTCGGGCCCACCTGCCTCAAGCATCTTCGATGCACCCTTGACATGCTGAACCCAGGCGTCTCCGGATGTACCAGCGAGATGCTCGAAGTGGATAAGCATTACAGTAGCACATATCACATCACCAGTGAAGTGGGAAGAGGCTTGTGATAGTAGGCCATGTAAGCCCCGTAGAGCCCTTGAGTACCATTTGCACGCTTCTGCTTGAATGGAAGAATCCTGTGACAAAGTGCCATAGAAAAACATGGAACTTGCTCGAATGGAATCTTGTACCAGACTCATCTTGGGTGCAACGGTGAATACAACAAGTTGATCCAGCCAGGTCGGCGGTTGTCTAGTAGATACCGGTGCTTTGAACCCAAACGATTCAATAAAATGGGATACAAACAGACGATCAAATATATTAGCGCGACTCGGTTGGTAACCAGTTAGAGGCGAAGAGCGCCAGAGTCTATCAAACTCCAGAAGGCTGTTCCTGGAAACCTGCTGAGAAACATGCTGAGACGTTTGGCCAAGTGATGTTGGCCTAGCAATGGAGCTCGCCCGTGGTTCGGCTGGCGCAGAATGAACGAAGAATGCACCTCTTCGAGCACCTGAACAGCGCAGACCTTTCTTCGCGCATGATATACATCGTGGAAAGGCTTCATCGCACTGAAAGGAGATATAGTTAAGTTCAACACAACATAGTTTGGTTTGGAAGAAAGCACCTTTAGTTTGCGCTGACGACATTCGTAGCAGCCCTTGCTTCTGCCTGAAACGTTCACCATGTTGCACCTAGCACAGGGAATGTCGCACAGGTCACATTGAAGGCAATGTGATTTATTTGTGCTGTGGGTCAAGGGGTTTGTAATGGATGAAGTTGATTCCGAGATCTTGATCCAGGACACGATGTTCATAACGTAATCCGCCTATGAACCCGAGTCCGCCACTCGAGGCATCGGCCTTTGACCTTATATCCCATTGGAGATTTGCGTAGTCGCCTTCCGTGGTAGAAGCGCTTAGTACAGAGAAACCATCGTACTTACGTCTAATTAAGATTATGCTCACAATTCATGGCAAATTCTATGGCGAAAGGGAATGACTGTACAAAAACAGGAGACAATAGAACATCCACATTAATGAGGGCTTCATTTCGACATCAACAAATGAAACCTAGTATAGCTGCAAGCATGCATCTTTTCAATGTCTGATCACGCATAAAGTAAAATTCAACAGAGGCATAACCGTCTTCGCTATCCATTCAACGCCCACCTTACATCAAAACGCAGCATGAGTTCTGTTTCTTGGCCTACATTCATCAGATTAGTATAGATCCAACAATGCATAGTTTTGAGGCACAAACCTGGGTATAGAACATTTTGCTCTGGGCTGAAAGTCCATCACTCTTGGCAACCAACGAATCAATCTTTTCGCCGCGCTCCAGAACACTCTCGATCTAGAGGATATTAGACTGACGGAAAGTTATCCATATGGGTTGTGGGAGCATACCGTCTTGTGGAGGACAATTTTGGTCTCATCAAGCTCCTGCTGGATCTTCATGATGCTGTCTGCCTGGGTGGGATCCTGGTACTTGATGATGTATTCCTTAAGAGCCGGCAGAGGGCAAGCATTCTCGCGGAGAGCAGGATCCGAGAACGAGGTCCGAGGGTGTTTGGCAAGGAATTCATCCACAATCTTGCCAAGAAGTTGGTGGGCGACCAAGGCAGGATAGTCACCATCGGTGACGATGATACCGGCAACACCCTCTGTGCGACCGTAGGCGTGGAATGTGTAGGCCTTCTCCTCAATATCCTGTCGTTGTCCGGCCTTTGTCTTCTCTGCGACAGTTCGGTTGAAGAGCATCAAGAATTCATCGTAGCTGGTGGCGTGGTGGGGTTAGTGACATGTACGTTTCGGACCCAGTGAGACTGGCGAACCTACTTCTGACGAGTAAAGCGCGAAAAGCTGTGTGTTATTAGTAAAGGTTCTGTACACTGTGCGGAAGGCTGTGAATGACATACCTGCTGAGGTCCTTTTCCCCGCATAGCTGAAGAGCCGGAGTGGTATCGTTCCGGAAAACCTGTTAAGTATAGGCGTCAGCACCACATGAAGCCTTCTATTGACAAAGTCAAGACTGTGAACTGAGACATACGCCCATGTAAAGGATCTTCATTGTGACTTCGAAGATCGGTCGACCACAAAAGAATAGGGAGGCAAGTGAGGTGTCGGCGATGGTGGGGCCCTGGGGCGTAGCTATTTATCGGACAGTGACCTGATATCGCAAGGCCAGGCAGACGTGAGCACAAAGTCAGCGGTGAAGTTGGAGGTGGCGAAGCAAGATGAGTGAGCTTGAAACAGGGTCCCTGAGTCCGATAACAATGATGCGGCCTCCGCATTGTCGCCTCAGGCCTGAGCTGTACACCGCTCTTGTCATGCGACCGGCCAAGCCCTGCGGCCCTGCCCTATGACTACTTTCGGCTTCTCCCCTCATTCTCCGTTGCTTTGTCTCTGGCAAAACAAAACATCAGTTCGTCCTTCACCATGGATAATATCTCGGCCACCGAGTCGCAGTGGCTGTCGCAGCTGGCAGCCATGCGTCAGGCCATCGCTGACCTGAAGCTCCCCCAAGAGCTTCCCCAAGAATCGATCGGCTATGGAAGTGATATTGATCTGGATATTGACGACGACTATTCCTCCCCCGGAACAATCGATGACGTGTGGGATATAATCAGCTCGGACGATGAAACCTCTGACGACTTGGATGGGCTCGACGGGTTCAACGAATTCCTTATCGAACAAGAATCCCCCTACAACCGATCATGGCTGGAAGATAAGTGCCAGGACTTGGCCATTCGAAACTCAAGCATGGATGCGACAGAGTTATGCCAGCAAATCATCACCACCTTGGCTGCCGACAGCGACGACGAGGAACTACAAATGTCTCTCGCTGAAATTGTTGGATTTGATGATCTGGATCTGGTTATTGAACTTATTGCTCACAGAGGGGAGGTCTTGTCCGACAAGGGACCCCGCCTGGAATCGCAGACAGATGGACTTATGGCTGGAAGGCTTCAAACTAGAGCGGAGAGAGAACATGCATTGCGCCAACGCGACTTTGAACATAAGAACGCGGCGCTGATGCCAGCACAAAGCCGGTCAGAGCCTGCCTACCCACATGTTTTCAAACAGCACACTTCTGGGAATCTTCTTTCTGCCAGTGGCAAGAAATACGGGCTGCCTCTGGGTAGCAAGCAGATTGAGGAACCAAAGTACACCGAGTTCGAGATCCCAGCTACGAAAGTCGGAACCCTAGGAAAAGGCCAGAAATTGGTTGAGATTGCTAGCATGGATGGCCTGTGTCGCGGCACTTTCAAGGGTTACAAAACTCTGAATCGTATGCAGAGCTTGCTCTACGATGTCGCTTACAAAACCAACGAGAACATGCTGATTTGCGCTCCCACCGGTGCGGGTAAGACTGATGCCGCCATGTTGACTGTTCTCAGCGTCGTTGGAAAGAACACCTTTCCCAATCCCCTGGAAGTCCCTGAAGCAACTGAGTTCACGGTTCAAGTCGACGACTTCAAAATTGTATACGTGGCTCCGATGAAGGCTTTGGCCGCCGAAGTGACAGAGAAGCTAGGAAAGCGGCTAGCCTGGCTGGGTATCAACGTCCGCGAACTGACTGGTGATATGCAGTTGACCAAGCGCGAGATTGTTGATACCCAGATCATTGTCACCACCCCTGAGAAATGGGATGTCGTGACACGGAAAAGTACTGGAGACACTGAACTCGTCCAGAAGGTTCGCCTGCTCATCATTGATGAAGTTCACATGTTGCACGACGAGCGAGGAGCGGTCATTGAATCTTTGGTCGCTCGTACCCAACGTCAGGTTGAAAGCACGCAGTCGTTGATTCGTATCGTCGGTCTATCAGCTACGCTTCCGAATTACACTGATGTTGCGGACTTCTTGAAAGTGAACAAGATGGCCGGCATGTTCTTCTTCGATTCCTCATTCCGACCAGTACCTTTGGAGCAACACTTCATCGGTGTCAAAGGGAAGCCAGGCTCTAAGCAGTCCCGTGAGAACATTGATGGTGTAGCTTACGAAAAGGTTCGCGACATGTTAGAGAGAGGTCATCAAGTGATGGTCTTCGTGCATTCCCGTAAGGATACCGTCATGACCGCCAGGATGCTCAAGCAGCTGGCTGCCGAGGAAGGCCGTGAAGACTTGTTCAGCTGCCATGATCACGAAAACTATTCCAACGCCCTTCGTGACATGAAACATGCGAAGGCGCGCGAATTGCGAGACCTGTTTGCAAGTGGCTTTGGAACGCATCATGCAGGAATGACCCGCAGTGATCGGAACTTGATGGAGCGAATGTTTTCAGAGGGTCTGATCAAGGTTCTTTGCTGTACTGCGACATTGGCATGGGGTGTCAACCTTCCAGCTGCCGCTGTAGTCATCAAGGGTACCCAGTTGTACAATCCCCAAGAGGGCAAATTCATCGACCTGAGCATTCTCGATGTCATGCAGATCTTTGGTCGTGCAGGTCGTCCCCAGTTCCAAGACACTGGTATCGGTTTTATTTGTACTACTCACGACAAGCTAAATCACTATCTCTCTGCAGTCACTGCACAACAGCCAATCGAATCTCGCTTCTCCAGTCGGCTGGTGGATAACTTGAACGCTGAGATCTCGCTCGGAACTGTCACATCTGTTCCTGAGGCAGTGCAGTGGCTCGGCTACTCATACCTCTTTGTGCGTATGAAACGTGAGCCACGCAACTATGGAATCGAGTATGCTGAGCTACGCGATGACCCGATGTTGGTCCAAAGACGTCGGCAGTTGATTATCCAAGCTGCGCAGGTGTTGCAGAAGAGCCAGATGATCATCTTCAACGACAAGACGGAAGATCTCAAAGCCAAGGATGTCGGTCGCATTGCAAGTCAATATTACGTTCTGCAGACTAGTGTCGAGATCTTCAACGATATGATGCGTCCTCGATCTGGCGAAGCAGACGTGCTCAAGATGATCAGTATGAGTGGTGAATTTGACAACATTCAATCCCGAGACAGCGAGTCGAAGGAGCTGCAGAGACTTAGAGATGAAGTTGCACAAACTGAAGTGGCCGGTGGAAATGATACACCACATGCGAAGACGAATCTCCTATTGCAGTCTTACATCTCTCGTGCCAAGATCGAGGACTTTGCTTTGGCATCGGACACTGGATATGTTGCACAGAATGCGGCACGTATCTGTCGTGCCCTTTTCATGATTGCACTGAATCGTCGCTGGGGTTATCAATGCCAGGTTCTTCTGTCTCTTTGTAAATCGATCGAGAAGCAGATTTGGCCATTTGATCACCCATTCAGGCAGTTTGATTTGCCTCAGCCAGTCCTTCGAAATCTGGACGACAAACTGCCTACTACCTCAATCGAATCTATGAGAGAAATGGAGCCTGCTGAGATTGGGCAGCTTGTTCACAACCACCGAATGGGGAACACATTGTCCAAGCTCTTGGACAACTTTCCTACTCTTAGCGTCGAAACTGAGATCGCTCCTCTTAATCGCGACGTTCTTCGTATTCGGCTGTCCATCTATCCAGAGTTCACTTGGAACGACCGTCACCATGGCGCATCCGAGTCTTTCTGGGTCTGGGTGGAAAATTCCGAAACATCGGAAATTTACCACCATGAGTACTTCATCCTCAGCCGGAAGAAGCTTTACGATGACCATGAACTCAACTTTACCATTCCGCTCTCTGACCCGCTGCCGAGCCAAATCTACATTCGTCTGATTTCTGACCGTTGGCTCGGTGCTGAGACTGTTACCCCGGTTTCATTCCAGCATTTGATTCGCCCAGACACAGAGAGTGTGTATACGGACCTCCTCAACCTTCAGCCACTGCCTGTTTCGGCTCTGAAGAATCCCATCCTGGAAGAACTGTATGGGCAGCGTTTCCAGTTCTTCAACCCCATGCAAACGCAAATCTTCCATCTACTATATCACACACCGGCCAATGTTCTCCTTGGCTCTCCTACTGGTAGTGGAAAGACTGTGGCAGCCGAGTTGGCCATGTGGTGGGCCTTCCGCGAGAAACCTGGCTCCAAGGTCGTTTACATTGCACCTATGAAAGCCCTTGTCCGTGAGCGTGTTCAAGATTGGCGCAAACGTCTCACTGGACCGATGGGGCTGAAGCTTGTCGAGTTGACTGGTGACAACACACCTGATACCCGCACTATCCGCGATGCCGACATCATTATCACCACGCCTGAGAAGTGGGACGGTATCTCGCGTAGTTGGCAGACCCGTGACTACGTCAGGAAGGTCAGCCTTGTCATCATTGACGAAATCCACCTGCTGGGTGGAGACCGTGGCCCAATTTTGGAGATCATTGTCTCCCGAATGAACTACATTGCCTCTCAATCTAAGGGATCCGTTCGCCTCATGGGCATGTCCACTGCGTGTGCAAATGCCAGTGATTTGGCCAATTGGCTTGGTGTCAAAGACGGTCTGTACAACTTCCGCCATTCAGTTCGTCCTGTGCCCCTCGAAGTCTTCATCGATGGATTCCCCGAGCAGCGTGGTTTCTGTCCTCTCATGCAGTCAATGAACCGCCCGACATTCCTGGCGATCAAGAACCACTCGCCAGAGAAGCCGGTGATTGTCTTTGTTGCTTCCCGTCGACAGACCCGTCTCACTGCCAAGGATCTGATCAATTACTGTGGTATGGAGGACAATCCTCGTCGCTTCGTGCGCATGTCCGAAGACGATCTAGAGTTGAACCTTGCACGAGTGAAGGACGACGCTCTGAGAGAAGCTCTCAACTTTGGCATTGGTTTGCATCACGCTGGTCTAGTCGAGTCCGACCGTCAGCTAGCAGAGGAACTCTTTGCCAACAACAAGATCCAGATCCTTGTTGCTACCAGCACCCTTGCGTGGGGTGTTAACCTTCCCGCGCATCTTGTCGTTGTCAAAGGCACACAGTTCTTCGACGCAAAGATCGAAGGCTATCGTGACATGGACTTGACTGATGTCCTGCAAATGCTGGGTCGCGCCGGTCGTCCGCAGTTCGATACTTCCGGTATCGCACGAATCTTCACTCAGGACTCCAAGAAGGCTTTCTATAAGCACTTCCTTCACACTGGTTTCCCGGTGGAGTCGACCTTGCACAAGGTTCTTGACAACCATTTGGGTGCGGAGGTGTCCGCTGGCACTATCGGTACGCAACAGGATGCATTGGACTACTTGACCTGGACTTTCTTCTTCCGTCGCCTGCACAAGAATCCATCTTATTACGGTCTGGAGATCTCGGCTGAGGAGCAGAACACCATGGCAGCACAGGCCACTGCGCAAGAGTTCATGATAGAGCTCGTTGGGAAGTCGCTTAACGACCTCGCCGAGTCGTCCTGTGTTCTTGTGGACTCCGCCACTGGTGAAGTTGATTCTACTCCTTTTGGCAAGATCATGAGTTACTACTATCTATCCCACAAGACGATTCGGTACCTCATGTCCCACGCCAAGCGTGATCCGACCTTCCAAGATGTCCTGAGCTGGATGTGTTCTGCAACTGAATTTGACGAACTGCCCGTCCGTCACAATGAAGATCTGATCAATGCTGAACTAGCTCAGAACTTGCCTCTGTCAATCGACTGTATGGGCGACGTGCCTCTGTGGGATCCGCATACGAAGGCCTTCTTGCTCCTGCAAGCATACATGTCACGCATTGACCTTCCAATCGCGGACTACGTCGGTGACCAGACATCTGTGCTCGACCAAGGCATTCGTATCATCCAGGCATCCATCGACGTCATGGCCGAGCTCGGCTATCTTCCCGCTTGTCAGATGCTGATGACACTGCTTCAATGTATCAAGTCAGCTCGCTGGCCAGAAGACCACCCGCTCTCCATCATGCCGGGCGTTGGTACTGAGAAGCCACCACAAGGTCTCCCAGGCACTCTAGTCTCGCTCTCATCGCAGCCCACCGGCGCAGTTGTCGCTCTGGTCAAGAAGCTGCAACTCCCGTTCAACTTCACTCGTGCTGCTTCCCAACTTCCCCAGCTTTCCGTCTCAGTCTCGAGTGTTTCTGAAAGGGGTATGACCGTGTCACTGGCACGACGGAACGCCCCCACAAACCCCGAATGCAGAATCTACGCACCTCGCTTCCCTAAGCCGCAGACCGAAGGCTTCTTCTTGATTGTCTGCAGCGCGACACCGAATGGCGGCGATGGTGAACTCCTTGGACTAAAGCGTGTATCCTGGCCTCCAGTCGCCAAGCGCAATGGAAACGGAAATGGCAAGGGCAACTCCGGTGCTGGATCCAGTCGCGGTGGACCTTCTAACGACAAGGACAAGAGTGGATTGACCGTTCGCTCTTCTGTCAAATTCCCCGAAGGCATTCTCGCACAATCCTCCTCGGCTACAACTGCCAACAAGGCCCGCGTCAATATCAAGGTCATTAGTGACTCGTACGTTGGAATGGTCTGGACAGTCTCCAATGTGGAAGTCGATCTTGACAGTGGCATTGAGACCCAGCTCGTTGCAGAGTCAAGCGTTCCTACAAAGGAATGAGAATATATCTTAGAAACTCATGATCAAAGCACATATCAAACACTATGTACATAAATGCATCAAATTCCATGGTCAAGAGAAACATTAAACCACTTCCTCAGAGCCATAAACCTCCCTTCATCATCCTCAAAAGAATCAACAATCCTAGTCCTCCCACCCATGTTCAACTTCACAACATTATTGACCATCATAACTTTCCCAACCACAAAAACATCACCATCTCCCACAACCCCGTTCCCCTCAGAAATACTCAACCCCCTATCTTCCCCATTCCTCAAAAACCTCACAACAACGAACCTCCTCTTCTGTACCGCATCCCAACTAGTAAACCGATTTATAACCTCAAAATCATCCTGGAAAAACTCCAACTCCGCGAACGAATAGAAAGAATTCCACGGCTTCTCAACACCATTGCGATACTGATATATCCACACTTTCTGCTCTGGCCTCGTCTGCTTCGGCATGGTATCGTATACCAGACGGACTTGCTGTGGTCCTAGATTCTGAGTGATTTGTCCCGGTATCAGGGGTAGTGGGCTTGTTGCTCCGTCTCCGCCGAATGCTGCGTCGACGTGGTATTCTTGGCCTGTTGGGAGGCGTGTTATGTTTACTATGTGTGTCCTAGTTATAGTAAGTACTAATGTCAGAACCAATGTCGATTTCGAACCCAATATATGCTGTGGTTTGTTCTTTTTGTCTGTTTGTTCTTACCATCCTTTAAACTCCCCCTGCGGTATCCCATCAACCCTCTCCCGATTCCGGACACCAGTCATATAAACCGAAAACCCAAGACCGCGAAGTATATGATGGAAGAAGATGCTAACTTCGAGACAGTATCCTCCTCTACCGGACGGAACTGTATCTCTATGGCCCATGAGTTTGGTGTAGATTTTCTCCGGCTGGATCTCCGCTAATTGCGTAGCGGAGTAGTGGCATGTTAGATTGTCGTATGGGAAACGGGTGATCTGGCAGCGGAAAAGGTCTTTTAGTGCTTGTTCTGTTTTGGGAAAGGCTTGGGGGTTGGTGAGGTATGCTGTGTATCTTTCTGGGAGGGCGATGTAGCGTATGTATTTTGTTATTTGGGTTTGTGTGTAGGCTGATGGTGGGTTTGAGGTTTCCATTTTGTTCGTCTGGAGATAGAGAACATGCGAATTGGTTCGACAGTTCATGCAGTTCTATTTAAATGTTGGGTTGATATTGCGCCCCTGCTGTGTGACTCATCCCTGGGAATCTACAACTCGGCATGCGAAAGCAATGGATTTGCTTGGAACCTGCGTGGTCAAACAGGATCAAGTTTCAGGCACCCACTCATCCTGACACTATATCCAATGACAATACGCTGCTGCAATGGGCTTAGCAAATAAAGATAGTAAGTCAAAATACGTATATCCGTTTTGCACGGTCCTTGTTGATTGGATCGGGACAAACGTGCTTGATCAATGGTTCTAACTATAAAAGTCTTTTTGTGTCAGGAAAGAACTCGGCCAAGCGGGTAGACTTGAAATTCTCCAGAATAGCCTCTATGCAGGTGGAAAGGTTCGCAAGACGGGCCAGAAACGAAAGGCTGGGAAGGGAAGTTAGCTCGACGCCATTGTATGACACACCTGAGCCAGAAAAGAGGCCGTACGGCTCTGCAGCAGGACTCACGAACAGTCTGGGCAACACGGACAAGGGAAATAATCTCAGTACCAAAAGGCAGGACATCGACGGTCAGGACACCAACCTCCTGAGTTCCAGAGACCTCAGCAATTATGCAAGCAAAAGATCTGACGAAAGTCAGCCGTCCCCAAAATTGAGCAAATTCTATACTAAATGGCTAAAAAAGACATTGAGCCTACGGAGTTTAAGAACCTGGACGACACATACATTGGAAAGCTTGAGGCTGCTGCTTTCGTTTATATGCATGACCTGAAGAAGGCAGGCTTTCATGTGGATGACGATATTGGTATCTAGGTTGAGAATATCGATCAAAAGAGTTCGGTTATCGAAGTCTATGAAGTGGGCATTTATCTCAGCAATGATGAACCTAGTCTCAGAACCCGTTCACATAAACAATTTTCCTTTCTATCGCTGGCGATGCGGGGACATTGCATATGTTCCACAAGATGATACTCTTATCGCGAAATTGACTGTCCGAGAGAACATTCTTTTCTCAGCTCGCATCCGGATTGGCAATTTATGTAGTCCCGAGGATCTCGAAATGTATGTGGATAGTCTGATCTCTGCCTTGGGACTTGACAACTCAAACTATGAGAAACTTATCAAAGAGAGTATTAGAAATAAGGATGATTCTTTTTTTTATAATGTTAATCCGCGTATTAGGATATTTTTACCGAAAAACCGAAACTATATACCTTTTGCATGCGAGCCATATGCAAACATACCTGAAAAAAGCAATTTTTACTTCGCAAGGTTGAGTCTGTCCCACACAATTCTCGCAGTCCTATTCCTAGATCTGCTCATCTCCAATTCTACCAAGAAATAGCAATCTTAATCACCGCTGGAGCAGGCCCTGCTAAGGCCTATGAGCCATGAGTTTGCATTGAGGGAGAAATTCAGACCTACTCGTCACGAGGACAGACTTATACTCATGAATCCTCGTACCACAGACCTAAGCTTTGTTGAGGGGTTGAAGCATAAAACCTAAATTTTCATCTAGTGAACTATGATGCTGGCATCGTTCCAATGCAAACTTGAAGCTATAGAGGTTACGTAGAATGTCGTGCCAGACCGCTAGTATTTAGCTATCCAAATTTTGTAGCATACATATCCTTGGTTTTCACTCCTTGCATATATGTGAAGTATTGGGTCTGTCCAGAATTCCTTATCATACAGATTCACTTTCCAATGAAGAAATGCAATGCGCTATGGCGTATCATATGCTGTGAGACATCATCACAAATGAACCCGAATAAAGTAGGGTAGTGAAGAAGTTTATTCTACATAAGATAACCCAAAGATCTCGCTTTTGACTTTCTCCTGACCCAAGTCACAGACCCCGCACGATGGCAGCTCAATCCAACTCTTCCCGGTCTGCATACACCTCCTCCACGCCGTCTTGGCTTTATTACTATCAGAATTTACACTTGTTACATTTCACCATTCTCGTCACATTTCTAGGAGTCTTGGGTTTATCTGTTCCCAGGGTACACTTGAGCCTCAAAACAGCTCTCTTGGCATGCGTGCTACATTTAATGGGATTCCTCGGAATCACAGCCGGTTAGTTCGCCAGATTTACGACCCCCAGCAGTATGAGAATCTCGGAAATCTGATTTTCATTTTGCTTTGCAGGATACCATCGTCTGTGGACCCATAAATCATACGATGCCTCACTTCCACTTAGGGTCTATTTGGCAATCGTTGGGGGGGCACAATTACAATGGTCAATTGTCGAATGGGTAACACACCATCGTGCTCATCACTGGTATACTGATACAGACAAAGACCCCCAAGATGCAACAAAGGGCTTCTTCTTTCGCCATATGGGCTGGCTCCTTGCATACAAGCCTCAAACGTGGGGTTCTGTCAATATCTCGGACCTCATGGAAGATCCCGTGGTCCGATGGCAACAAAAGAATTATTTGATCATTTTTGTGCTTGGCGGTCTTGGTTTACCGACCTTTATTGCTCACATCGGATGGAATGATTGGCAAGGAGGCCTAGTTTATGCTGGGTTCCTTCGTGTTTTCCTCTCCCTACAAGTGGTATTCTTCTCAGGTGCTCTCATGCACGCCGATTGGGCAGGCGAAAAGACCTATTCAGACAAGAATAGTTCAGTGAACATGTCGTTCATTTCAATTCTGAATAACGGAGAAGGAAATCACAATTTCCATCATACGTTCCCAAGCGACTATCGCAACGGAGTGCAGTGGTACAATATCGACCTATCCAAGTGGATGATTTTGCTGTGGTGCCAGCTTGGCCTTGCAAGAAACCCAGTAACGGTGACTGGATTTGAAATTGAGAGAGCGCGCCGGCGGCAAGAAAGAAGAAATAGGCATGGGGGGACCGTTGAGTATGTGGATGAGGACCACGAGGACCTTTCAACCCTTCCAGTGATGCAGTGGACCGAATACATTGAGCAGGCTAACACTGGTCGTTGTCTGGTGTGCATCAATGGCGTGATACATGATATATCTGATTTCATGGGAGAACATCCTGGGGGGAGAGATTTGTTGCATCAAGTCCTGGCGGACGATGGGACTTCTGCGTTCTATAATGGCTCTCATGATCACTCCAGTCATGCCAAAAATGTTTTGGCAGGAATGCGTATTGCTGTTCTTGAAGGTTCGCCGCCAACGAATCCGCGTGGTTAGTAATTGCAGATAGACATGTTCGAAAGACCACTATAGTCCATGCTGTTTGTCTGGGGACTCGAAGAGAGAGATGCATTGAACTCCTAGATGCAATTTCGCTTGCGTTCCTCTTGCCGCTGGACCAATGCACACTGTTATCGGCTAGGACTTTACCGGAATGATAAAATTAACGAACCATACATGCGCAACTAGCCTCTACCTTCTTTGCTGAATGGACGGTCGGTGTCCAAACCATCCACCTCATTACGAATGTGCCGCAAGTCAAGCATAGTACCCAGTGGTCTCTTGTGTAGTAGAAATTTATTTACTATATCATACTACGTTAATCCGTGCCAATGCGTACCAATGGGACAGTTGAAGCAGATATTCTATCATTCCCGAAATATTGCATCGCTCCTTTTGAATAACACCGCAGCACCGATTATTCAAGGTGGCGTTAGTTTATGAGATATGACGTTGAACATCACCTAAAGTCCATCCATAGCGAGAGCGATCTGACATTTCAGCAGAAGACGACCCAGTCAAATACAGACCGAGAATCTCCCACGTATTGACAAATTCAATTTGGTCTCTACCGTAAAAGTCAAGCAACACCAATGAGTCCGGAACTTGGGGAGCAGAAAATTAAAATCGCCAGGTCGATAGTCTATTTTTTGGGACGCTTGGCTCGTTTCAGATATGAGTGCCGGAACAAGCCCATGAAAAGATATGTCAGTGGAATTAAATAGAGAGTCGTTAAACAAACCGCCAATGCCTCTCCACTGCTCTTTAGACAGGGAATCCTCTGGACTTGAAAGTGACCTCGAAGATGTTGGAGGTGGGGACTAACCCCATGACCCCCTAGAGCGCTAGGCACCGTTGGCATAGAATATGAGGCATCCTTGCTTTCAGAAATTGTTGACGGTAGTCCTCCAGCAAGACCTCCGGGGCGATAGATCAGGGTATCGTACTCAATAAAGAGATAGCCCCAGATGAGGGCACCACCGACGAGGAATTGTGCAATTTCAAGAGCCGTCAAAATCTGTTTGATGAAGCCGAAGACCGGAAAACCAAGGGATGTCCAAGCAAAGTACGAGTACTGAGACAATGGAATTAGGATTCAGCTCCAAGAACAAATTTTGAGTAGAGGGCACATACCACTAAAGCGTGAATCGCCGAGTTAAAGAAAACACCGACCAGGAAGGGAGGTGACGCAAATCGGGCTCCTGCCCACGCACAAAGTATTATACCGCTGTGGTGATAAACTTGTAGGATCGAGCTTCTTTTTCCCTTTGCGAGTGTAATCAAAGTGTCGACCACTTGGTAGAATTTCAATATGTAGAGAGTCCATGCGAAATAGACAAATCCATCGTTATATAAACAGCCCAAGCCGGGTGGGATTGAAGGTTGGACACCTGCCTTTCCTTCAAGAACGTTGAGATTCGGAAGCTTGTCTGGGGCAGTGACGCGGCAAAGAATATCTGCCACATTAACCAGAAAATTTGGTTCTGTTGTCGATGGCCAGCATTTCATCAATGAATGACACAGGCCATAAAATGCACACCCGGAAATGAAAGCTAGGGAAATATTGTGCAACACCACTAGATATTTGAAAACCGATGTTTTCGCAAAGCTCCAAGGCCTATTTTTTCGACCGTCATTCACGCGGTTAAGATATATGACCGAAATCAGATACACGGTAGCTATTGTGGCGGGAGCCTTGATGTCGACAAGGGCGTGAAACAGTGAAGGCGGGATTGTGAATAGTTGAAGCCATGTTGAATCATGCGGCGGTCTAGGTGGAAATTGCACTGGGGCGTCATCAAAAGGCCAGCTGAAGAGCTCTGGAGGTGGTAGCCGAGCATAAATAGAGAGTCTTTGAATGACCATTTCCGTGGTAATGAACGATATATGTAGGGTGTGTGATGATAATTTCCCTTGGGCTAGAGAAGAACACCATGAGTTGTATTTATATGGGATAAGATAGATTATACATGTTCTACATACCTCAGGGACAATCACATAGTAGGACTAAGACAGGATTCCATTGGCTTACCCACTCCTCAACAGGATATAAGTGACGGGTCACAAAATAAGCAAAAAAGGATAATTGAAGCCCGGTCGCTATTGCTGAAGGTCAACGAAGTGCGTGTGATGTGTACAACGAAATTTCAATAATGACAATAATAATATCATCAGACGGTGTAGCTCGAATTTTCAAGGATTCATAGGCCTGTGTGGATATTCAAGCACCTTGCCTTCCTCAAACATGCACTGATCATTTCCTATAAAGACAGCCCGTCCCCCATGGAGAGCTTGTCTGCCCGACAAGTCAGCAGTAAGGGAGGTAGACAAGCATGATCGCAGCATCGAGATCGTAGAGGTCGAGTTGCAAACCGACTTTCTTTGTCAAAGCATGCAACCTTTCATGCTCGACTGCCGTAAGCGCATAACCAACAATTCCTTCGTGAAAAAAGAACGTAAATTGATTCAAACCTTCAGCAGCCTTGCATAATAATAACTGTACATTATAGCAGGCTGTACAGTTGTTCAAGCCGGCTGTGGGATTAAGTGGTACACAAATAATTTCTTAATTTTCTTATTTTTTTTAGAGGTCTATTCGAAATAGTGGAAACAAGGTCTCGCACATAGAGGGCATGGTAGTTTCACACAACTTCTATAATAGGTTTACTATCCTAGGTTCAACCAGGAAGGTTGTAGCGCTAAGTCGAGGTTGGTTTCCTTGTATGGAATTAAGTTTGTAAGGAATTGGCTGCTGTTTGTTCCCTCTCTTTTCTGGAACAGGTATGCGCATTCGAGATGTAGTTATATAAATCACCACCACTCGAACCAAATGATAGTGCTTGGTATAAAGATCATACATATGCGATATTAGATAGATATATACAAACAGAATAGTGAAAGCTGAAAAGGAGATATACACAAGGAATGGAGTATGCCAAAGGGGAATCAGAATATAAGCAAGAAAAACAATGGAATAAAGGAAGATAAAAGAAGGGCAAAAAGGAAAAGAATAAGAAGTGAAAAAGAATGACACAAACAAGAATCAGAAAGACTCGATTCGCAATTCCTGCGACACACCAGGCCGATGACCCCGATGAGCATCCATAATCTGCGGCGTCAAGACTCTCCTCTGCACAAACCTCTCATCAGGATCGAAATGTTCAACCTTGGCCCCGATAGGAACAAGCATCTGGCGCTTTCCCCTAGAAACCGATATCGAGCGAGCAATCGAGACCTCAACTCGCGGAATTGTCCGAGGTGGTTCCTGCTCTAACTCGGGCTCTTCATGTTCATTGATTTCAATGGCACCATCGGCATCCGCAAAGGGCAGGCGCGTGGAATCTGCTGGGGAAATGCCCAATCTCGTCGCTGGGGAGGCTGAAGCTGGGGACATGATTCGGTCGATCTTTTGGTGGGTGGCATTTAGTGTTGATGGTGGGCTTAGAGATGTGCCGCTTGTGGTATTGTCTTTGGCTGGGGGTTGTGGTCGAGCCTCAGTTTGGACTCGGAGACGTGGTCGGGCCGGGTGGTCTTGTTTGTGGTTGTCTGGTCTGTGGTCGACACGGTGATGTGTGCTCTGCTTCTGTGGGTTCTGTGGGGAGGCCACCTGAGGTGGCCTTTGCCCTGTCTGCGGTTGAGAGTCTTTTCTTGGTGGATGTGTAATCTTCCATGGCTGTTGATCCTGCTTTGGGTGAACAGGGTGAGCACTTTTTTGCTGTTTTGCGAACGAGTTTGATCGAGACTTCTGCGGCGACAGAATGTTCTTCGGTGGTTGAACAATTCGCTGCTGGTGGGAAGCCTGTGGCTCATGCTTGATTGCGGGAAGAGGTTTATCTAGGCTGCTAGATGATCGCGGGGTATTTGAACTCGAGCGCTCATTTAATCTCGGAATAAGAGGTGACTCGAATAAAGACGTGCTGTTGATGTTCGAGCTGTTGCGAGAGTGGTTTGCCGATGCCTTAGACGGACTTTCGACAGGCAACGTATTGGACCTGATTAGAGGGCCTGGGCCGCGAGAGAAGTTCTGCGTGCCGAGTAACTGAGCCGCCTTGGACGGCTGTGAGCTCGGGAATAAGGTGAAGCTAGATCTCGCGGGCGACGTTGCCCGGCGTTGCGGCATTGGAGGTGGCACAGGCGCTTTCAGAAATCCCTATATCATATCAGTAAGTTTTATATCACGACATATTTCGGATAAGCCCTACATTTGCGTCCGGGACACGGAGATTGTCCAATGTCTTTGCCCTTCTGGCCAGCAGTGAAGGTCTCTCGTTCTTGTTGACAACGTCGCTGAACATGACACTATATCGCTCCATTTGGATATCCGGGATGTCGACACTCAGCAAGGGCCTTTGAACGGGTGGTTCCTCTGGAGGCGCTTTCCTCCCGCTCAGTGAAAATTTCCGAGGACGTGGAGGGCTTTGATTAATGCCGCCCATGATTGCCTTAGGGTCTACCTCAAAAGCCGGCCACTCTTCCAAAGAATTATTCCTTTCCTTGGGCTTGTTGGACTTCTCGGGTTGCTGAGCCAAGCTTCCATGTAGTTGATTTGATGGCGATGTAAGTGTATTCTTTGCCTTGAACAGTCCCCCAATCTTCTTCCACTTGCTCTGTTTGTAAGCTTGGGGGCTTTGTGTCATTCGCTCTGGCTCGAAGATTGCTGTATCGAACCGAGGCGGCGGTAAAGGTTCATCTTCGTTGATCATGCCGGGGCTACCCAGTGCAACTCCTATCATATACTGCTCGGTCGGTCCGTTGCTAGATGGAATGACTTCATCCGGTGGCGATGTCACTTGAAAGTCGAAATTCGCACCAGGGCCTGGCGGTGGTCTTCTAAACCACCCCTCTACTGGAGAGGGTTGTCGGAAGTCCCATTGTCCAACAATCCCAGCCCGGGTTAGACGTTTTGAAGGGTGATCGTCAAGATTGCGAAGGTCGTTCCGGGGCAAGGCGTCGCTATAGGTCAACACGGGAAATGATATGGTCTCGGTGGGTTGGGTGCGAGACGTGACTGTTGTCGTGCCTCTCGCCATCTCTTATGGGTATACTGGGATCCAGCCGGTATGCAATAGAAGATAAATAGTAAGAAGTATAACAAGTTCAGTCGATTAAAATATGACCCCAGACCTTAGTAGTAGGGAAGGAAAAGCCTTCCAGAAGGCGAAACAAAACCAAAGAAAACAAATAACGAAACCGCAGGAAAGACGGATATTAAAGAGAGCAATTAGCGGCAATAGAGTCAGGGTGGAGCCAACAATAACGATGGACTCTGTAGATGAGACAAATATCAGCCCAAGTACTTAATGTCGTGCCGAGCCCAGATTGGCGCACGATGCCACATCTGAGGCATGTCTAGTCTGGGGCCAAACCGGACCAACAAGCGATCAGAGACGGGATCAGAGACGGGATCAGAGACGGATCAGAGACAGGGTTGGGACCACAGACAGGGCCAAAGACCAGGGGCCAGAGAAGTGACGGTCAGACGCCGCAAAAATCTCTAGAATTCGAGGGGCGCCTCAGCGCTAACATCGTTAGCATCGGGGCTCGTGTGTGATGCTTATTTCGCACCAGACGAATGGGCGTGTTCGGTCGCGGATTGGTTAGCTCGCTAACACGTTGGCCGGAACCAACGAGAGCTCCGCATCGGCCGAAGGACGCGGGCGTGTTTCACTTATGAAACGACTGGTATGATTCAGGGGGCCTCAATATTTGGGCTGTTGCGCACAATGCATCAAATCTGTGTGGCTGCATTGGGCTGGTTTTGAGTTCCTTCAGCAGCCATTTCTCAGAGACAGGGACTTTCAGCTGACGACTTGACTCATGTCTGGGTCAACTCCAGGCAGTGTGATGCCAAGACTTACTCTGATGCCAATGAGTATCTGTCTGCGCCTTGGCCCCCTATGTGGTGAGGTAAGTCCTGGAGCGGTAACTTATCACGGCATCTCGTACCCCTTTGAGCTTTGAGAGGGGATGAAACTCTTAGCGAAGTCCTGTAAATCCCCCTGCACTTGATGAGATGGATATTTTAAATTCCCAGGGATGAAGATCTTCCACGTGCCTGGGCACGTGTGATTTAGGCGCCCAGGCAGAAGGATCGACTGAAGCTACAGTTCATGTACGTACTATAGCTCACGTTATAAGGGAACTATGCAGATGCAGGTCTTTATAGCTGTATGTCATAGTCTTCAGTTGCTCAAGCTGCTCAACTTAGCTTGGCTTTAGCTGTGGAGGTCTCTCCCACCGCTACTTTGTATACCTTACCGAGTTACCACCTTGCCTACAGAATAGTACATACAAATACCCTGAACATCAAAGCTGAAGACCAGTAAATACCGACAATGCAAGAACTGCCCTGTAGACAACCTTGGCATTAAGCATAACCATATGTTAGCCACAGTGTACATGTAAAAGACGGTTGATCGTCATATGGCGGGGCTCCTCTCCCGACCGCCAAACACCGTTTCCCCCCACTTCTCTCTTCTCCCACAAGCTCTCCTTTTCTGTATATTCGACTCAGCTGTGCCTCTCTCTGGTCTCTCTCTACTCTCTATCTCTGTCTAAACATCCCAGCGTTACTCTCTTACCCCCACCCCCTTCACTATCATCATGGGTGCCCACTCAGAAGTTTGGCAAGGTATGAATCACCTATACATCCGACTCTTCTTCCACTCTGCTAACATTTCTATCTTCGATACAACAGGCTACGTCGACTCCAGGTACATTTCCACTCATCCTCACCCTGACATAGTCCTCAACATATTCCCATAACCCCTTCCGCGGACCTCAACGGGCCTCAACGGACCGCAATGGACCGATTCATCAACACCGTTTCCACGCGTGCAGTATGCTGACGACCTCGTTCTCACAGCCTCATGGGCTCGGGTCAATTCGACAAGGCCGGTATCCTCGCCGCTGACTTCTCCGGTCTCGAGGCCGCCTCCCCCGGTTTCACTGTAAGCTCCCAACACTCCCCCAATTCCTATTGTGTTATGCGGGGTGGGGGTCACAGCATCGGAAGAAACGTCGCTAACACAACTGGCTCCCGATACAGCTCTCCCAGGAGGAAATCAACTCCCTGATCTCCGCCTACACCTCCAGCGACAACGCATTCGCCAACGGTATCTCCGTCGGTGGTGACAAGTTCGTTGTTATCAGGGCCGACGAGCGCAGTGTATACGGCAAGAAGGTATGGCATTCTGCTTCTGCTTCTGCTTCTGGGTACATACGCCAAATCCTAGGACGCGTGCTAATACATTTTTTTCCGTGCAGGGTAAGGAGGGCATCATCGTCGTCCGCGCCTCGGCTTGCACCATGATCGCCCACCACGGTGAGAGCGTCCAGACCACCAACGCCGCAACCGTCGTTGAGAACCTCGTCGACTACATCAACAACCCTCAATAGATTGTTTTTAAAAGCAGCACTGCTAGCAATGATAACTGAATGATATGATGAGAGAGAAAGGGGCTTGTGAAGAATAGGAATGAAGGAGCCTTTGAATATTCCCCAAACACACCACTCCACTTGCACTTGCTGGATGATGAATCGCTTCTGAATGTTGCCGTTAATGACCTGGCTTTTGCTGCTTTTCTTTGCTTCTGTCTCGGTGCGCCATGTTTGGCGTAGACGGGACCATGCACAGGCCATGGAAATGTGCAACGCTGATCGTATGCACAATGTAATTGTCTATCTCTAACATGCATATTAACTGATTTTCCAGCTGTTGGCTTTCAACGCTAGCGTTCACAGGGTCATTATTAATTACATAAAGCTTGAGTTGGCCGTAGTGTATCGTGTCATCCCACGTCGCATGTACATGTACAATGTACTCGCACTCATCCTCGGACATTGACTTCGTAGTCGACGGCGTACCAGCGTAAAGGCAAGTCGAGGTACCCAAGATAGATGCGGCGGGACATTAATCGCGGCCTAGTCCGAGTAGTGTAGTGATATGCACACACGGTTATACAGGGAGTTCGGCATTGCTCCTCCCACCAGCAAGAACCTCCAGACCGCGCTGGATATAAGGTCCGATAACAGGGATGTTGCCAGCGAATTGCCCGATGGTAACGAGGAAATCTCCGAAGAGAATGAACAGGCCGTACAATTCAATCAGGAACCCGGTCAAGGGCCAGCGGAAGAGGATGAGGAGGATACCGGCGGCGAAGGCGGCTGTTCCCTTGAGTTTCTGGGGGCGGGTGAAGAAGACCAATGTTTTTTGGACGCCGATGATGAGGGTCAGGCCGATCAGGAAGAGGATCTAGGGGGTGTTAGTGGCGTTTGTGTGTGTTTTGGTGGATAGTGTGGCGTACATTTCCCATGGCGAGTCTGTTGAGCAGGTTGTGTTAGTGAACAGTTCTTTGTAGTATAGCATGTAGGGGAATAGACGTACAATGACCGGTCGAAGAACATCAACACTCCTCCAAAGAAGAACAATCCTCCTGATTTTTGTTAGCTTTTGGTCTTGTTGGTTTGTTTGGCACGCGACACTCGTACCTGCTGAACAGAAGATCACACCGATCTCTGTGAGATAAATTAGCAAGTATTCTCTCTTTTGCCATGTGTATTTCTGACGAAATAGACATTAGAACAAGGATAGTGACGAATGCGACTGACTCTGGTTCTCTGTTAACCACATGCTAGGCATCTTTGTTATCGGGTAGACTGTCGAAATTACGTGGCACTAAGGGGTGCGCAAATCGTCTCGGTATAATAATGCGAGGTTTGCGACAATTGTCACTGGGGTTTGACAGATTCAGATCGTATTTGTTGGTTGTAGATTAGGGGCAGGAGAAGATGCCAGGCAGACGTTTGCGGTAGGACAAAAGCGGGTGGCGTGTTGGCGAGGTTCGTATAGTGGAAAAGAACGAGTTCTTCAGAAGCCGCAGGCGATATCTGAACAACACAATCCTTTTCAACTCGTGCAGCAAAATTCGGGAAATAGTCACAGGCGCAGGTAAACAGAGGCAGTGCGACGCTCAAATCGCCATTTTCTGCCCGCGCCAAGACCAAGGACGGCAGGCGGTGATAGCTGGGGCCTTTTGTCGCTGATCGAACTGTCGAGTTTTCTCTTCCTCTCATGTCTTCAAAATCAGACAGGCTTACAATTGAGTCTCTAATGATGTGATTCTTTCATGTGCACAGCTTGAATTGCTTTAATTATTCGATCTAACTCTCCACAGCTCGACATAATGTCCATTAAAAGGCAGAGATGAACCCGATACTCTCATCTTCCTATCATAACCCACCCCCCTATTGCACATACTACATGCATGTATTACATGCCACGCCGCGACGACAGTCTCTTCGGATTCTGTAACTGGTACCCTATCCCATGGGGTGTCGGTAATAGTCGAGTGCTCTGCACAAGGCGAAGATCGACTCATTTGATCACGAATAAGCCGGAGCGCTTTCTTGAACCTGTCTCGAGAGGGGCACGGTGGGGTGGAAAGGGCTTGACTGTGTTGGTCGTACATAACATTTCGTAGCGACTTGTCGTTTCTCGTATCTAGTTCAATTGATTAGCTGGGATCGGATATTGCGTCTTCTCTTAACGTACCCGTATTTGGATGGTTGTTCGTTTAGAAATTGACTGATTGGTATACCACTCCATTACTTCAGGATGGTGTGAGCTCCACGGGCCTCAAGGTAGTTCTCGGGAACACCCTGTGCCAGAGACCGGATCACCTTGTAGATCTCCTTATCGTGATACCGCAGGCGGGTCTTGGGATCTGTGTAGGGCCCCTTCAGTCCTGTGATGTCGCAGTAATGTTGTTGGTAGGCTGGGTTCAGCGAGGGGGCCGACTCAATGTTCGTGTAGGTCACAGCAGGCCCGCTTGGGAGTCCCGCCCGGGCGTTCCTTTCCAAGACGAGGGTCGACAGGTTCTGGGTAGCCTGGGAGAGGTTCGGTGTAACGACTTCGGCCGGGGTTAGCTCGCTATCGGTGGCGGATGTACCAAAGCCTGGTGTGGTTGCGCCCGAGTTGGCTTGAGTGGCCAACACTGAAGCTTCCTTTCGGGAAGCCTCAGAGACGATCTGCTTCACGTTCTTGTTGCGGCGCTGGGAGGGCTTCCAGTGTGGGTTGCGGAAGGGCTTAGGGCCAACTGAAATATCGAGGGTGTTCAACAGGCGCTGATGAGCTTCATCATTGGCGGGATTGGGGGGAGGCATGGTGAAAGATGAAGGTGTTGGTCTGCTAAATTGAGATGTCGGGTCGAGGAAGCTGTTGCGAAGCTAGCTTGTGGATGGGATTGTGTAGAATAACGGTGATTTGGTTAATAAAACTTTGACAGCTCTATATATGACGGTGCCTTCGTGATCACAGATGTACACGGTAAGTTACGAAGGAAGCATCCCGGGAAGTCTGTATAGCTGCACGTGACCGTATCCGTGATTCAAGTCCAAACAAACACACTCACGTCTGCCATCAACACCCCATTTTAACTTCTGAGCCATGGTATGTGGTGTCTGCTTGATTTCACATGAAAGACTCTTATACAACTCGGGATGTTAACTTATTTCTAGGAGAGTCCCCACGAGCACCAGCAGACCGTTCTGCTTTCTCGTATCATCACCAACGTTGTATGTCACAACTCCTCTGAGAGAAGAGGCTGTACTAAACCCATGAGTAGGAGAAACTCAATGAATCCGTTATGGTCATGAACAAAGCGCTTCAGGTATGTCTTTTTGCCTTCATTATACAGTAATAATACTAATCCATGGCTATAGGAAGTGAACATCCAGAATATGAACGTCGAGCTTGTCGCGCAGATGTTCAAAAACTACCAGTCTAATGTTCTCTTCCATTTAGAAGGTAATTTACAGCATTCCTATATGGCACGTCTTTACTAACATATCTGATAGCCACGGAGAACCTCAAAGACCCCTCGTGAGGGTGGCTCTAGTAACGAAGAAATGCAAATAGTCAATGATACCAGTCTGATACCAAGTTACTATACTTAGCTCATGTCGCAGTTTTAATTCGAGTAGAGACGTAGAGGCGTGGAGATAGATGCACTGTATACACACCCGCCTTCCCTTGGCGGTCACTCGGCCAAACTTCAATCAACTGCGTTTGTCCCGTTTCGCGATCTTCCTCAATTACCCCGGCCACGGTCATTCTTTATATATTCATTCTCCCCCCTTCATTTCCTTTCTCGACTGCCATGCAGTGAACCCCTCTCCACAGTTGATCCCGTTTCCCCGACTTCGATAGCTCCTGGTTTGCGGCCGGAGCCACGCTGCCCGCCATGACGATTACCGCCATAAATAACCTCTTGCCCGCGCGGGTCACCGTCAATCCGACTGAAAAGCGATCCGAGAAGCCGCCTCCTCAGCTTCATAGCGTCCAAGAATGGCCCTTCAAGGGTTACCAACCTCCGCAGCCTGAGGGATATCAGCAAAGCCGCGCCCATCCCGACAGCGCCATCGTAATTGACAATGGTAAGTGCATTGATCTAGTCTATACGGGCAATTGATAACTAACACCCTGTCGCGCAGGCTCTCATCTAGTCAAGGCCGGTTGGTCTTTCGACAAGAACCCCAGATTCGCCATACCTCCCGTCATGAGCCGATACCGTGATCGCAAGCTCAACCGTCAATGCCAGTTCGTCGGATATGATGCCTACGTCGATGCGACGACACGAGGACAGCTGCGCTATGGTTTCGACCCCGGCTCCAGTGTGGTCGGTAACTGGGATGTGATGGAAGGCGTGCTGGACTACCTGTTCATGAAGCTCGGCGTGGACGGCTCTGATGGGGGCGTCGGTCGCCCGATCTTGATGACGGAGCCGATTGCGAATCTGGGATACCCCAGGAAGAGTATGTGTCATTAAATATTGGTACGATGTGAATTGATACTAACGCACCTCCAGTGATGAACGAGATCCTCTTCGAATGCTACTCTGCGCCCTCGGTTGCCTACGGTATCGACTCGCTTTTCTCCTACCGCTATAACAACGGCACGGACGGTCTGATTGTGGACTCGTCGCATACTTCTACCCATGTCATTCCTGTTATGAACTCGAAACCTATGCTCTCGAGCAGCTCTCGCCTCAACTGGGGTGGACTGCAGAGCTCTGAATATCTCATGAAGCTCATGAAGCTCAAATACCCAACATTCCCGACCCGTTTGACCGATGCCCAGATGGAGGAATTGAAGCAGAAGCACTGCTATATCTCGCAGGACTATGCTAAGGAGTTGAATGGGTACCTCGACTGGACCGGACTGGAGGACCGTGATCGCGTTATCCAATATCCCTTCACGGAGCAAGTTGTGCAGGAGAAGACAGAAGAACAGATCGCGCAGGCTCTAGAGCGCAAGAAGGAGGCTGGCCGGCGTCTGCAAGACCAGGCCGCAAAGATGCGCCTGGAAAAACTGGTGAAGAAGGAGGAAGAGCTTGAGTACTGGAAGCAACTGCAGGATAACCTCGCCTCCGAAACTAAGAAAGAAATTCGTCGCATCCTGGAAGCCGAAGATTTGAAGGACGAGGCCCAGCTGGAGCGAATGATTCGCGACCTGGAGAAATCCATCAAGCGTTCGCGCAACAAGGACCTCGGCATTGAAGAAACCGAAGAACAGCCTGAGGAAATGACATTCCCCATGCTCGATATTCCAGACGACCAGCTTGATGAGGCTGGCCTGAAAGAGAAGCGCCACCAGCGTCTCATGAAGTCCAACGTCGATGCTCGAGCTCGTGCCAAGGAAGAGAAGGAGCGTGAAAAGGCTCGTCGGGAGGAGTTGGAGCGTCTTGACCGCGAGCAACGTGAGAACAACTTTGAGACCTGGGTTTCGCAGCGCCGAAACAATCGTCAGGTATGAGTGGACAACGACTACGTGTTACATTCATATGCTAACATCTATTAGATTATTCTACAAAGAATCAAGGACCGTGATCGCATGACAGCAGATCTCGGAAACCGCAAGTCTCTGGCCAGCCAGATGCGCATGAAGACACTAGCCAACCTGGCATCCGACGGTCCCAAGAAGCGGCGCCGCGGTGGAGATGACGATGACTTTGGTGCCAATGACAACGACTGGAGTGTGTACCGCGACGTTGCAACAGGCGACCAAAGTGAGGATGAAGAAGAGGAGGATCTTGGCAGTATGCTGAATGCAGTCGAAAACGAGCTGCTCGAGTACGATCCCGACTTCACCGAAAACCACACTCTCGCCGCCCAGTCTGACTGGACCAAGAGTCTCGTCCACGCATTCCTCCGCGGACCTTGGCCATTTGACCCAGAGAGCCAGCGGGAGGCACACCAACTGCACCTCAACGTCGAGCGCATCCGCGTGCCGGAGGTTGTCTTCCAGCCCTCCATCGCCGGCGTTGACCAAGCCGGTCTTATCGAGATCGCAGCCGATATCATCAACCAGCGCTACTCTGACCCAGCCGATCAATCCCGTCTCCTAAAAGACGTGTTTTTGACTGGTGGAAACACCCTCTTCACTGGCTTTGATGAGCGCTTCCGCAAGGAATTCCGTAGCTTCCTCCCCATCGATGCCACACTCAATGTACGCAAAGCGACGGACCCGGTCTTCGATGCCTGGAAGGGTGCTGCGCAGTGGGCTTCTGGTGGCGATCTTGGCCGTTCCTCGGTTACCCGCCAGGAGTATATGGAGAAGGGTAGTGAGTACCTCAAGGAGCATGACCTCGGCAACGCTATGTGGTGAAGATGAATGGTCAAATCACCTGGCGCACTGGAGTCCAATGGTTTGTTTATCCGGCGTGGACTGGGGCTTGTTTATCTGGTATTTAGAAGATGTTATGTAGAGCTCGGCAAAAGCATGCGAATTCCTAAGTCGCTTTTCTTCTATCTGTTTTTCTCTATCCTTGATCTTCAGCTGTTTAGGGCAAGTGAATTATCAGCTCAGAGTAATGTGAGTGGAATGATTTCCCCATTTCCCCGTCTAACGTAGACTTGAAGGGCTATAGCTTTCAAGACATGTACGATGTAGAGGGAAGCAAACAAGTGATCAATAGTATTGATTATTATCACATTGGTTCTCTGTGGGTTCTGCTCTTAGTCTGACTATGACATCCGCTCAGTGCAAGTTTACCTATAGTCGACCTTGGACATCACCCCAACAACTGACAATTGTGGGCATCACTCGTTCCCGAAACAACCATATTCAATGTAATAGCAAGGGGTGATTAATATTGACTCTCAGTAAGACAACCTCCTTACATCTACCAAACCCGATTAAAGTTGAACCAAGACATTCGCATGGTATCTGGGGTAGCCCGTGCCAAAAGATCGACAGAAAGTGAAGCCACAAACAAGCATGGCCTGACCAAAAGTACTTTCAATCTCGGCTAAGTCGGAAGACTCTCGCAGCACAGTCCACAGCATGATCGACAGGTGCGTCGCACGAGCGAATGCCATCTACTGCAGCTATGACACGACATCGTGTCGAGATCCAGTGGCATTCGACTACGATTTATAATCATCAACAATCCGTTCAATGCTCGTCTCGCGAGTCAGTGTGAGAAACTTCTCTGTCGTTTTTGCTAGTGTACAGTATGTCTGAGTTCAGGGATGCCACCATCCCTGGAATCGACCCGGTTTCATTGCACAAACAAAACACAAAACCTTTAATAAGGCTGAAGCCACTGTCGATCATGGTCTATGCAGGGAGGACCCCGCTATTGAGTGCTAGCGCAGATGATAGTCTAACTCTTTTCCGTGTCTTGTTGTTTTTTTCTTGTTTTTGACTTCGTCGCTAGTGCATGGTGGTGTGATATACTTCGCCCTCCACCGACCCCATTGGCGAGTGTTTAGTCAATCATGAGACTATGACCGCCTTGAAAGCAGATCTTCCGCAGACTACCGATGGCATTTAGTTTTCTTGGCTCTATCTGCAATGATGCCAATTGATATGAGGTATCTCCTTGCGCACGAGGACATTATATGCCGATCCCTTACCAAGTTAGTATATCTATTCCTAGACATACATCGGCGAGAAAGCAGATTGAACTGTGACATGTTGGTGATTTGGATAGCTACACAAAGCCGGAGAGATAGTAATTAGAGCACACTATTGCCAAATGAAGTGCCAAAGATACTAGTGAAGACTGGGAAGGTCGAAATTAAAAATCAGCCCAGGCAACGCTATGTGGTATGATTCTGACTTCATGCAGAGACCGCCATGACGCATCTGGGGAAACGCCCGGATATCCCTCTCTGTTTCCTTACCGGGCTTGACCAGGGCCAGACATTGAACCTTGTTGCATTGATCGCTTGTTTGTTTTTTCGTGTCTGTCTGCATGTTGCTGTGACCCACACCACTTCCACGATCTATAAAGTCTTGTCTGGTCTTCGGTCTGAGACTTGATTCCTTTATTAGTTATTGTCATACAAACCTGCCCTCATCTTGCATTGCTTTCTAGCGGCCTATAACCACTTGCATATCACCTTCACCTACAAGATTGAACTTCCTTCAATTATACCAACACAATGCTCTTCTCATCAGCTATCGCCCGGCCTTTGCAGCTGGCCACTCGCACCCTGCAGTGGATTAGTGCTGTCATTGTCATGGGCTTGACTTCATGGTTCATCAGCTACGGCCGTCCCCATGGCACACATATGCTCTACCAGGAGGTCATTGTAAGTGATATATCACACGCAAAGTCGCCATAACTAGCAAATTGACCGAGCTAATACCTAAATCAGGCCGTTCTCTCTGTCGTCTTCTTCATCCCCGCTTTCATCTCCCCATTCCTCCCATCAGCCCTGAGCAAGTTCGTGCTCCTGATCGATGTCGTCTTCTCCTACCTGTACGTATACACCTCCAATCCAGCCACAACGACAGGACCATCCCAACAGAATCTAACATAAACCTTCTAGCTGGTTAACCGCCTTCATCTTCGCCGCCCAAGACTACAGCTCAAGATGGTGCTACTTCACCCTTCCATCAGGCATCGGTTGCCAATACAAGAAGGCTAACGAGGCATTCATCTTCCTTGCCTTGTAAGCGTTCCTTTCCTCCTCTCACTAAATGTGTCCTGCAAAATTCACATAGCTAACTCTCTCCCCTAGCATCTTCACCTTCTTCGGCATGTTCCTCGAAGTTGCCGCTCTCTGGGCCTACCGCAAAGAGACCAACCCTAACGCTCGCACCACTGCCGCCGAGGAGAAGATCGAGACTGGAAACCGTATGCCTCTTGATGCACCTGCCCCGGGTACCGGTCCGGCTCCTGGTGTTGCTACGACTACTCATGCTGGAGCTGTTTAAGGGGTTTCTTTTTGTTTGTTTACTAGCTACGCCTGTTGATATATAGCCTCTTAGTTTGGGTGGGGGAGGCTATGGGCTGGGTTATAATGGGGTTGGGTTTTTAATATCTTGGTTTCTTTTCTTCTTCTGGATTGGACATATGGTGTTTTTGGGAGAGTTAGGTTGCTCGGTGAAGTTGATATATTGTTGGGTTGACTATCTATACTCGTCCCTGGTTGGGGCGTTTTCTTTCGTTTTTAACATTATTTAGTATTGTTCTAATAAGTGAATGATTCTATATCATTCCGTGTCTCTTGCGTCTTGCGACATTTTATGTTAAAAGGATATAGTTTTCTCATACATGGCGTAATAAGCCATATATAAACACGCCAAATCTTCGGTTTTCAGCAATACTAACTTATTCTATTAGTCTACCTAGTCATTTACAATAGACGCTTACAATAGACGTTAGATATACAGTAGAGTAACATAAGCAAAACACAATCGCTATCTCGTGCAATCAGAAAAGGTGACCAGCACCGGGAACGAAGCGAAACATATGCAGTGTTGAACGGCAACAGTCAATCAATCAATCCAATCAGATACTGGCACGGCGAGGCGCCATAGTCCGCTGCAATTTGCGCTTTTCCTCTGTTTCCTCGGGAATAGGGAGCGAGCCTTCGTTTCTCAAGGTGTCGAGGTACTCTTTGCCGAACTTATAACCGACCTGGTAGATTTCGTCAAACTTGCCAAAGTCCAGAGTCCCATATGGATCGATGGGCGGGCGCATGTACAGACATCCAGGCATGTTCTTGGCGCGCTCGAGATTGTCGATAGATGAGACGTAGGCCAGTCGAGCTTGGATTTCGGAGAGCGTTGGTGGGTTTGGAAGCGATGAGAAGGGATTCCACCGGTTGAGCATTGACCAGAAGCCTGAAAGCGAGTCTCCATAGCCCTGGGGAGTGGTATCGTCGATTGATCCGACGTCAACTGCGAAAATGACGTCTGCACCGAGACTCTTCATGTGTGCCACAGTCAGATTATCAATGTAGCCACCGTCCAGGAGCATACTGCCTTCATCGCAAATTGGAGGGATGAGACCGGCCAGTGACATTGACGCCCGGACATACCGCCAGACATAGCCGGAGGAATGGTACTCAATGCGGGATCGACTGATGTTGGTTGTGTTGCAGTAGAATTCCAACCAGAAATCTTCAATCTGGCTATCTCCGAAGGTCTTGAAGATTCCACGATTGAACTCATGTCCTGTTGTGTACGACACAGTGGGGTAGGTCAGGTCCAGTGCAAACCGCCACATACTACCCATGCGGCCGGAGAACTTCTTTGCTCGTCCGTACATGGGCACAACATCAGCATCACGCGCGTACAGAGCTCCAATGAAAGAGCCGATCGACGTGCCACCGATGATGTCAATTGGGATTCCGGCCTCCTCAAGTGCCTTGATCACGCCGACCTGCGAGATACCACGTGCTCCTCCTCCTCCTAACACAAGACCAACGGACTTGCCGCACAGACGACGAGCTAGACGATGGAAGTCGCCCTTGAATGGGGTTTGTGGGGAGTAGAGCGGCGTCTGCTGAGCACGACGAGAAGTGTACTTCTGGATCTCGGCTTGCAGAATCTGGACGCGCTGCTTGAGCACAGTGCCGAACTTTTTGGTTGGAGGGTGCGATGGTTCGTTGGTTGAGTGGAACGCCATTTGGATGTGGTGATGGCCACCATTGATCCAGACGCGGTTCTTGAGCCATTTTCGCGTCAGACCAGGTGAGCAGTACCGCTCCGCGTGCAAAAGCACCAGTTCTTTGCGAGCTGTGGTTTTCATGCCCAGTAGGAACCGTTCGTATTCACCGATGGTCGGAGAGGACTCTGCAAGGCCCACCAAAAGGATGGAGTCGGCTTGCGCGATGCAGGTTTGAGTCCATGGTGCGTTTACATTGGTGTCAGCGATGTAGAGCACCATTCCATACTTCTCTTCAAGATCAGCCAGATATTGCGATAGTTTGAGCTTGCCCATTTTGCTGAAGGCATGGCGTCCCAGGTGATTCAGAATCGCAGCTTGGTTGAGGGATGTCACGCCACGGGTCACACCAATTTGGTGCAAAGCCTGGAGAAGCCGGTTGCCAAATTCAACGACGGGGACACCAGCCATTACAGGGAGAATAGCCACCGTGCGGAGGTTCATTGTTGAGGTAGCAGTCTGGACACCAGCAGTATGTCCTTGTTCCATACCCTTCTCAGACAGTGGGTGCTCGACCAAGTCACGCATCCGCTGGGCAATGAGCTTAGATACCTGAATTGTGATTCCCGGATGCTCCTGCGCAAGGCTGTTGAACAGAGATCGGGGGAACTTGGCTAATTCGGTTTCCCGAATAGCGTGCAAGGTAGACGGTCTGGTAGACTCGGTCATAACCTCGAGTTCACCGACACTCTCACCCTGACCATGTTCGCCAATGACCGTCATCTTGCCATTTGCGCCTTCCAGCACAGACCTGAGACGGCCATTCAGAACAAGATAAATGGCATCACTTTCGTCCCCTTGGTGGTAGATGACCTCTCCTGCGCTGACCTGCACCCACTCAAGTGCGAAATCAATGTGGAGCAGCAAGCGCGGCAGAAGTCTGGTAAGCCGCTTCGCCAGGGTCAGTAGGGCGGTAGGGTGTCTGTCTGCGATTCTCTCGAGCGAAGCACGGGGAAGGAATCCCACATAGACATCTGTCTTGGCTACAACGTCCGTGTAGGAGCGGTATGATGCAAGAGCACCAACATATCCCTGTATACCACCAGGCTTAATCAGGTACAGCGATTTCCGAGACTGTCCCTTCCGTCGAGAGTCATTGCCGCCTGTTGCACCAGAGGCTCGCGACGATCCTGTGGTAGTGCGTCTCAAGTTGGGAAAGAGCTCTTCTTGCGCCTGGGAGGCGTATCCGTGGGAGGTGCCAATCAGGACATCATCGCGCTCGTCCATGGGGATACCCACATCCAAGAAACCGTCGATCACATAGTAGAGACCAGGGTGACGCTCACCCTGCTCTACCAGAACTGAGCCTTGTGGGAAATAGACCACCTCGATATCGTGGCGAAGCTCCTCCCGAAGGTTGATGACAGGTGAAGTTCCTCCCGCGCTTGTAACTGACATGGACATCATGGATTCACTTTCGCCGTCTCCAGACGCTTCATATGGATCAATAAAGCCAAATGCATTGGAAAACACAGCCTTCTGGCGACGAGAGTCATAGGAAAGAAGTCTCGGCGACGCATCACCGGAGTGAGTACCCTTGCGCATGGTATCGCGCGTACTTTCCGTCAGTCCAATGCCCTTCATGATGCAATCCAAAATCGATTCACGGAACAAACCGTCTTCGTCAATTGAGTCTTTGCGCTGGAACGTCGAAGGCCGCATAGGACCAGGGAGAAATTGGGGCTGCTCTCTCTCGGTGAGAGGGGTTTGGAAGCGTTGTGCCAGATGGTCATATCGCGGTCCGAACCGAGAAAGTTGAATGGTCGATAAAAGATCTCCAGGACTCACACCCGCGGAGTCCCTGTCAGAAAATGCCAGTGGCGATCTTATTGGCGTTAAAGACGCAATAGGGCGTTCGTTGGAGACCTTGGCTTGCAAGACGGCCTCCTTTCTGAGAGTACTGCTTGACCGTCTGCGGCCAACATGTGGATTGTGGAGAGCGATTCCTTTGCCGACTTCCTCGGGCCCCAACCTATCCCGCTCTCTAGTGAATTTATCCTTCAAACGATCCAGGGCGCTTCCTCGGAGGTTATTGGGAAGGTCCCAAGTGGTAAATTTGCCCATTTGACGTTCAATGTCCAGGACATCAGTGGTCAGGCCGAGGTATGAATGTGCTGTAGCAAATGTGACCCGCTGGAGACGGGTCAGAATAACCTGGACAATGTGCGATGTCGCCCGTGGGTAAACTCGTGTGAGCCGGCGGAATGCGCTCGCTGGGATGATAGCGATGGTTGTGTCCACCGTGGCCCGGGCCACAATGTCTGGATGGACCGACTTGCGGCGCTTCTTCTTGGCCTTGTGCTCTTGCTTTGGGCCTTGGTCGGGGATCTGCTTAGGAATGGCACGACTTTCTCCGAGATTCAGCGGAGGCACCGGTGGTAGCGTATCAATCGGACCGTGGAGTGGAGAGGTCACATCCCCGGTGTCTCGCACTGTAGACCTGGGGCTTTCGACAATCCCAGTGGTAGGGCTGAAAGGGAAGGCATCGGGAACAGGGGTGTTGCCTCGGGTAGGGGTCGATACCATAGAATTATGGCTTTGCGAGTTGCGAAGCTCGATATCTTCGGTAAACAGCTGGAGAATGGAGAACAGTGACGACATAGACGCGCCGTTCTTGACCTCTGTGAGGAGCTGGTAACCCTGTCGGCCATGGACATGGTGATCCTCCTCGTCCGACGTCACGTCGTCCATATACAGGTTCTCTTGCGAACCGGGCTTTGCTGGTCGCGTTGATTTCACGAAGATCTGAACCATTCCATCCACAACCAAGCAGAATCCCTTCTCTTCTTCCAGCATGAGTGTCTCTCCCGCGATTAGCTTCCTTGTCTGCATTGTCCGGGTCAGCTCGTGGAACACGGGTCGCTCGAGGTATCCGAAGACTTTGATAGCGCTGAGGAATTCATCTAGGTAATTCGCAAGACCGGGTTTGGAGTCGCCTTCTTGGATATCGGGGAACAAGTCGATCTCGGGTTCTTTGCGCTGGGGCTCTGGCGGCAGGCGGCTGTACATGTTCAGGAACCGATAGCGAATGAACCAGCTGACGGTCGATACCAGGGCGAGCACTATCAACATTCTAGGTGTCATGGTCAGCTTCTCGTCTCAAGGAGTCAAGCCTAGGTATAGACTTACAGGGTGGTGAAGTTCATAGTGAACGTCAGGCTCATGGAAAAGAGCGTAAAGAGCCATGTGGGCAGCGTGATGGTCGAAAAGGTAATAACCCAGTACAATACGCTTGGGATGGTCTGTAAGACAAAGGTAAACACCCATCCAATCCACCCCGCCATGGTCGCGGGAGCTGGAGGGAACAGCGGGTATGAGAGAGAGCTGGTAGGTGCAGGGTTAGAGCTTGACAAGTCCAAAGCGAGAGAGGGGGCTAAGCCAGCCATTGTCTAGTGGAGCTCAAGCCTAACAAGGCTTCCTTGGAAATTGAGCCTAACCAAAGCCAAAGCAAAACATCGGAAACGTGCGGGCGCTGTGAACGGTGGATGGAGAGTTGCATTAGCGTTCAACATTCCCGTGATAGACGGTGTTGATCAGCTGATATCTATAATTTCTATACTTCATATTTATAACTGTTGTAACTTCTTTTTATTATCACAACAGTTCATATACATAAACGGATACGGTGTAAGAACTGTTGTCTCCCCACAGTGATGTAATAGGCTACTTACTAGTGAAGCCTCTAACCTTGGAAGTGCCTGGGACATTCTAGCCTAGCCTATGATGAACATGTAATTTCTCATTCTTTCCTTCCACATGAACTATATTGATCACTTTCTGAAGTTCACCTTAAAGAATGATATTTTGTATGGCTTCAGTCACTTTCTTTTTCCTTCTTTGTTTGACCTGTCTGTTAAAGGCCTCTTTCAATGCTCATACATGCGAGAACACTTGATATAATCTAGACAACGGTACTTCATAACTTATAAATCTAAGTCTAATAGTACAGATAATCAGATAATGTAGAAATTCAACATGGATAATTTAATTTTGAGTTCGAAAGTTTTGTGCCTGGGTGGTCCTCATACTTAGCGCCTCAATGTTAAGCTATATATATTTCATTCTCGCTGTTGAATACAGAAACCTCAATTTTTTTTTTCCGTTGGCAACTCGATTTAATTGCTAAAGGACAGCCTTGAATTTCAAAGTATAGCTAGATTGCATAAAAATCAAGTAGACAGTACTGTATTCCTCTCAAGCTAAGTTATAGATAGAACCGAGTATAGACGGTCAGCCGAGCCCCTTCCACATGGCAGTTCCGCCTTGGCCTTCCAAACCAATGCTCCCCCTCACTCCCTTACGAGGCCATCTACTCATTCTCCTCTTGTATTTGGTCGACGTCCTTACTCTTGCGTTTGTTTTGGTAGAGTTGGTTCATCGATCCGCGGCGATGTTTCAGGTACTGTTTTTCCGACCTGGCGCCTTGCGTCCAACTAACACTATTGCCAGCGCCTCCGCGACGCCATCGACTCTCGCATCGCAGAGGAACAAGCCCGCCAAAAGTCCGCCCAAGATTCCATCTCCCGCTCCAATTCCTCGCGCCGTCCACCCACCCGCAACCTCTCCCCGAGTCGGCGCACCCGCCCAAGACGCAACACAGGCACTCCCATCAGAGGACCCGACCCCAAGGAATTCGAGGCGGAATTCACCATCGGGGACGACGATGAGTCCAGCCGGTCTGCTACTCCCCAAGTTGACACACCAGAAGCTGCCTCGGAAGTGAGCGCGGCCAACGAAGGCGAGTCTGCAGAGATGGAGGGCAAAACACCTGCGGAATCGTCTGAGAAAGAGGCCACCGGTGCCCAGGATGCTGACTCTTCCAAGGACTCTTCAACTGACCTTCCACCCGATGTCCGGGCTAAGCTCCGCAGACTCGATAAGCTCGAGGCGCGATACCATGGTACGTAACTGCCTGTTCAGGAAACCGCGCACGCGAGACTCACTGCAAGCGCACATAGATTTGCTCAAGGCATACCGCATGGCGCACTCCCGCGTCCTCTCCATCGAGCCCTTCGAGGCTGCTCTGCGCGAAAACACTCCTCTCACCTCGATTGGCGAACCCAAGGCTTTCACCGAGTACCTTAACCAAACGGCCCTGAAAAGCGACATGGTGATGGAGGAGCTGAAGCGTGTCACCGGCGAAAGGGAAGACTACAAAAAAAAGATGGAGGAAGCGCAGAAGTCTACCAAGGAGGCTTTGGATGAGGTTACCGGGCTCAAGAAGGAGAAGCAGGAGAAGCCTGAGGCTAGCGCGGACAAGGGATCAGATGGGACGGAGGAGACTAGCGAGGAGTTCTTCTCATTTGATAACGAAGTTCCCCGTCTAGAGGGCGAACTCAAGGAGAAGCAAGAGGAGGTCGACAACCTCAAGACTGAGGTGGAAAAGCTCAAGCGCGACATGTCTGTCACCCGTGAGTCGACCGAGGGCATGGTACAGAACCTTGAGACAGCTACTCGCGAGCTTGTTGAGTTGCGCGAAACCAAGGACAAGTTGGATGCTGAGATTGAAATTCTCAAAACATCCAACAAGGCTGATAATGCCAATGTCGATGACTTGAAGGCGAAGCTTGCCACAGCCGAATCTTCTATTGAGTCAATAACGACTGAGGTTGAGAAGCTCAAGTCGCAGCTCAAGGAAAAGAGTGAAGAAATCGAAAAGCTCCAGAACCATGCTTCTGAGAAGGCCGAGCCAGACTCGGAGCTCGTTTCCCAATTGGAAACAACCAAGGAGGAGAAGAAGGCTGGCGAGAAGAAGCTGGTCGTGCTCCAGGGCTTGGTTGACGGCCTTCGATCTCAACTTAAGGAAACCGAATCGACCGTCTCAGACCTGAAGACGGAGATTGGCCAGAAGTCGGAAAGCTCTACCAAGCTTCAGAAGATTATTGACTTTGTGGACGAGAACCTGAAGGACAACACTACGTGGCAATCTGCCAAGGAGAAACTTTCCGCTGGAGAAAAGGCCGATTTCGACGAGATCCGAAAGAGTCTGGCACCAGCCAAGGGATACGAACCAGCCCCTCCTGCCTCTACTCCTGCTACTGCTGAAGAAGAGACCCAGCCTGCTCCAGCAGCTACTGGAGCCGGTGGCGGTGGTGGAAAGAAGAAGAACAAAAAGAAGAAGAAGGGCGGCAAGACCGAGGAACTGCCCAAGCCAGCCGAGGCAGTCCCTCCAGAGCAACCGGCCCAGGAGAAGGCTGCTCAAGAGACCGCTGCTCCAGCTTCCGACGAACTCACTGAACTCAGGTCCAAGCTGGAGTCGTTGACGCAACAATTGTCGGAGAAGGAGGCGGCCATTGATCGCTTGAGTGCCAAGCTGAAGGGCGAAGACAATCTTAAGGAGGAGATTGAGTCTCTGCGCGATGACCTTGTCAACATAGGCCAGGAACACGTCGCAGCTAAGGACAAGATCAAGGAGCTTTCCGCAGAGAAGACTGCCCTTGAAGAAACTATCACCAAGCTCGAGAAAGAACTGGTCGACCTTCGCACTAGCAATGCTTCGACCTCAGCTGACTCTGAGAAGATCCATACCTCTCTGAAGGAGGAGTTTGAGAGCCTCAAAGTTCGCTCGGCAACTCTGGAGACCGATCTTTCTGCCGCCCAGCAGCTGGCTGCCACTCGGTTCAAGGACCTCACAGACCTACGCGAGACTCTTCAGAAGGTTCAGCCCGAGCTGCGAAACCTGCGTGCTGAGTCTTCGGAGCTGAAGACCTTGAAGGAAACTCTTACCAGCAAGAACTCCGAATTGAAGGCCCTCGAGGGCAAGCACGAGGATTTGCGTGCCGAGCTGAAGACCGCTAAGTCGAAGATCTCAGAGCGGGACACAGAAGTGGGCACCCTAAACAAGAAGATCAGACAGGAGACCGACAGCCGTTTGAAGGCTGAGGAGAAATTCAGCGTTGCTCAGTCCGAACTGCGCGCCTCCGAAAGCAAAAAGCAAGATGCTATCAATGCCAGGGATAAGACTAGTGCTGATCTCTCCAAGGCCCAAGATGGATTGAAGAGTACTCGTGCCAGGATGCGCGAGATGGATGATCAGATCTCCCAGCTGAACAAGGAGCTTGCTGGTCTCCGGGAAGAGATCCAGCTGAAGACGGCGCAGCACAGCAGCGCCCAGAGTCTGATGAACAGTATGCGTGATCAAACCTCGGAGGTGGCAATGCAGATGAAGGAGGCCCGTGAACGATGCGAGAGCCTGGAGGAAGAACTGGCTGACGCTCATCGTCTGCTGAGCGAACGGACCCGCGAAGGCGAGACTATGCGCCGACTGCTCAATGACATTGAGGGTCGTTCAGAGTCCAAGGTGCGTGACTTTAAGGAACGCATGGAGGCCGCTATCGAGGAGCGGGACCGCGCCGAAGACGAAGCTAGTAGCCAAGGCCGACGCCGTGCCCGGGAAATGGAAGAGCTGAAGGCCAAGGTCCGCGAGGCTGAGCGAGCACTTCGCACAGCCGAAGAGGACAAAGAGGAGCTGGAGCAATCCCAAAAGGATTGGCGTCGCCGCCGTGACGAGTTGGAGTCTATCTCCGAACAGTCATCACAAGAAGTGATCGAGATTCGCCAGGCCATGGCTGGTCTGCGCGATGCACTCGACGAAAGTGAGAAGCAGGTGCGTGACCTTGAAAAGGACAAGGCAGAGCTGCGCCGCTCCGTCGAAGAGACCAACGCCCGGCTGGAGAAGCTACGGAAATCCCACAAGACCCTTGGAGAGGACGTTCGTCTACGTGGGTCCCCGTCCGGTCGACAGTCTTCACGATCGTCCATCGATTCTGGCTCTCGCCGGGGAATTGCGTCCCCTTCCGCTAGAAGCGAGACACCCGTTGGTCCACCCAGCAATGCATCCATCGACTACATGTACTTGAAGAATGTCCTCCTCCAATTCCTGGAGCAAAAGGACAAGAACTATCAGAAACAGCTGATTCCTGTCCTGGGAATGTTGCTGCATTTCGACCGGTAAGCTTTACATTATACCCCTTGATGTAACAAATCACTAACTGCAGTATAGAACGGACGAACAAAAGTGGATGTCGGCGATCATGTCCAAATAATATACCCATAGGTGTATGCCCATCTGTACCATAATAACTGTAGAGAATCATAACGTTCCTATTCCTATATTCTTATATTCCTTGGTAGCGGAGTTCCATTGGATCCAGATCCCCAGTGGGTCAAATCCCTCCCCAGACGTAGCTGTCAAAATTTCCTCTACAGAAATGGACTTCATACCTGCATTCTCCAACACCATGGCCGACCAACCCACCATCCGCCTGGCAACGCCAGAGGGCAAGTCAACCTCCATCACCTCACCCTCGCCCTCACCAACCCGTCCCCAACCCAATCACCCCAACCCCAAACTAACACCCCACCAGACGTCCCCCTAATCCTCCAATTCATCTGCGAACTAGCCGACTACGAAAAAGCCCTCCACGAAGTCGAAGCAACAGAAGAGTCCCTCCTATCAACCCTCTCCTTCCCAGACACACCCCCCAAACGCGGCGCCGTCTACACTGCCCTGATAACCCCCCCTCCATCCCCGACAAACGCCTCCCCAACCCCCGTCGGCATGGCCCTCTACTTCTACAACTACTCGACGTGGCGCTCCGCACCGGGAATCTACCTGGAGGATCTATATGTGCAGCCGAGCGCGCGCGGCCACGGGTATGGGTTTAAGTTGTTGAAGTATTTGGCGAAGCAGGTGCTCGAGGTGTCGGGGCGCAGGCTCGAGTGGAGTGTGCTTACTTGGAATGAGCCCAGTATTCGGTTTTATGAGCAGGTTGGGGCTAAAGGGATGGATGAATGGATGAAGATGATGGTTGAAGGGGATGCTTTGACCAAGTTGGCGGAGGGGGCGTAGGGACCGTAGGGGGAGAGGGTTTTCGGGGTGGCCTGGAGACACCATAAAAGTACTTGTGCATGTACAAAATGTGTGGTCTTTTAAATGCGTGGGATGGCGTATGATATTCGATCTGTGTATTCTCGATCGAGGGGTCTGTAGAGCGCAGTGGAGCTATGCGATCATGAAAATAAATGTTGTGGAACAGCCAAAAGCCTGAAAATCCACGTCATTCCACATAAATCTCGTATAATAAACTCCTGTACAAGTATATTAACGTGTGAACTGCAAGCCTGACGCACCTGGTCAGGCTTCGCCCCAGCTAAGCCTTTTGTGACGTCGTCCGTCGACCCGCTGATCACCTCGATTTTCGACTTTCGACTTTCTTCTTCATCCACCACCCTAGGATGACCGCAAACACAGAGAATTCCCAGGAGGTGAACCTCCAAGTGGACTATGTAATCCACTACAGCTTCGGGGGCACAGGTAAGCTGAAGCAAGCTCCGATATGCAGTGGGGGACACATTCCATTCTAACATACCCTCCCCCGAATACCAGATAAACTACAAGCCATTGAACAGCTCGAGAAGCTACTCCAGTCACTCGCCAAAGTTGGTCTTCAGGCAGAGGTCCGTCAAGGCGATGAGGTGTCCTTACTGGTCTTTGTGAAAGCTTCTGAGAAGCACTTGAAGCGGGCGGTTTATCGGTCGCGGTGAGTGACGTCGCTTTATTGTGAGATCGTGTATATTCGCGCCCAGTGCTAATGTTGTATCTCAGTGTACGCGACTGGCTTTATGGTATTCGCAATGCTGAGCCTACACGGTCCAATTCGACGGAGCCTCAGACTGAGGCCGAGCGTCTGCGGGTTATTCACCAAATGATGACGCTTCCTGAGGAAGAGGGCGGTGCGAATATTACGCCTGGTCATGGCCAATGGAAGAATGTCTCTGCTATATTCCCGCTTCATGATATTGAGACGAATAATAAGTGGATGAGGGAGTGGAGTAAAAAGACTTTCCTTTCTGAGGATGATTTGGATCAGATCAGGAATAAGTTTGGTGAAAGTGTATGTGCAGAGTTGGAGTTGGGGTTGAGAATGCTAGGCTAACGTTGATTGCAGGTTGGATTCTACTTCTCTTTCCTGCAGTCTTACTTCCGGTTCCTGATCTTCCCCGCTGTTTTTGGATTCTCGTGCTGGTTCCTTCTTGGCGGTTTCTCCATAATCTATACTGTGGTGAACTGTCTTTGGTGTATTATTTTCGTGGAATATTGGAAGCGCCAGGAGGTGGATCTGAGCTGCAGATGGGAGACCAAGAATGTTTCCGCTGTCCGAACTAAGCGGCGAGAGTTCAAGCCCGAGAAGGAGGTCTGCGATCAGAGTACTGGTGAGGTGCATGGTGTCTTCCCGGCAACTAAGCGTATGCAACGACAGCTGCTTCAGATCCCATTTGCCCTGCTTGCGGCAATTGCTCTGGGTGCTATCATTGCAACTTGCTTTGCTATTGAGATCTTCATCTCGGAGCTTTATAATGGGCCTTTGAAGACATACTTGGTTAGTTGATCCCACTAGTTGCTGAACCCAAGCTTACTTTTTAGATCTTCATTCCGACCATTCTTGTCTCGGCGCTCGTTCCAACTATGAGTGCTATCTTATCATCGATTGCAACCAAGCTCAATGATTACGAGAACCACGAGACGAGCAACGCATATGATGTGGCACTGACCCAGAAGGTCTTCGTGATCAACTTTATAACGTCATATCTTCCAATCTTCCTGACTGCCTTCGTCTACGTGCCATTCGCCAGTCTAATTGTTCCTTACCTCGATGTCTTCCACTTGACAGTCCGTCCTTTCGTGTCCAAGGAACATGCCATATCAAAGCAATCGCACTTCCAGATCGACCCTGCTCGCCTCCGCAACCAGGTTATCTATTTTACCGTCACGGCCCAGATTGTCGGCTTTGCTATGGAGACTATTGTTCCCTATATCAAGCAACACGCACTTCGCAAATATAAGAAGTATAACAAGGAGCGCAATGGCAAGGCAGAGCGCAGCGACGACAAAGAATCCCCCGAGAGACCTGTTGTGTCTTATGACGACCCCGCCGAGGAAGTGAAATTCCTCACGCGCGTGCGCAACGAGGTTGAGCTTTCCGAGTACGATGTAACGGACGATCTGCGCGAGATGTGTATTCAGTTCGGATACCTAGCACTGTTCTCACCCATATGGCCACTCGTCCCGCTCTCCTTCTTCGTGAACAATTGGGTAGAGCTACGGTCCGACTTCTTCAAGATCTGCATGGAATTCCGCCGCCCAGTTCCACTACGAACCGACACAATCGGACCGTGGCTGGATAGCCTCGGATTCCTCTCGTGGGTAGGAAGCATCACCAGCGCAGCACTAGTCTACATGTTCAGCGGCAATGCCCAGCACGGACCAAACGGCGAGCCCACAGATATCAAGGGCTGGGCCTTACTCCTAACAATCTTCTTCTCGGAACACCTCTACCTAATCGTGCGGTATGCCGTCCGGGCTGCCATGGCCCGCCTGGAACCACCAAACTCCCGCAAAGAACGTGGCGAGCGATACCTCATGCGCAAGCGGTATCTGGAATCCACACTGCACGCGGAGACAGATGATGACAAAGATGAAAGCGAAGGGATCTACATCCCTGAGTCATCTGAGATCTCTCGTGCTTCTCTCGAGGATGATGCCCGGCACGCGTCCTTGCATGGTGTCGACCCGGCAGATCGGTTCTGGATGCACCAGCAGGGCTGGGCGGAGTCAGCCAAGATTGGTGCTGGGATTATCCAGGCTCAGCCTGTCAAGGGTGCCGTTAAAAAGCAGCAGTAGAGGTGACAGCGTGTTATGCAGCCTGACTATGTACAGCATAAGCGGCTGACTGTTGGTGCCGGGTACGAGACCACGCTTGATTTGTAGCCTTTCATTTTTCAGCTTCATGTACAGAGTATAGTATCTGATGGTTTAATCTGTGGCAAGTGGGTTTTTTACGTTATATCTGCTCCAGTACAGACTGTGTGTAGCTATTAGGAACCACACTCCAAGTATATTGGTATATACTTAGAAAAACTCGATAAAAAGCGATTGGAATAGGATGGTGATCTGTGTACATGCCCATGGAAAACTTTGAGGCCTCAGGCTGCAGTGCCGAGATAATCATGACGTAGCGCTGACTCGGGATTAAGTAATCCCGGACCTCGAATTCCGGATGCAGGCGGAATGTGCAGTCAGCGAGTGAAAGGCGACGATGAGCTGAATGGCTGATTGGAAGACAATGTTCACAGTTGTAACCAGTTGTAATCAAGCCCAATCACGACATTCAGCCTATCAATACGTACTACTCTGTAGAAAAAGAGGAAAAAGCATAACCTCACCGCCTTCCCAGTCCGAGGTTCGCTTACCAACCCCTTACATAAAGCGCGGGATCGCCCTCTGACTCAGATTCCTTAAGTAATCCCTCTCCTCCCTCCAACCTGCTTACAGCATCGGATCTGTAACTGCTTACCTCATTGCCCTGCATCTCGATATCATTAGCAAAGAAGCCCATTTTCGCTCGCAATTCGTGTTGGATTGGATCGTATCGTGCAGAGTCACTGCCCGATTCCTTCTCCCACAGCTCGCCTCGATCCATGCAGCCTGCACTTGCACCAGCGCCGCATCCAAGCATGCAGACCTCTGCTCAGGTAAGCAGCCTATCTTGTACGCGTTTGTCATCAGATCTATATCCAGATCCCCCGCGTCATGGCTTACTGCGTCGTGTACAACGGGCGGCTATGGGATTAAGTGTTTCCTGTTGTTCCGACCGTTCGCGGTAAACCCCGCGACGCGTTGTGTTTCTCCAAGTCCTGCCGCGTCTCCCGAGTCCTTGTGTCTGTTATTGTCTTCAATGCTAACTATTTACTATAGGACCATGCGGACCAGGGTACGTTTAAGTTCCCATTTCTATCTTTGTTATGCCGTGGTTTCGTGGTTTCGTGGTTTCAGGGCAAGCGCTGTTAAGCACGCCACGCCGACCTGATACAACTTTCGCCTCCCATATATTGCTTTCCTACAAGCTAACATGTACCTGTTTAGTCCTGCATGATCAGCTTCTAGCTGCCCAGCACCACCTTCAGGGTGGCCGCCCTCAGGGCGCCCCTGGTCAGCAGCAGCAACTCCAGCCCAACACTGCTAGCCCTCGCGACCAGCCAAACATTGATCCCGCCATCTCGGGCTCCATGCTTGGTGCTCCCCAAACCCCTACCCAGCCTCAGGGATCTCCTCCCTCTGACGGTGGCTCCAAGAGCTACGGCAAGCGTGAGCTGTCTACCTCCAAGCGCGCTGCCCAGAACCGTGCCGCCCAGGTGTGTCTCGCTTGATATCCTGCCCGAACTCTCATACTAACCATTCAACAGCGTGCATTCCGTCAGCGCAAGGAAACTTATATCCGCAAGCTCGAGGAAGAAGTCAAGAACATTGAGACCTTCAAAGACACAGTGAAGCAACTGGCCGGCGAGAACTATCAGCTCCGCGAGTACATCATCAACTTGCAATCCCGCCTCCTGGAATCCCAAGGCGAAGTCCCCGAGCTGCCAGCAAACATCGACCTGACGCAGTCTCGCACCGCCGAGATAGCCCTCGCCGCAGCCGGAGTCCAAACCACCGGTTCCTCCTCTGTACCGCCCTCCGGCCCGCAGCAGGGCCAGCAACAGACCAGCGTGACAGACGACATGAACTCGCTGAACCGCATCGCCGTCGCAGGCCTGGGCATGCGCAAGCACCCGGACGAGGGCAACTTCCTCGGCAACAACTTCCAGCAGAACAAGCGCGTGCGCACCGACGACAGCCAGGGCGACGGCTCGGACCCTGTAGGCAAGCCGGAGACCCACGGTCTTCCAATGGTGAACTAAATCATCTATCTTCATCTTCACCACTTGCCTGCCAAGTTCACGCGTTTGATTGCCAACTTTCTTGCGATCGCTTTTCGATACCCGCGCCCTATTTGTCTTTCCTGCCTGTTATCTAGCCCCGGTGGTACATTTTCTATTCTCCTTATAAGGGCCCACCCTCTCTCATGTGCCTAGCTGGGTCTCTCGGCTTTTTCATTTTTCTTGCTGTTATCGTTCTCTTTGTTCTTTGCGTAATGGTGTGTGGCGCGAACTTTGGTTTCATCGTCTCAATTCGAACCCATTCGGTGGGTCGGTGGTGTTCTAAGATTTTTTGACCTTTTTCTTTTGATGGTGTTGTGTTCGTGAGTGGAGTATTTTTAAGCATATGTTTCATACCTTCAATGCAACTATCTTTTATTTAGTTTGAATTAGTGCAATGACATTATTCTTTGCAAATATAGCTGTAGAGACAAGTAGGTTCTGGTGTTAGATAAGCATGGCTATTGTAGACTCTGTTTACAAGAGCTGATGTTTACATGAGAGAAGTAAAGAGCATCCACCATAAATGAACATACCCTGGGCATAATTACATGGCAGTATATTCCAAGCCGGTCCCTCCAAACAAGACCCAAAACAGAACTCCAACTTATAACTTCCCAACAACTTACTGATCAAGCCCATACTCCCTAACCAAAACATCAGCAGCAGTAGCCCCAGTAACATAAGCCGTAGCCTGCGTATGATTATTAGTCAAAACAGGAACAACACTCATATCAGCAACGCGCAATCCCTGCACACCCATAACCTTAAAGCTGCGATCCACAACAGCCTCCTTATCACCAGTCCTACCCATCTTAGCAGTCCCAGTCATATGCCAGCTTGACGACAAGAAATCCTTCCAGAATGTCAAAATATCCTCATCTGAGTCAGATGCCGGCCCAATAAGCGTCGACACCGTATCCTTTGCGAACGTCGGTGCCCGCGACACTTCCAGCAAGTGTCGATAAATCTCAATGCATGCGCGCCGGTCGAAGGGGTCTTCCAGGAAGCGGGGGTTGAATAGGAGGGGCGTATTAGGGTCGGATGATTGAAGCGTTACCTCGCCGCGGGATTGTGCGTTCATCATGAATGCGGCTAGGCCGACGTAGCTGTAATCATCCTTGAACATGTCCGGCGCGAAGAAGTGCATAGGGATGTGGGTGAGCATTTCGTAGTGGGGGATTGTGTCGCGGTTCATGAAATCCTGTACGTCTTGCGGTAGGGCGGCGAATTCGGGGGAGCTGGTTATTCGGTCGGATTTGAACCAGCCTGTGCCTAGTTGGCAGCCGTAGCGGGTCCATTGACCTGTGTTTGTTTCTTCCCATTGTTTCATGGCGCCTTCCATTGCGGTGGGGTTTAGGAAGAAGGTGTTTCGGTCTGTTGTTTCTGGTTTGCGGGCTAGGATTAGGGGTACGAAGTAGTGGTCTCGTAGGCCTTTTCCTAGGGCTGGGAGGTCTTGGATTACCGGGATGTTGTATTTGTGAAGGTCGTCTGCTGGGCCGATTCCTGAGTGCATGAGGATTTTGGGTGTGTCTAGCGATCCGGCGGAGAGGATTACATCTCGGGATGCAAAGTCTGGGAGTTGTTAGATGTTTGGGATGGATGGACGTTGGGGTGGTGAATTGGGGGATGTACACTTCTTGTTGCCGGTATCAACACCAACAGCCGTCTTTCCATCCAATATCACCCGCTGTACAGGGCTGTCCGTGACAATCGATAGATTACCAGGGGCATCAACAAGTAGATCAGCAGCAGTAGTACGCTTCCCCTGCCCAGCAGAGTTGATAGTAAGCGCCATACCAAGGGGGTTCCCAGAATTATGATCGAAATTGCGCTGATACCCAGCTTCCTCAAAAGCGTCAAGCACAGTCGACAGATCATCCTCCCAGTTCTCAGCATATCCAATGCGCAAACCACCAGTCTGACCATGGTCAGCCGCAACGGTGTTGGCATACTTCTGATGCTCAGGACGAACAATGGTACCATTGAAGGCCTCAAGGTCCTTGAACCGCGTCTGCATCTGCTTCCAGCCAAAAGTCTCATCGTCGACTCCCGCAGCCCATTCGTCATAGTCGTCCTTTGCGCCCACGGTGAACACTCCGAAGTTAATCGCTGATCCGCCTCCTAGTCCCTTGCCACGGGAGTAGTCCAGTTCGCGGCCGTTGCAGTGTTCCTGGGGTGTGGTCTTGTAGCCCCAGTTTAGGCCCTGCTCCTCCATGTAGGTTGTCCAGCGCTTTCCGTCGACGCGCAGTCGTCGATCGTCATTGCGTCCGCCGGCTTCGAGGAGGAGGACATGGGGTCTTTGGGCTGATTTCGCGAGACCGGCGGCTAGAGTGCAGCCGGCTGGTCCAGCTACTCAAAGGGGTTGTGAGTTATGAGTTTGGGAGACCATATAGCAAGCTTGGGTGGTATATGGGTACCTCCAACGACAATAAAGTCGTACTTCTTCTCTGCAGATCCCATGTTCAATGAAATTCAGGTATATACTGTAGTCAAAGGAAAAATAATCGACAGTCTAAGGGTCACTGGAGACAAGCCGATTATAACAATTTCACATAGAGGACAGTCTCGCACTAGCACTGAAACCCCTCTTTGTCCAGCACATCGCTGCAAGCCACGAACTGCCGCAGTGGAGAAACTCACACGAGGTTCTCCTAAACTACTGAATCTGGGTGAAGTGGCCCAGAAAGCGTTTGCACCACTGGAGGTCGATCATCGGTGTGCAAGGATGAAGTCACTCGCTGATTGTCCGCTGTCTTTTTGAAAGTCTGAATGGTGCTCCATAGTAATGACTGCTTAAATAAGGCATTGGACCCGACTGATTTGCCAATTTGGGTTGGAGGCGCAGGGATTATGCATGATGCTTATGGTGTAAGGTGTAAGATATGCGAGACTGGTAACGGACACGTACCGCCGATCGCAATAGTGCACTTTCAAGGTTCCTATGGATTGGAGGTGGATTATAAAGGAGCTCGGGTGGGGCCCGAGATTACTGAGATTCGAGGAGGTCTGGGGATTTTGGTACGATCTGTTGTGGACAGTAGAGTTGAGGCTCTGGTGGTGGGTACCGCTGGTCAATTTGTCAGGGTAGAAAGCCTTTCGGTCAGGTATAATTTGGTAAGAGGTACAGACGTACGTACTTGTATATGTATACTCTAGGGCACAATTTCAATTGAGGCTAAGATTCAACAATGCGTATATCTAACGTCCTGTCTTGGCTGAAGTGGTGTGAGCTGGAAGCGGTGTACGAGAGATACTGCCGGACCAAGATCTAAACATAATCGGCTCCGAATAGTCGGGATTTGGCTCGTTCTTATATGAACCTGTCCGAATTCATCTTCTATGTGAAACTCCGAGGTTAGATGGATTGGACCCAGTTAAAAATGAAACTGGCATTGTAGAAATGCGGGGAGGTGGGTTAGCAGACTAGGGTTGTAAAACCGTAAGCTAATTGAGCCCCATGCATTAACGTTAGTGGCCTACCAGGACAAGGCTGCCCAATGCGTCAACAAGTGTCACCTGGTTCCGAAACTCGGTAGTAGATCATGGCCTGGATGTGTAAATCAGGATCCGAGTATTGACCTTGCAGAACGCCAACTTCTCATACAGCTCGGCGACTTGAGGACTCTATTCAAACCCCACGGGTGCGCGTTCACGCTGTGCCTGCTGCAAGCCCCATTCCATTAATTGCTTATCGATGCCGCATTGCTGAAACAGTGTCGACAGCGTGGGCGTCCAGGTACCAAATATCTGGACAGGGCAGACAGCAGAAACAGCTTGGTGCCGAGGAGTCGTAAAGTTCAAGTCGACGGGGATCGATACTGCGGTCAGGGCAGGTAAATTCTGGGTACAATTCTTCCAGTCCAGGGAGTGTTCGCTCCAGAATTGCATATACCGATGTTAGCAGAAAATGCAGACGGGATGTGGTCAGTATGCGACAATGAGTCCTTTTGCCAGACTACTGCGTCGTCTCCGCTCTCCCATCTGATTCAAGCAGTGTATCCTGTGTATCCACAGATCAGCATCAGCTTCAGTGTGTTCTCCATTCTCATTCTCCACTGCGACGAGAATCATAGACCCCGGAGCCACGGATCGCCTTTTGAGATACAGTAGCGGAGGAAGGAATAGCGAAAGTCTCGGGTGATGCTCGTGTCGCCGTGGACATATTCAGGCAAAAAGTCCTCCAGCATGGCCTGCGCCAGATCTGCAATGCCGGGGAGATCCTGAGCACATGCAAACCGAAGACATACAGGAGACAAGCTGTTGGTGTTCCTGGATTCACCAGTGAGGCAGCGTGGTGGGTGTGGTCTGTGCCCATGAGGGGGGAACCCTGTCGCCTCCACATCAGTGGGTTAGCGTAGGAACCTCGGCAATTGATTTCTATTTTCGTAGCCGCTTTGAAACCCTTGAAACAGTTGGCAATAGTTTCAAGGCAACAGGCAAAGTGAGTGTAGAGAACACATTGTTTGACCACTGTTTGACGGTTTCGTTAGTTCAAATCCCGAGACTTCGTTGTCAAAAACCTGTAAAGGCTCGAGAGTGGCAATTGAGTTGAGATATGCGGGCCCGTTACCTCAAGAAATCAAAGTTCAACTAGAACAGGGAATGAGCCTCAGCTTTGACGATCAACTTTGCCAATACGGCTAAGACTGTTAAAAGGCGAAAAGAAAGGAAAGTTTAGCGGCACGTGCCCAGAGCGATTCCTTCCGGGGAAGCGGGAAAAGTCGTTCCCTTGCATCTTTTCCCCAACCTCCATTTTCTGCTGGAACTTTTCCTTCTTACTATTGCTCTCTGTGAGGCCCATTGCCTGTCCGGGTCAATTGGTAATCTCGCTTTGCCCCAGGTGGCGACTGTGGCTGGGTTTTCCTCGGTCTTTCCTCATTTTATTTCTTTTACACCTCATCCGCATCCCATGCGAGGTCCCGAGTCCCTGGTCTCATAACCGCCCTCGGACACTTCCCACTCCACACAGTTACATCCGCCGACATTCTTCGGAAACCGACAACTGCGCGACGATCCGATCCCACCGACCTCAACAACCCGCGGATTTCCTCTGGACCCTTCGAATTGGCGCTCGATTGCAACACACATGCTACAATATTTGCGCGCATGGTCTTTCGATCTGGAGTGACTATGATGCCTCTAGAGTCGGCCCGCTGGAACAAACTACGTGCATAGTCGAGGATCTCACAAAGTGGGGCGCGCAACATTCTCTGATCAGGATACTTTCTTGTATACCTAGCCAGGCTCAGTCGGCGCGCCGATAATGACCAACCTGTCCGAGCCTCCGGACGGGATCCATGGGTATCATGGCAACAATTTAGCTGTGCGGACGTTGATGATTGTCTTCACATCCATTGCATTATACAACTCCATCGAACTGTTCATATTGCTATTTTTGACCTTCCAATCCTACCGGGGCCTCTACTTTTGGACACTTTTGCTGTCTGTTGTGCTTGGTGTGATTCCCCACGCCATTGGCTACCTGCTGGAATTCTTTTCCTTGGCACCATTATGGTTTTCCTTGACTCTGTCCACCATTGGCTTTTACGTCTTGGTACCAGGGCAATCGGTGGTCCTTTACTCGCGCCTGCATTTGGTGGTTCAGAGTTCCAAAGTTCTTCGTTTTGTGCTCTGGCTCATCATCATTGATGCGGTTATTCTTTTAATACCAACAACCGTTCTTACATTTTGTACCGCGTACGTTGCCAAGCCGGCAATGATTCGCGGATACAATGTCATGGAGCGGATGCAATTGGCCTGGTTCTGCGCGCAGGAAATGGTCATCTCAGGAATCTACATCATCGAAACCGTCAAACTCCTCAAGATGATGCCAGACAAGGACCGACGACGAACTCGCATCATGTACGAGTTGCTGGCTATCAATTTGGTCATTATCTTGCTTGACATTTGTCTACTGGTCGTAGAGTATATTGGCTTCTACTCGCTGCAGACGACTTTGAAACCTATGGTCTACAGCATCAAGCTGAAGCTTGAGTTTGGCGTGCTTGGAAAGCTCGTCTCGGTCGTACAAAACCAAAAATCACAGCCCAATTCGTCCGAGCACGAGGAGTATCCAGGTTTCGTGGATCCCACTCAATTCACGACGGATGTTACCCACGCTGCTCCCCGGGAATCGCGATCACGAGGACGGAGGGGATGGAATTCGAATACGATTTCCATGGAGAGCTTGCCCATGTCCGAGCGTCGAATTCGTCCATCCACGCAATCGACCGATGGCAGTGCTCAGCCAACATGAGAGCTGGCTCGAGAATATGCATTTCACATCTTTATTTTCAGGCTATAATCATCCGCTGGGCGATAATAGCAAAGCCATTAGCTTTCATCTTTTTCGCCACCCATGAAAACTTTGACTGCCAATCTCAAGTTTGAGTTGGTTTGGCCACCTAGCATTTGCTCTCATTGCACCTCACATCTGAGTTGTGCCAACGCCCCCCACCGGCCCAATTCCAAACCCGGAATACTCATCCTCTAGGCCATCTTGCTTTTTTTGCCTGCGCAATGTTAGCAAACCAAAAATGAGATGCTCTCATCTCTGCATTCCGGCTTATGATTCGAGCAACCTTGCCGTCTCACTGCTGTAAGGGTCTCGAAGGTATAGGCGTTAGCATTACCTCGAACGGCTTGCGTGATATTTTGTACGAATGGTTCATATTCGGCATTGAGGAGCGAACTCGAGAATCACAATATCAGACTACCAGAACAGGTAGTGAGATCATGGACCCGTTTCGGTCTCGATGCCGAGTATGAAACATTCGTGCAAAACATTACGCAAGCTTTTCGGGGTAGTGCTAATGCCTATACCTTCGAGACCGTTACAGCAGAGAAACGGCAAGGGTTGCACATTATCTGTGGTTCAACCATACCACTGCAAAAGTCATTCTGCCCGATTCGGAAGGATTGTGGCCGTCATATATGCCAGATGTATATTGGCAATGACATAATATAATGCGGTCTATCGACACCCATGATTCTCACGATGTATAATACCTAAAAAAATTACCGCGTTACCATGATATATTATCACTTGAAATATTGGAGCCAACACAAAAGAATAGTAGAAGATAGAACTTGCTCGCATTGATAGTCGACAGCCACGATATCGATGGAATCAGCAGTATGACTGGATTCCAGTTTTGTATGGCTCTGAAGGAGTACCTGGATGCTCCTACTCACCCAGAAAAGTACAAGAAGAGCCTACCAGGTGGCGAAATGCATGATGCCATCGTGAGCTTCCAGAGTACCGAGTATCACGGGGAAGATGAATAGAATCTGCCGATTAAAATGCCGGTCTTGGATCAACGCCATATCTATATTGCATATATGTGTCTCACACCGTATCAGGTCGGCAATCTGCGGGGGTAGCCGAGATACGAAACTACGCCGTTGTAACTCTGTTTTCTCCACTGCGGAATGACAACTTATCTACGGAGTTCGGAAGGAGATTCCTTCCTCAGCTAACTCTGGTTATATCTCTTCTATTACTCGATTCTATTATCGAGCTTACTCCATTCAACCCAATTGACAATGTTGACAGTGCAAGAGCAAACGGAAATCATCCAGAAGGTGCGCGGAGCACTGAACCAGTATGAAGCCAAGCTCAGCGAGATCAACCAGAAGGCAAGTACTATACCACCCATAAGACAAATAGTCAATATTGACAAGCAACAGATCTGGTCAGACCCCGAACTAGCATTCAAAGAATACAACGCCCACAACAACATCTGCACGTTCTTCGAATCCCTCAACGATGACAATGGCTACAAAATCACCCGGCAAGCCTATGGCATCGAAACAGCCCTAGAAATAACCTACAAACAAGGCCACGGAGGCCGCACCGTAGCCTTCAACGCAGAATACGACGCCCTGCCCGGAATGGGCCACGCCTGCGGCCACAACCTAATAGCAACAAGCAGCATCGCGGCCTTCCTCGCAACAGTGGAGACAATGAAAGCGCTCTATAGCAAGAACAGAACAACAAGCACAAGCTACGAAGTCCGCCTCTTCGGCACACCGGCCGAAGAAGGCGGCGGCGGAAAACTTCTCCTAATCAACGCCGGCGCCTACAAATCCGTTGACGCCTGTTTCATGGTCCACCCATTCCCAATCCTGTCTGGCGCGCCGGATCTGCTCAGTTCGAGCTCTTGTACCGGGCAATACCTCGCGAATGATAAGATACAGGTGACATACACGGGCAAGCCGGCTCATGCGTCTGCGGCGCCGTGGGAGGGGGTGAACGCGCTTGATGCGGTTGTTTCGGCTTATGTAGGGATTTCGATGTTGAGGCAGCAGATCAAGCCGACGGACAAGATCCATGGGGTTGTGCTGAGGGGTGGGGAGAGGCCGAATGTTATTCCTGCTTCGACTACTGTGGAGTATTATGTTCGGTCGGGGAGTGTGAAGGAGTTGAGGCCTTTGACGGAGAAGGTGGTCAAGTGTTTCGAGGCGGCTGCTACTGCTACTGGGTGTACGGTTGAATTTGAATGGTATGTATTATATTGGTGGTGGTGGTTGCGGTGATGCTTGCTAACAGCTGCTGTAGGGAGGCTTCGTATAAGGATATGAAGATCAATAAGCCTATCTGTGATAGCTATGTCTCTGCTATGAATGCTATGGGACATAGTGCTATCTTTGATGCTGCGGGACAGGAGGGTGGGCTCAGTGGGGGATCCACTGATATGGGTGGGTGCAGAGTAGCCCTGCAGGGTTTTGTTCTACTGTCTAGGATGTCCACTTGCTGACAACTGTTTTTTTTTATCTAGGCAACGTCTCCTACGAAGTCCCGAGCTTCCATGGCGGCTTTTACATAGCCACGGACGGCGTCAATCATACGCCACAGTTTACGGCAGGCGCGGGTTCGGAGGAGGGCTTCAAGCGCAGCTTGCATTGTGCTGCGGGAATGGCGGTGGTGGCTTGCCGGAATCTAGTTGATGATAGCTTTGCGAAGGCTGTGGAGTCTGATTTTCGCAAAGATAATACGCTGTAGATCCATTGAGATAAACTAGACTCCGTATTATGGGTCAATATGGATCGTGCTATAGATTGAATGGAGAATGTCGACTTTGGTTCTGGGCCAAAATGGATCAAGTTTTACTCCGTAGCTGAGTGGAAACAAGTTACTTTTTTTTCTACATCTACGACTCATGTGGAGCATATAAAAATCAGTCGCCACAGCTCCCATTTGTAATGCAATGGCGGAACACCGCGGTGCGGGCTTCACAAAAAGGGGCGAGATAACACTAAGATATCTGACATCCCCGCATAAAAATTGCCGAGCTGAGTATCCGCCGAGTATCCGCTGAGAGGAGAAGTGGATGCACAGTGGGTGCATCTAAACTCTCTCGGACTCGGCTACAACCCGATAAGAACTATGGGTTGCCGAGCAGGTGCAGCTGATTGGCACTCTCGCCAAGTCCCCATTCTACCTCCACGATTTCAATCGGGAAATACAGATCTACATTCAAAACATAAGCAGAAAACTGAACTGACCCGTTGGTAAAGGCTCCTCCCCCCCTGGGCCCACCGCGGAACGTAGCCCGAGGATCTGGACTGGTAGGTTTAAGCGAGTTCAAATCCATGGCTTTTTTCCTGTCATAAGTAAGACCCGTGGGCTTGCGTGATCTGCACCTTTTTTTGTATTAGCGCTCTTGTGTCATTTTGCATTTGCTTGTACACGTACGATGCAGGTGAACGATTCTAATATGGATGAGAAGGGCTTAAAGGGGGATGGTGAGTCTGTTGGCCGGGACTTTGACTTGGGTCAGGTTCTTGCTGTTCAGGCGACGCCTGAAGAGGAGAGGAAATTGTTGTGGAAACTTGATCTTTTGTGAGTATCTTGTTGGGCTTTAGGATGGCAGTTTCTAACTTGTTACAGTTTGATCCCATTGATGGGGATTGCGTACTTCCTTCAGTTCTTGGATAAACTTGCGCTCAGTCAAGCTACATTGTTCGGTTTACGACAAGACTTGGTATGCAATCTTATACTGGCCGTCCTTTCTCAATTGGGTGTTCATTAACCATCATAGAACATGCACGGCAATGAATACTCATGGGCCTCTGCAATCTTTTATTTCGGCTATTTCGCCTGGAGCTGGTAGGATTCGGAGTGTTCTGGGATGCAAAGGACGATCACTGACTCTAAACAGGCCGAGTTCTTATATTATCGTCCGTCTCCCTATTGGAAAATACCTCGCAGTTTCAGTGTATGTCCTTCCCTCACGACCAAGAATAAGCACTGACAATGTTAGATTCCTATGGGGTGGTATCATGATGTGCCACGCAGCCTGCTCAAACTGGGCCGGGCTTATGACAGTCCGATTTTTCCTAGGTGTTGGAGAAGCCGCCATTGCACCAGGCTTTACATTGATCATAGGAATGTTCTACCGACGTGAAGAACAGCCCCTCCGGTAAGCCCTAGCTCCTTGTCGCATGATTCAATTTCTAACAGCTTTTAGGCAATCTGCCTGGTTCTTCGGAAACTGCGTGGCGCTTTTATTCGGTGCCTTGATCGCCTACGGCATCGGAAACATCAACACAAACGCCATCGAACACTGGAAACTATTGTTCCTTATCTTCGGTGCCATCACCTCCGCCTACGGCATCGTCCTTCTCTTCTTGCTCCCAGACTCCCCCGCTACAGCTATCTTCCTCAAACCACACGAGCGCGCCATTGCCGTAAAGCGAACATTGAAAAACAAGACTGGAGTCATGGATACTGGTGTATTCAAGTGGTCGCAGGCCGCTCAAGCCCTAACAGATCCCCAAACCTGGTTCTTGGTTCTGTGGTCATTCACTACCAACCTAGCGAACGGTGGTCTCACGAGTGTGCGTATCATTCTCTATATTACACCCATGCCGTATACTTATTCTCATCACAGTTTACATCGATTATCATTGCCGGTTTCGGATTCTCCGATCTCAAGGCACTGGTTATGCAAATGCCCCAAGGTGGTGCCCAGATTGTTTTTTTGATCCTTACTTCGACTGTGGCGACTTTTGTGCCATCCTCCCGTATTTTGGGGATGGTTCTTAACATCATTGTTGCTGTTATTGGAACTATTCTCATTTGGAAGCTTAACGACGACAACCTAGCCGGACGAATGGTTGGCTTGACCTTATCTTGTGTTTTCGCTATTAATTTGCCTATCTCATTGAGTATTGTTACCTCGAATGTGGCTGGTTTCTCTAAGAAGAGTGTCACGGGTTCGTTGATTTTCATCGCGTACTGTGTTGGAAATATTGTTGGTCCTCAGTTTTTCCTGTCTTCGGAGGAGCCTGCATACCCGGTAAGTGGATATATCTCTTGATTTGACAAATGGCGAGAACTTAACTGACATCTTATTTTCTAGACTGGAATCAAAGCTTCTATGTCAGGATTGGTGCTGAGCATCTTCTTCCTCTTGTGCTTGTACTTCTACTACACGTACGAGAATCGTAGGCGGGACAAGCTCTATGGCTCTCCTGAGGAGATGACCGTGGGTGCTGAGCTGCAGGATGAACTGTCTAACAAGACGGATCGCGAGATTGAGAGTTTCAGATATCTGCTATGAGATACTAATGAGAAACTTATATTAAATTAACGAACTTGATTCATCAAGAGAAATATTCATTAAGTCCACCAATCATCAAGATAGAATGTGCAGAATAGAGTAACCATGCTGTCGTAGCCTCAAAGCAGGAAAAGCAGCTACACTGTCTCAGGATCAAAAAATATTTGGGGGGACTATTCCAACCAAGTATTAATCGCAACCCGCAAAGCATCACCTAGCCACTTCTCCTTAAATGACGTATCAACATCAAACCCATGCCCACCAGGCCGAAGGCAGAGAACCAAGTTCTCAGCACCCTGTTTCCCTCTCAAAGTGGCCTTCGCCTTGTTCATAAACCTCTCACTAACCTCCGCTAGAACATCATCATCATCAGTCCCATGAATGATAACCAATCCACCACGGGGCAATTTTGTCTCAGGATAGTCCAATCGTTCCAATTGAAACAATTTCTCCCGATAAGGCGAGCCTTCAGAGCCCCGTGTATAAAACTCCGGACCTCTCCGATGACAAGAAATTGCAAATTGCAAACGGGCACGCCGCACCTCCAAATCAGACGATTCAACATATCCAGGACTGAGGCCCGCGAGATACTCATCAATGTACGAAGACGGCACCTCGGCATTCATGGCATTCACCGAAGGGTGATACGTAGCCGGCGGATCCCAGCTGAGTTGCGGATAAGTAGCCGTCCCAGCGCGAAGCTGGTCCGGGTAGGAAAGTGTGAGGTAGATGCTCAAAATTCCACCTGCGGAGTCTCCGGCGGCAAGGACACGATCAAGATCAAGACCAATTTGGTGTGGAGAAAGGATCTTCGTAAGGGCTTCGGAATGGAGCCATGTCCAGAAGTCGTCGACGTCTTCTAGAATTTGGACTCCTGTTGCTTCGGGGAGGAGGCGGTAGTTTGGTGAGATTATTACTGCGTTGTGAGCTTCCGCTAGCTCTAGGAGCCATTTTGGGAACCAGTCTGCGTAGATTGAGTCTCCTCTTGACTGTATCTTTGTTAAGATGTTGTGTATTTGCTGGGGTGAAGTAACATACCAAGCCTCCACCGTGGAATCGAGCAATGACGGGATTTTTTCTGGTTGTATCCAGAGACTTGGGGGTCAGAATATCTGCCCGTATATCATGACCATCTACTGTTTTGTAGATAGTCTGGATGATGTTGAAGTTGTTGAACTTCTGACCGAATCTGGCTGCAGTCATCTTTGCGGGGTAAAAATGGTGTTGATAGAGCTGGGACTCTGATGACCACAATAGATGCGGAAAGTGATTTGAGCTGATACATTTTTCAAAGTCTTGATGACCATAAGCCTACTTATAGATGCTCGTATCCAATGTTTGCATACATGTGAGGCCGACAAAGTGGATCCAATGACAATGCAAACAAGACATGCGGGAAGGACATTGGCCAAGAATGTGTTTGCAGCAAGACCAAACTATAGTTTGTGCTGTTTGACTTTGTTTTCCATCTCCAGGTATTGAGCAGTCTATTACCAATGCTGCTATTTTTGGGTCACGTTTTAGGGTACAAATGTAAGTTAAAATATCGAAGGGCATTGCGTGCAAATTGAAGCATCATGGACAATGGCAGTACTGGAGCTGGTCACACATACCTCTCCCTTGTCTTATATGCAAAGCATGCCTCATAAAAATTGTTTCTAGTACCCCGACTCGCTTATAAATTACGAATTGACTATGTTCATGGTCGGTACGATGTATTGTCTGCCGATTTACCAGAAACTGTTACAGTTAACTACATGGATATCACCTTAGTTTCAACCATCTCAATCTTAAGTCATAGGGGCAATATGACGTTAGAATGTTCATGACAATGTGGCACTCGTCAATAAAGACATATAGCTATGTCATTTCGCCAGTAAACATGCATCTTTCTCGATGACTCTCCAAGGTACTATAACATTTACAAACAAGGATGATTCTATGACATCATGCAGTACTCGGGTATGTCATTGGTACCCGTAACCAGGTACCAGTACTTCCATTAATATGGGAGACTTCGGCTAAAGGCATGTATCAGTACATGGTCTCAGCCACTGATGGCCCTCAAGTCCACAGCTTTTTACCCTTTTAAGCTCTTGGTTGAAATTTGTTCCCCACGGCCTTTCCACCAGTCAATGCTGAGAATTCTCCGGTTCGCTTGGAGCGCCCAACCATGTGCAGCATGGAAGCTCGCGCCTAGGGCCACCCGCTGTGGAGGCCCTTTTGACAGGCGCCTATCATTACTTCATACACATTAATTTACTGGTCTATTTCTGCGTTTCACCGCATTTGCTGCCCCTCCATAGGCTTCTGGTTATCTCTTGTCTTCTCTCCGGATCGTCGTACGCCCAACCTGTCGGGTTCGATCTCTGATTGCGGGGACTTGTCCACTTAGGTGGCTTCTATACCTCGCCTTATGAACACCGGGTACACTCTCCTTCCTCGGCTCCGAGAGTCCGTTTCCTTTGGAATCTTGTGTCTCTCGCCATAAAAGGCGGAACCCTCCGCTTCCCTCCCCCGGAATTGAGTTTGTACTTCACACAACCCTCAAATCTCACTGAGACACCCGATCGGAACAAGCTATCGGACTGCACGGCCCCGATGGCATCACCAGCGCCCGATAAGATCGGGCCGGGATCCCCGCGAAAAAGATCTGAAAGTATTGCAACAGGGTCATTGAGGTCGGAGGACATGCGCCCAGAGATCAGGGACCGAGCACAATCCGTTACCCAAAATGAAAGCCAACCACCGAGCACCGGCTTCGACGCTGCCGACCGTGTCTTCCCCATTCGGTCATTCGTTTCGATCGACCCTAAGCCCGTAACACACCATGCGACTACCGCGCAGGCGCGGGCGGCACGTTCGCCAACGCGAGAAGGGGCCCGAGAATACTCATTCATCGACGAAGATACGTGGAATCAACTACAGTCACAACCTCCCTCCAATGCGGAAGCGAGTGGACCGACCATACCCACCGATATTGAACGCCATGAGACACACGAGGTAGACGACAGCACGGAGCTTGCAGCACATTCGATGGCATCTGAGGTTATCCAGCACCCCGATATCTATGCCAAACCCACAAGCGATAGCAACTCCGCCACCGGTTCTACCGCCTACCCAGGCGCGCACACCACGCCCAGTGACGAACAGGGCCATTACACCGCTCGCTTCAAACATGTCATGACAGAGAATGGTCATGCTGTGATAACAGGACGGGATGGAAAGGCATTCCAATATTGTGAAGATGAACCAATTCGCATCCCAGGTGCGATTCAAAGTTTTGGAGTTATGCTTGCTTTGCGAGAGGAATCGCCCAATCAGCTTGTGGTGCGTGTGGTGAGCGAAAACTCGGCCGATTTCTTCGGTCATTCGCCCAAGGAACTATTCGAGTTGGAGAATTTCTGCGAGATCATGCACGAAGACCAGGCAGATAACCTACTGGATCATATCGACTTCATTCGTGATGATGCTTACGACCTCACCATCGATGGACCGGAAGTGTTTTCCTTGGACATTCGTACGCCATCGGGGGAGACCCGTCGATTCTGGTGCGCAGTTCATGTTTGCCAAACGCAAAAGGATCTGATCATTTGCGAATTTGAGCTGGAGGATGACGAGATTAACCCATTAAATGTCGCGGGTACTACTACCCCGGCTTCTCCAACAGATACTTTGGGCGTCAACCCAACCCCAGAGCAATTGGCTGAAAGCACAATCAACATCAGCCAACCTCTGCGCGTTCTTCGCAAGGCCCGTCGGAGGAGGGGTGAAGCAGCCTCGATGGAAGTTTTTAGCATCTTAACACAAATCCAGGAGCAGCTGGCTCGGGCAAATCATTTGGATCAATTGTTGAATACCACTGCCGGATTGGTGAAGGAGCTGACCGGCTTTCACCGAGTCTTGATTTATCAGTTCGACAGCAGTTGGAATGGCATGGTAGTTGCGGAACTGGTTGATCCTAATGTCACGATCGATCTCTATAAGGGCCTTCATTTCCCTGCATCTGACATTCCCGCGCAGGCGAGAGAACTATACAAGATCAACAAAGTGAGGTTATTGTATGATCGTGACCAAGTCACGTCTCGCCTCGTTTGTCGCACTTTGGAAGACCTCGAAACCCCTCTCGACATGACACATGCTTTTTTGAGAGCAATGTCGCCCATTCACGTGAAGTATCTGGCTCACATGAAGGTCCGGTCTTCAATGTCTATCAGCGTCAATGCTTTCAACAATCTATGGGGCTTGATCTCCTGCCATAGCTACGGTACCGCGGGAATGCGTGTTTCGTTCCCAATTCGCAAAATGTGCCGGCTTCTTGGTGATTGCGTATCACGGAACATCGAGAGGCTTTCTTATGCCTCTCGCCTGCAGGCACGGAAGCTGATTAACACTGTACCGACTGAGGCCAATCCGTCCGGTTACATCATTGCGTCCTCGGATGATCTGCTTCAACTTTTCGATGCAGATTATGGTGTTTTGTCGATCCGAGACGAGACCAAGATTCTCGGCGATAACAACCACTCCCAGGAACTGCTTGCACTGCTGGAGTATCTCCGCCTACGTCAGATGAACTCAGTGCTTGCATCGCATGATATCACCAAGGACTTCCCTGACCTGCATTACGCCCCGGGATTGAAGGCCATCTCGGGACTATTATATGTCCCACTTTCCGCCGCTGGCAGTGACTTCATCGTTTTCTTTCGTCGCGGACAACTCACGGAGATTAAATGGGCTGGTAATCCATATGAAATTGCCAAGCGGAAAAAGACCGCGGGGTATTTGGAACCGCGTGAAAGTTTCAAGGCATGGCAGGAGACAGTCCTGTCCCAGAGTCGCGAATGGACGGACACGGACGTTGAGACAGCTGCAGTTCTATGCCTTGTGTATGGTAAATTCATCAAAGTCTGGCGTCAGAAGGAGGCTGCTATGCAAAATTCACAACTCACTCGACTGCTGCTGGCCAACTCCGCGCATGAGGTTCGCACACCCTTGAATGCTATCATCAACTATCTTGAGATTGCCCTCGAGGGTGCGCTCGATGCAGACATCCGCGAGAGTCTGACCAAATCTCATTCGGCTTCTAAATCCCTTATCTATGTTATCAACGATCTACTGGATTTGACAAACACTGAGAAAGGACAGGCGTTGATCAAAGATGAAAGCTTTGACCTTGAAGCCACTTTCAAGGAGGCCTCCGACATGCTCTCCGGTGAGGCCAAGCGGAAGAACATCTCCTACACCGTGTCAGTCCATCCGGGTATACCTCACTCGGTGCTCGGAGATCAACGGCGTGTCCGCCAAGTCTTGTCAAACGTGATTTCGAATGCAATTCAAAATACCGCCTCGGGTGCTGTTACTACCGAGATGTGGCGGTCGGCGAACCAGAGCCTCCCAGGTTATGTGGCAGTTGAGGTTATAGTTGTCGACACAGGGTGCGGAATGTCGGAGAAGAAGCTGGAGTCTCTGTTCCACGAGCTTGAACAAGTTTCCACCGATGAAACGTACTATCCCGAGGACGAGCCAGAACCAGAGCAGTCAGACTCGCCCAAACAACCAAAGAAACGTGTCTTGGGTCTTGGCCTTGCCCTGGCGGCAAGAATTGTTCACAACATGCAAGGACAGCTTGGTGTTAGATCAGAAGAAGGAAAAGGTAGCCGATTCAAGATTTTGTTACAATTCAAGTTGCCAGAAGGGGCCTCCCCTGACAGCATTGCTTCCGCGGGCCCTGTTGCTCCCCCGACTTCTGTGCTCCCTGACAAGGAATACAGGCTAATTGGTGGGGCATACGAGGCTCGCGAGAGTGACCGTGATCCAAGAAGAAGAAGCACGGAAAGTCTGAACAGTGGCGGCAGCTCTCGCAGTGGGAAGAGCCAGGCCGACCGTCTCATTAGCGCCATGCAAGAACCAGCTTTACCCACGAGAAGTACGAGTCATGGCTCAGACGTCAAACCGCCTGATCTTCGACAGCTCAAAATGGGCAGTCCCATTAGTGCGAGCAGCCATGTTCAGTCTTTAACGTCGCCGGTAGCGATACAAGACCCGAAGCGATCAAGTTTGACAGAGCACCGAGCCAACCTCTCTTCCGCCTCATATACGCCGCCGATTATGTTGCAACCGCCGGTAACACAACCTCCGCCGGGCCTGGAGAACATCACGGACTCGGGAGTACCGATGAGTGCTTTGCGAATATCCCAGCAATCTGCAAACACGATACCGCCCCATCTGCAGCGTGTTGAAGATCATTCCTATTTCCCCCGCGCCAAAAATATCACAGGAACATCACAGCGTTCAACGGACGCTACCGCATCTAAACCAACAAACGTCTCACCTGATTATGAGCTGCTGCACGTACTAGTTGCGGAGGATGACCCGGTCAATAGCAAGATCGTGTCAAAACGTTTGACTAAGCTTGGTCATACTGTACACTTAACCGGCAACGGTGAAGCCTGTGCCACTGCTTTTGGCTTAACCACCGAACCCTTTGATGTGGTGCTGATGGATATACAAGCAAGTCTAATCTTCTAGTGCCGTTTTTACTCATGCTAACTATGCGCAGATGCCGATCGTCGATGGCATCGAAGCCACAAAGATGATTCGCGACTTCGAGATTAAGACTCCCAAGAGTGCGCTTTCCGACAAAGCGAGAAAGGGCAACAACCGTGCGCCGATCTTTGCAGTATCAGCTTCTTTACTTGAGAAAGAAAAGGATAAATACACCGATGCCGGATTTGATGGCTGGGTCATGAAGCCAATCAACTTTGCTCGGCTGAATGTACTTTTCAGCGGCCTCTGTGACCCCGAGGCCCGACGAGAAGCCACCTATAAGCCTGGTGAATGGGAGAATGGTGGATGGTTTGAGTCACATTAGATCCAGATCTAGCGGTTCACGTCCAAAGCCGATACTCCGTGTCAATTCGGGCGCCATTCATCCCCCTCACTCGTTTCCGTGTCGGTCTATTTCATCTATCATACACTTCCCTGTGTCCTTTATGCGGTGAATGAACCTCCCTATACTCGTTCCACTCTTCCCGATATGCATCTGTCTCATTTCACTCCCTACGATACCTACAAACTTCAATTTTCTCAACGGAGAGGGTTGATCAATTTCATGATATACTTCTGCATTCTCGTTTATGTTATTATGCATGTTTGCAGGCCCCGGTACACGAATGGGCCTGCGGGGTTTGCTCTATTGGCGTTCCTTCATGGTTCAATCGGGTCGGGAAAATATACAGATACCCTATTTGACGTTCTACATTTGTGTCTTGTTGGTTCTACAATCTGTCAAGTTCAGATTTCTGTTTAACACTCACAAGTCTTCTTTTCTCTCTCAATTCATGTATATATACATTTGAATCCTATACGTCGAAGGATATCTAATCCTCTGGACCCAATGCAGAGAAGAAACGAGTATACCGTTCCTTACATTGTTTTTGCCCTACTCTAGCCTATGACTGTATGTATATCACGGAGCCAGTTCCATTCCATTATAAAGAAAGTTCATATCTTAACTGAACAAAAATCGACAAAACCACCAAACAGGTCAAAACGACCAGGGTATAAAACGAAACAAGAGGACCGCCCGGTAATGGATCGACTGCCAAGAACAATCGACTCCTATAGTGAAGTATATACAACCAACCACTAAGAAAGCGATTCCCTAGGGAAACTCATGCTTGCCCTCACTTTTCAAATTCAACGAGATTCAACCAACCTCATCTCAACGGTCGACCGGGTATCAGACGAGCGCTCCTGCAACCGCCCATCCATATGCAACTGCCCAATCGAATTCTCCGACGCCGAACTAGTCTCCCTCAAAGCCTCATGAAAATCATAAGTACTACTCCTCTTCGAACGAGGCAACCCAGTAGGACTAACGGCACCCCCAAACCGTGGCGAAGCCTGCGCCTCCAAATCCATTTCCATTTCCACATCCTGCGCGCGTGGACCGCCCCTCGCAAGCAAATCGAAGATATTAATATCACTCGACACACGCGGACTATCATTTCCAGGGCGACAAACACAAGGATAAGTCCTCGTAAGCTCGCGCAGCTTTGACAAGATAAAAAACTCAAGCTTGAGCTTGACACTGTATACAACAGTCTTGTAACTAACAGTGATAAAATGCATCTTGAATTCCGTAACGACGAGGGTGGTGTTCAGGCCGACGACGATCACATTTATAATGATGAGTTGGTAGATGACGCTTCGGCCTGCACGGCCTTTCATGGCGAAGATGGGTTTTAGGGCGCGCAGTGCCTCGCGGATGTAGATACCGCTTATTATCATGTCTTGAATTGCGAAGCCGGGGACTTGGACCCTGTCGAAGATTGCAGCGGGCGTTGCGCATTTTGGGTTGTTGCCTAGGTTTTGGCACAAGAAGAGGGCTGTCATTGGGACGCTTAGGATGCTGAAGTTTGCTAGTATCATCCAGAGGACCCAGCGGATGTGGCTGATGTCTGAGACGACGAGGTGGAGGCGGGAGTAGAGGACTACTGCTTGGCCCTGGCGGGGAGGAGGGTTTGGTTAGTATGGGTTGGTTGTGGATGTGTGGATGCATTGTTTGCTGTTGTCTAGGGGAAGTGTACATACTTGGACCATGCAGTACCACCCGAGCACGAATGGTATGGCCATTGATATATTCGATGCTTTTGAAATATATCTCACTTGTGCAGTGATTCCGTGCACGACTATTCCCCACGCTGCGATTTGCATGCTCCAGAAGTAAAGGCCCCGATAGCGCTTGAACTGGTTGAGCGTCGACAAGGCAACTTCCAGAGCCATGAACGAACCAATAGCGAACATGGAGATGATTTCGACTACAGTGATATCACCCATCAAGATATTGCCGACCTCTGGAGGCAGACTGCTCATGAGGGTATCCATACTGAGAGCGGGAAACCATACGGAAGAAACAACCGATCGGAAATGAGACGGGATATATGGGATATGAGATATGGGGGAGGTCTGCGGCAACGCAGGTCCATCAGGGAGCATGGAGGGTCTTGAACCCCTCATCTTATGGTGTGACAGGACGGGATAAAGTTGTCGATGGCAGGGTTAGTATCGAGGCAGCCACCAGCACATCGAGTCATGAACCCTCCCCTATTAATGGGAGTTAAGCCTCCCGCAACAGTGCCTACGATAGTAAATGACAAAAGTGGAGTCCGATCTTGTGATCCAGTAGGGTATTGAGGTGAGTTTGTCTCCAGAAATGGTCGCGCATGGGGATTGCAAATCCACTATCGGTGGGAATCATATTTGAGCATTTTAATGCAGTTGGGTGTTCATCCATGGACGTGCCCCGTTAACTATCTCCTAACTTTCTGTTGGATCGGTTATCTATTGGATGGAGCGAACGAATCGAGGGAGCCCCTAACAGGGATGCTTGGGAATCAAACAAAGAAAGTACTCGCACGTATCAACTGTGGCGCTTCCGGTAGCGGCTAGGCCTAGCCCTTGGCTAGGAGATGTGACAGCTGAGTCTTTGTTCTTTCATTGTCAGTGTAGTCTGTTGCTCATTTGACAGAAGTAGAGTGGATGTGTAGATGTTGACGTTTATACATCCACGTCGCACGAGCCGCGGAGGCTTGGCATGGACTCGGAGGAAACGAATAGGCACGGGGCGATTAATGGACTAAGCGTGAGGATTATGCAAGATGTTATGCGTGATGAAGTCATGCATTGCCTTTAACTTCGAAGTAGTAGTTAGTGGGCTAGGTCTTGGCCGTTGAGCCAGCACGGTATCTGTCACTCGTGAAGACCAATCGCCGAGCTGCAAACGTCCAACTGATGAACTTGAGGCGAAAAAAAAGGTACTGTGGTGTGTAATGGCGCCTAAATCGCCTCTCACTGCAGAACAGTGAAGGGTGACACGTATGTCGAGCTTAAGAGCAAAGTTCACACTGAAACGGGGTAACATATATTATTAGACTGGAATGACAGACACGCGGCGGTCAACACGAAGCATGATGAATCGCGCCAGACAGATGTAGCAAGCCGAAAAGGGAACATCGGCGGTGTCTTGAATATAGTACCTAGGAGATGAAAGAAACACAAGACAATACATACCTAGGGCGCCTCAATATAGATAAAAAGACCTGCTAAGAGGCGTACTAAGAGCACACACGCCATTGGAGATATTTGGATCACCTGATCGGCATCAAGCGGCCGCGAAGCCGTTCCGACAAGAGCTCATTTTCACAAACGCGCCACATGCAAAGCTCCTTTCGTTTTGACGCTCGAGAGCCACGAGAAAGTTTCTCGGTAGTTCTCCGACCGGCGGAAAGAAAAGATAGATAGGCTCTGTGGTGGCCGTGTACCCCCTGCGAGTGTCGGCGACTTATACTTCAGGGGTCGCATGATAAATGATAAACCATTGTTCAGGAGTGGTAATCAACAGGATATCGACATTAAGATTGAGCTTCAGTCGATCAAAAAAGCGAAGTTTATTTGGTATAGATCACCCCGGGGAGGAGGAGTCAGGGAACAACCAACCGGAGCTGTCAGACCGCCAAGGAACCTCGGAATTGTCCATTGGCATCAGTCATATGATGTGATACTAAGACGGATAGCTTCTAGTACATAGAGCTATGCGACCGTAGACAAACAGCTCGTCGGAATAGGTTGAGATTCGTTATTCAAGACGTGATGAAGTGTCAAACACGCCCTCTTCTAATGACTAGTCTGTTTTCTGACATGATGTTACCAATGATATATCTGGAATGATCCGAGACATTGCCGTGGAAGTAATTGCCTATTCCGGATTGGAGGTAACATGGCTAGAACTCGGTTATTAGTGAGATGGCCTGAGGAACATTCGAATTCACGCCGACCAATGAACCTGGCACATTTGCAATATGTCGTGAATGTCTAGAAATGGCGATTTTGTCAGCTCTGTAGCTTGCTAATAAAGACTTCCATCGAACGTCGGAACCCGTCGCACCTCGGCGCACTCCGCCAATAAAATTACCGCCAGGCTGATCAACTCACGTAAGGACATACAAGACTTCCCCGCACCCCAGACCGAGCTGCTTCGTGAGTTGTGCCAATAGAGAGGTGCAGAGTCCAGACTTAGCGTATTTGTTAAGCTGTAAGGTCGGTCGTGGAGAGAGTAATATCCCGTTCGTTATTGGGTCGGAAACGGCAGGCAAATTATTTAAACTGCGGGGAACCCATCCCTGGCCGCTTTTTTTCTCTTCTTCACTCAACAATCATATTAATTCATCATGGGTGAATGTCCGGTTGCACACAAGAAGAGTAATGTGGCGGGTGGCGGTACTCGGTATGGTCCCCTTTCTGTAGTGGCGAAATTCAAGCTTGACGCCACTCCCATTTATCTGGGGTGCATGAGAGGCTGATTGTATACAGAAACACTGACTGGTGGCCGAATGCCTTGAAGCTCGGCATCCTCCGCCAGCACACCGATGCCACAAATCCCCAAGGCAAGGATTTCGATTATGCCGCTGCTTTCAAGACCCTCGACTACTGGGGCCTCAAGAAGGATCTCCATGCTCTCATGACCAGCTCCAACGATATCTGGCCTGCTGATTTCGGCCATTATGGCGGTCTTTTCATTCGTATGGCTTGGCACAGCGCCGGTACTTACCGTGTTTTCGATGGCCGTGGCGGTGGTGGCCAGGGCCAGCAAAGATTTGCTCCCCTCAACTCGTGGCCCGACAACGTTTCTCTGGACAAGGCCCGCCGTCTCTTGTGGCCTATCAAGCAGAAGGTGAGCAATTAAACACTCAGAGGAGCATAAGAAAGACCTTAAACCTTGGTACTAATACAATATATAGTATGGCAACAAAATCTCATGGGCTGATCTTCTGCTCCTGACTGGCAATGTCGCTCTGGAGTCCATGGGTTTCAAGACCTTTGGATTCGCTGGTGGCCGCCCTGATGTCTGGGAAGCTGATGAGTCAGTGTACTGGGGTAGCGAGAATGTCTGGTTCACCAACGAGGCTCGCTACGAGGCTGAAACTCCCGAGGAGAAGGCCAAGCAGAGTGACATTAAGACTCGCGACCCCGAGGACCCGCTAGCTGCGGTCGTCATGGGCTTGATTTATGTCAACCCGGAGGGTCCAGATGGAAATCCCGATCCCATTGCCGCTGCCCGCGATATCCGTATCACCTTCGGCCGCATGGCCATGAACGACGAGGAGACCGTCGCCCTGATTGCTGGTGGCCACACCTTCGGAAAGACCCACGGTGCTGCCCCCGCCGACAATGTTGGCAAGGAACCTGAGGCTGCTGGTATTGAGCAGCAGGGTCTGGGATGGAGCAACGCCTACGGTTCTGGAAAGGGTGCTGATACCATCACCAGTGGTTTGGAAGTGACCTGGACCAAGACTCCCACTAAGTGGAGCCACGACTTCCTCGAGTACCTGTTCAAGTTCGACTGGGAGCTCACCAAGTCTCCGGCTGGTGCTAACCAGTGGGTTGCCAAGAATGCCGGTGATATCATTCCCGATGCCTACGACGCAAACAAGAAGCACAAGCCTCACATGCTGACCACCGATCTCGCTCTGCGCTTCGACCCCACCTATGAGAAGATCTCTCGTCGCTTCCTCGAGAACCCCGACCAGCTTGCCGATGCATTCTCCCGTGCTTGGTTCAAGCTGCTGCACCGTGACATGGGTCCTCGTGCCCGCTGGTTGGGTCCTGAGATCCCCAAGGAGGTCCTCCTCTGGGAAGACTCCGTCCCCTCCCCCACCTATGCTCTGATCGACAACGGCGATATCTTTAACCTGAAGAACGAGATCCTCTCATCCGGTGTTGAGCCTACCAAGTTCATTTCTACTGCTTGGGCTTCCGCTTCCACTTTCCGTGGCGGTGACAAGCGCGGTGGTGCCAACGGTGCTCACATTCGTCTCGCCCCCCAGAAGGATTGGGATGTCAATAACCCCGCCCAGCTCCGCGAAGTCCTCAGCGTCCTGGAGAAGATCCAGAGCCGCTTCAACAGCGCTCAGGCCGGCGAGAAGCGCGTCTCCATCGCTGATCTGATCGTTCTCGCCGGGTCCGCCGCTCTCGAGAAGTCCTCAGGTATTCCAGTGCCATTCATTCCCGGCCGCAACGACGCCACCCAGGAACACACCGACGTCGAGTCCTTCCAATGGCTCCGACCCTTCGCCGACGGCTTCCGCAACTACGGTAACTCCACCCGCCGCGTGCGCACCGAGCAGCTCCTCATCGACAAGGCTCAGCAGCTGACCCTCTCCGCCCCCGAACTGACCGTCCTCGTCGGAGGTCTCCGAACCCTGAACGCCAACTGGGACGGCTCCGCCCACGGCGTCTTCACCTCCCGCCCCGGCCAGCTCAGCAACGACTTCTTCGTCAACCTGCTTGACATGAACACCGTCTGGAAGCCCACCGGCGCTGACAGTGAATACTTCGAGGGCTTCGACCGCAAGACCGGCGCCAAGAAGTGGTCCGCTACCCGCGTGGATCTCATCTTCGGTCACCACGCCGAGCTCCGTGCCCTTGCTGAGCTGTACGGTAGCTTCGATGCCCTTGATAAGTTCAAGAAGGACTTCGTTGCTGCTTGGGACAAGGTTATGAACTTGGACCGTTATGATATCCCTACATTCCCTGCTGTCACTGGTCGTCCTCGCCTGTGAAGTATGAGTTGATTTATGATTTAGTGTTCCATAGTGTTACTTTAGCTGAATTGATATTCCAAAATTGTTCCACTCATATATGGTTACTCCAATACCCCGTGCTTAGTCAATTCTATGATAGAGAAAGAGGTCGCCAGTTCATATTCACACCTTGACTGTCAGGCAACAACCTGCGGTCTTGGCGCCTCGTCAACGCCTAATGCCATTGGGGACGATGTCTTTGGCGCTCTTAAACGAATCCGTCTCTATTTATAAAGCTAGTTACCA